TCCGGCATAACTACTTTCCGTTTTTTCTCCTCTACAAATAATAAAGAAAACGGCAAGCAATTATGTCCGCACCGAATATTTTTCGATATTTTTTTCGAAAAATATCGACCGAGAAAATTTTGACTTCTTCGATATTTTTATATCGGATACGACCGACACCTCCGGCCGGGTCTAATTTTTAGATTTATTTTAGTAGCTCAAAATCAAAGGGAATAATTTAATGAGGAAAATTTTGATTCTCAGGTTTATTCAAAGAAAATTCTGGTTTAATTGTAAAATTTGTTAAAAAGATTTCCAAAATTCCCCCATTTCCCACTAAAAACTTTAATTCTTATTTAATTTATCATTTAAATATAAACCTTCCAATTGTATGGGAAATTTAACATCGCAAGACCCAACCATATTTTGAACTTTAAATTCCGTAAATTTTGCATTAAATCCCAATTTTTGAACAATTCGTGCATATTTTCTAGCAGCCAAACGACTCATTTCTTCTGACCTAAATTTTAAAATAAATTTAATTTAGATTAAAATAAAAACTTTGCTCCAGTGCAAACCATTTTTCCAGAAGAGAAAATTAATGCAGTCGTTCTGGGATCCCGAATGCGCATAATAACAGCCGCAAAACGTCTAGAAAATAATTTTTAAAAATAAAAAAATTTGTACTAATTTTTTACTTTGGATTGTATTCAGCATTACGAGCTCTCAAAGCAATTTGTTTAAGATCCAATTGAACACCTAAAAAATAAAAATAAATTAAAAACATGTAATATTGAACCGGACAGATTCTCCTTTTTTCCTCCCCAATTTTCCCCAATATTTTCCTCCTTTTACTTGTTTTTGGCTTGCACTTGTATAAAATTAAATAATCCTTTTTGTTTGATTGTAGGCAAAAATTAAAAAAATCAATTTGGAAGAAAGGAAAAAATCTGACCATTTCGCAAAAATATAGGGGAAAAATTGGGGAGGAAAAAAGAGGGGGTCTGTCCGGTTCAATATAACCTTAAAAACATAAAATCCAAAAAATAAACCTAAATTAACCGTAGAAACAATATTTTGTAAGGTAGGTGAAGGTACTTCTGCCGGAGCACTAAAAGGAGTCTGAGGAATAACTGTTGGAATATTTGAAGCAGGCAATTGAGAGCCAATATGATGTTGAGAATCTCTAACAGAATACCCTCCTTGTAGTGGAGTCATTGGAATATTTAAATTGTTTAGAACACTTTCAGGCCCTCCATCATTATAATTACTTGCAGAAGCTGGAATTCCTGCCAAATTTACAACAGAAGAAGGGCCTTTATATTCATTTCCTCCACTTGAAGAAAATGGATTGAGAACAGATCCTGGACCTTGACTGTTGAATACAGAGGCTGTTTTTTAGAAAAAATTAGTTAATAATTTCATTGACAAAGTTTATGGATCTCTTATTTGAATTTGCCATGGAGAAAAAAGGAAAGAGAGAAATCTGACCATTACGTACAGGGAAGGAAAAATAAGAAAAAAATGGGGGGGGGGGGGGCAGCTTCAGAATTGCACAGATCAGATTACAAAAATAATTTTTTGACTCTTTTTTCGTAAACAAATTGACACAAGTCCTAACTTAAATTTAAATTTGGGTTCAAAGTTAGTCTATCAAGTGTCGAAAATTTAATTAAAACCCTAAGAGAAAAAATTAAAAACCTGGCCCTCCAACAGAATGCATAGATTGCGCCCCAATATTTATTGTAGAGCCCGGACCGGCACTTCCAAACAAATTTTGATAATTTGATAAAGGCTGTTGAGATACCGATCCTGGGCCATTCGAACCGAAATTTAAAACTCCACTGTGCATAGGTGTTTGTCCACCACTTAAAAGATTTAATAAAGATTGAGGATTTGCTGGTGAAGTGCCGAATTGATCCATATTTAATTATTACTTATAGTACATATAATCTAAAATCACTAAAAAATAAATTACTAAAATTATCGAGTTAGGTAAATAAATTTTAAAAAAGTTGAGGGAATCGGTGTTACGACAATTGCGGATACGCAAGTGCGGATGCGACAATTGCGGATTAAAAATTTTTTAAAAATTTTAAAAATGATTGAAATGATATTCCGTTTTTTTTGTCTCGGCTGTCAGCTCCAGACTTCTGACGGTTACCGAATCATTTTTAGACAGATGTGGCACTGAAAACTCTAAAAAATCTTAAACTTTTTAAAAATTTTATATCCGCAATCGTCGCATCCGCACGTGCGTATCCGCAATTGTCGTACCGCCAGGGAATCCTAAATTCGTCCCAACGAACCCAACTCTATGATTCGTCCCAATGGACAAACCGAAGATTCGTCCTCCTTAAATTCGTCCCATTGAGTAAAACCCCAGGTTTCGTCCCATTGCACAAAAACTCATGATTCGTCCCAATTAAAAATTGTCCCAACTCAAAACTTCCAATAGACCAAAAATAAAAAATACTCAGGAGCCATAGGCGAACTGACCATAGCGACCGATCAAGAATCTCCTTAGAGATCGATCACTCTCGTTGCTGTTTGTTCCTTTGTTCCGGTTAGACACGATTCCGTGCGCACGATTCCGTGCACATGTTTCCGTGCACACGATTCCGTGCACACGATTCCGTGCAGGCACGTTTCCGTGCGGGCACGATTCCGTGCACACGTTTCCGTGTCCGTTATAAAAAACACGTTTCCGTGCCCAATTATTTAAATATTTTTTAAAATTTTTATAAAATTTTAAATATTTTTTAAGTATTTTAATCCCCCTTGTAATCAACTTATCAACTTTGCTTCAGTATTTTTCTTTTCAATTCAAAAAATTTACGCGGAAAAAAGTTTTTGCCGCTGCGGAGGAAGCCGGGCATGTCGAGCGGAACGACGGCCGCCGCTTCGCTACGGTCGCCGCGAGCGAAGCGAGCACGACCGCAGCGAAGCACGGCCATCGTGTAGCGAAGACCATGCCCGGCCTACCCTCCGTAGCAGCACAAAAACAGTTTTTCCAGCGAAGATTCTGTTGGTCATAGGTTAGAAGCAGGGTTCTTCTAATTTTTTTAAAATAAAAAAAAATTTTTTTGAGATTTTTTCCTCCAAATCCACCAATATCCCCTTGTTGATGTCTCGATGTCATGCACAAGTCCCTTGATATTCACTGTACCCCTCAAAACCTTTTCTTATGGTTTATTATATTAAAAAGAAGCTGGCACGGAAACGTGCCTATTATAACGGACACGGAAACGTGTGCACGGAATCGTGTGCACGGAAACGTGCCTGCACGGAATCGTGTGCACGGAAACGTGCCTGCACGGAATCGTGTGCACGGAAACGTGTGCACGGAATCGTGTGCACGGAATCATACCCCACCGCCTTTGTTCGAACAATTCCTCCCCTACATATGTTAAAACATCTCCCCGGCATTAGAATACTTAATTATGAAATTAAACAAGTTTGGCAACCTAAAACCGCCTTTTTTGAGTTCTTGACGTGTGTGCCAAAAGTCTTCAATTATGACAAGTAAAATTAAATTTAAATAAACCCTGATACCAAAAAAGAATTTGCACATTTCTGTTTGTTCGACGTATAAGGGGGTTCACTTAAAGCGGTAAACTCAGTGAAAAAATAAAGAGAAAACAGAAAATATAAAGAAAAGTAGAAAAGAAAACCTCAAAGTCAAATCCTAAAATTAGTGGTACGAATTTAAGGATTTTATACTGTAGAACGAATTTAGGGAGAACGAATAATGGGTCTTTGTCCAGTGTCCAATGAACTTTCAATTAACATTTTCTCGATCCGAGCCGTGGATTAGTGCTATTTGGTAGCAAATTTAAAGGGCTTTCGAATGAAAATTCAAAACAATCCATAAGGGTTCGAAAAAAATTTTGAAGCTGAAAACCCGTCTTACGTTGACTTTCAGGGTATCGAGATCTCGACAATAAAATGAGATATGGTGCTAATTCTTTTTCAAGTTTTTATAATATCGATAGCCATATTTACTGTATTTTTTGTAGAATTTTACAGAGTAGAAATTAAAATTTTATTGGGGTAATACTTTCTTTACACACGCGTCCCTTGAGCTTTTAAGCGTCACATGAGATTATAAGCGTCCCATGAGCTTTATGCGTCACGCTGATAATTCTGAGAATCTACCTTAAAGGGCATTTTAAAGTACCTACTTTTTGCAGCACTGTATACTCTCATGGGACGCTTAACCTTCTTATGGGACACATAAAAGATCCTGGGACGCATGCCCTAATGCATGTCATAAGAGAGTTAAAATTTTTACCCCGACATATCCACTCTTATTAAAAACTCCACCCCTTAATATTTTTTATTTATAAAATAAATTTTTCTTCATTTATTCATTAACAATTTTTAAAATTAAAAAAATGCTAAAGAATTTTATAAAAATAAATTTATTATTATTTATTTTTATTATAACAAAAAATGATGGAATGGACCCTGAAAAGGATACTATCGAGTATTTTTTGAGGAGAAGTGGAGCTTTTGGCACAACAAATAGTTTGATACAGGAGGTAATTTATTTTATTTGTTGTGTATTACTTATCGTGTTTTCATCTTGAATACTACAGGGTGACCATAAAACTTTATGACACATTATTTATGCCATAATTTTATTCAAATTTAAAATATTGAGATATAAAGAATTAACCAAGGAATAAATATAGTCGGGAATTTTTGAAGTACCAACCCTTTACGAGGATACACAGTTGAAGGCATGAGGAGAAATTTAATGCAAAAATATATGAGTTATGAGCAGGGGATAAATTCTGCTGAGAAATCCAGTCCCTACGCTAGAAGTGGCTTCTGACTCAAGACTCCCTAGATAGTAGATTTTTTCCAAAGAAATAATACTCACTTTTTAGGAGATACAAAACAATCCTAATGTCGAAATCAACTCATCAACCCCAATTCAAGCAAATCCTTTCCATCCCTTCTATAACCAAACCATTCAACCCCCTCAATTTAATCCAAATTTCCATCAACAAAATATGTTTTCTTTATCCTCTACAAATCAATTCCCTTATCCCCCACATTTCCAATATTCTAGTGGATATTACCCAAACAATCAACATTTTGTTCCAAACCATCCCTCCAACTATTTCGGTGTTTCCTCGCATTCTGGCTCAGTTCAAAACTTTCAAGTTAATCAAGGCTTTCCTTCTGTTTATAATACAAATTTACCTCCAACCCAACAAGCATCATCGTCTTCTTTTAAAAATATTATTGAAGGGACTACTAGTATGTTAAAAATTTAAATTTTTAATATTTATATTTTAACAAAAGATGAAAATGATGATGAAATAATGAAAGAATTATGCAAACATATTCAAAATATAGATGTTAATCGTAATTGTTTTTTTATCTAAAAATTTTTTAGTGAAAGTTTTGTGACTCCGACACTTTTACATTTTCTCGAAGATTAATAACTAATTTTTAGCTGAAGAAATAAATAATTTTAAACTGCAGGCGGTTGAGCCGCCGTTGTTTATTTTTAATAAAATTTAATTATTTTAAGAATCTGGAAAAAGACGTGACCAACAAAGATTCAGAGAACAAGAAAAAGAAGATATAAATTCAATTAAAAATGCTTGTAACAACAATACCTTAATCGAATTGCCAACAAATTTTGGTTTGTCTTTTAATTTTTATTCAATATTTTGTTTAATATTTTTAGGTGATTATTGGTATTTTTTGAAGAATAGAATATACAAAAATTTTAAATATCAATCTCGTTATAATGGCTCTCAAAATTACGCATATTACAGATGCAAAGATTGTGGAGGAGCATTGAGTTATAAAGATGGATTTGAATTTAAAGAAAATCAAAAACATTCTTGTGTTGAAATTGGTAATTAATTAGGGGGTTGTTTTGAGTGTGTTTCCTTCTAAATTCTATTAATTTTTGAAATTTCTTGTCTTTAAATTAATTAAAATTCTCTTATAAGAATTTTTAATATTTAGCACCCAAATTTTGATTTTCAGAGAAATCATAGATTTATATAAGAGAGACACCTTTTTGTGTGATTTTAATTAAATAATATACTATTATTTTTAGAAGAATATGTTTCCCTCGTTGCAATTTGCATTAACTCAAAATTTAAAAATAAAAAATCTACTAGTTATTCAATTTTTATAAATAACGTTAATGGAAAGGAACAATTTATTGGAACTCAAGAGATTGGAGAAGAATGTAAGGAATACCCAATTCCTTTGGGATTGAATCATATTGAAATTAAAATTAAATGGATAAATGTTAATTTAGATTTAAATTCTAATGAAGATATACATAATGAGGTGAAATAAAAATTTTTAAATTAATTAGGTACTTTTAATCGTTAAATAAAGTATTAAAGAGTTAAATTAATTAAGGGATTTGTATGTTTCATTTTTTATTTTAGAAGTTGTTCTATGTTAATGACTCTAATAATTATCTGAAAAATAATTATTTGAAATTGGATTTGGATGATATTAATGGAAATTATGAATGGGAATTGTTTAGTGAAGAAAAAGGAAATGAATTAAATCAAATAAATAAATTACCGTTCGGATTAGAACGTGAAAAAGAAATTTATAAAGAAAGTCATTTTATGGGATATTTTGGAAAGAAAAACTATCAGGCAAAGAAGGATAAAAAAGGGAAAAACAAAGATAAAGTATAAATACTTTATCGAAAGTTGAGTAGGTAATTCGTGATTTGGTTGGGGACATTGACTCTAAATGGATTTTATTAAGTTTTTTTTGGGAATTATTTATTTAAAATTTATTTTATATTTCCGGAAATTTAAGAGCCAATTTTTTAAAATTATTTTGAATTTTTATTTTAAATTTAAATTTGTATTTTATCTCGAAATTAAAATTTGTCTGGTAAAATATTTCCTTTATGTTTTTCTATTTTTTAACAACACTAAAACAGTGCACTTATCCTAAATGTTAGTAAAGTTTAATGGAGTGCTTAAAAATATTATTTAGGCAATCCAGGAGAATTGGGGTCCCTGCGAAATAATATCTCATTCGAAAGAGCTAGACGAGCAGAGTCGAATGACATCAAAATCATCGCAATTGATCAAGATCAGGCGAAGTTATGACACAAAAAACATAGCCCTACGTTGTTTGTTTTTTGTGGTATAACTTCGTCCGATCTTGTTAAATCGCGGTAATTTTGGTGTCATTCGACTCAGCTTTACAAGCTCTTTCGAATAAGCTATTATTTGCATATTCGAATTTTTCACCCCAAATCAGCTTGGTACCCCCTATGGGGTTTTGATATTCGAGGACCTATATTCGGGTTTGGCATTCGACTTTTTCAAAATCTGAGTTCAGATTCGTAATTAGCGTACTTTTTTACCCTAGAAAAATCCTTTTTCTTATTTTTAAGATTTTTCCCGCAGGGACCCCAATTCTCCTGGATTGCCATTATTTAGACCTATATCTTTTAATGGGAGATCACTTAAACATCCATTTTCTCATACAAGTTATGAATAATTGAAAAAGAGTCCAATCACCGAGTGGAAGCTTTAAAAAAATAATTTTTGGAGAATTTATTTTTTTGATTTAGGACAGAGTGTACACAAAAAAGCAAAATTATAGTTAAGTTTGTAAGTCAAATACTAAACAGCTTGGGGGAAACCAGTTATCCTACCACAGAATTAAAGGAAGGAAAGAATAGAAGGGGATAGAAAAACAATAATAAAAAGATCTCACATTCAAAACAATTCTTAATTCTTCCAAATTGCAAGAATCTAAAGCCAAACCATTTAAATTATGCTTAATTAATTTTTCACCATTAAATATTAAAATTTTAAAATTAAAATCTTCTAATTTACTTTAAAAATATTTAATCTTTTCATTTTTGTGTGTCATTCGATTCAGCTCGTTGAGCTCAGGGTAGATCAAGTCTAAAATTATAAAAAATCTTACAAAATGGTAAAAATAGGGCAAAAATATGGCAAATGAAAAAGGGCGAAAAGTGCCACAGTGATTTGCGTAGAATTATGTACATAAGTGTATATAAAAAATTTTAATTTTATAAAATTAAACTGTCTTTAAGCTCCCTCCTCTTAATTTTTTTCTTCATTTATTCATTAACAATTTAAAAAAATTTAAAAAGAAATGCTAAAGAATTTTATAAAAATAAATTTATTATTATTTATTTTTATTATAACAAAAAATGATGGAACGGACCCTGAAAAGGATACTATTGAGTATTTCTTGAGGGGAAGTGGAGCTTTTGGCACAACAAATAGTTTGATACAGGAGGTAATTTGTGTATGTATTACTTATCGTGTTTACGCCAGAAGTGGCTTCAGACCCAAGGCTCCCATAGATGGTAGTTTTTCAGATCTTGACCCCAGGATTAACGAAAATCTAGGAATTTTGACCGTTTTGCAAATAACTTCCCATATCATTAAAGAAGAAAGATATTGAAAACGCTTAACAAGCGGATTAGAAAGAGGAGATTTAGGGACTCAATATTTGTGATTTTGGCGATTAGGAGGTGACACTTGACTTGCAACCTGCTGCAGAGTCTCATTGCATCTCAGAGTCATAATTTTTTTCATTTATTTGATAAAACGTTGTCTTTTTTGAGATTGTTGTACAAATAGAAGAATATCCATAAACTGAACTAGTTCCCCTTAAAAATTCCCGAAGAAATAATAAATTTTCACACTTTTAGGAGAATCAAAGCAATTATAATGCCGAAATCAACTCAACCACCCCTATGCAAACAAATCATCCCCATCCCTACTTGTATAATCAAAATATTCAACCCCCTCAATTTAATCCAAATTTCCATCAACAAAATATGTTTTCATCGTCCTCTACAAATCAATTCCCCTATCAGCAAAATTATTTTAGTTGGCATTACCCAGACGATCTCCACCAAAACTATTTCGATAATTCCTCACATTCAAGCACATTTGAAAATTTTCCTGAAAACTTTCAAGTAAATCAGGGGTCAACAATTAATCTAACAACACATCAGGTATACCTACATATACAACTAAAACACTAGATTTGTAGTCAATAACTTTTCTTTCAAAAATTTCCAAAGAGAATTTCAACAATTTCACATTTTAAGGGAATACAAAACACTCGTAATGCCGAAATATTCAACTCAACCACTCCAATTCAGACAAATCCTCCCCATCCCATCTATAATCATACTATTCAACTCCCTCAATTTGATCCAAACTTTCATCATTACCAATCACAAAATATTTTTCCATCGTCCTCCTCTACAAATCAATTCCCCTATCCCCCTTACTATTCTGGCGGACATTACCCAAACAATCAACATTTTAGTATTCCAAACCATCCTAACAATATGATTAATTTCGGCGATTCCTCACATTCTGGCACAGTTCAAAACCTTCCAGAAAACTTTCAAGTTAATCAAGGCTTTCCTTCTGTTTATAATACAAATTTACTTCCAACCCAACAAGCATCATCGTCTTCTTTTAAAAATATTATTGAAGGGACTACAAGTATGTTATAAAATTTAAATTATATATTTTAATATTTATATTTTAACAAAAGATGAAAATGATGATGAAATAATGAAAGAATTATGCAAACATATTCAAAATATAGATGTTAATCGTAATTATTTTTTTTCTAAAAATTTTTAGTGAAAGTTTTGTGACTCCGACATTTTTAAATTTTCTATAAGATTAATAACTAATTTTTAGCTGAGAAATAAATGGGTGGTGGCTAACCCAAGGAATACAAATTCAAGGAACAGACAAGTCAAGAAAAGACAGGTTAAGGAACGACCAACTCAAGGAATATATTAAGAATCAGAATATTCTGATAAATCAGAATTTTTCAGAATTTTTTTAAATTCGGTTTTTTGAAGTATTCTAATTTGTTTTTAAATTCTTATTTTCTAAAAATATTCAGATTTTTCAAAAAATTTCGATTTCTAAAATATTCCTTGAGTTGGGCATTCCTTGAGTTGGTCGTTCCTTGAGTTAGCCCGACACGGAAATAAATAGCCAAAAATTTTGATTTTGTTTTTAATTATTTTAAGAATCTGGAAGAAGATGTGACCAACATAGATTCAGAGAACAAGAAAAAGAAGATATTAATTCAATTAAAGATGCGTGTAACAACAATACCTTAATCGAATTGCCAACAAATTTTGGTTTGTTTTTTAATTTTTATTCAATATTTTGTTTAATATTTTTAGGTGATTATTGGTATTTTATGAAGACTAAAATATACAAAAATTTTAAATATCACTCTTCTGGTGCATTGGGTAATACAAACGCTTATTACAGATGCAAAGAGTCTAACTGCGGAGGAAAATTAAGTTATGAAGAAGGATTTGAAATTAAAGAAAATCAAAAACATTCTTGTGTTGAAATTGGTAATTAATTAGGGGGTTGTTTTGAGAGTATTTCCTTCTAAAACCTTTTTATGTGATGCTCGGGAGAAGAAAAAATCCGGAAATCGGGAAACTGGAGTCGAGATCGGGATACCCGAACATCACTAACTTTTTTGTGTAAGAGATTTTTTAATTAAAAGAATATACCTACTATAATTTTTAGAAGAAAATATTTTTCTTGCTTCAATTTGCATTAACTCAAAATTTAAAAATCGAAAATCTACTAGTTATTCAATTTTTATAAATAACGGTAATGGAAATGAACAATTTATTGGAACTCAAGAGATTGGGGAAGAATGTAAGGAATACCCAATTCCTTTTGGATTGGAACAAATTGAAATTAAAATTAAATGGATAAATGTTAATTTAAATTTAGACGATTTTAATGATGAACTTGTTGAGGTAAAATAAATAAAAATAAATATTTTTTAAATTAATTAATTAGGCTCTTTTAATTGTTAAATGGGGGATTTTTATGTTTAATTTTTTCTATTTTAGAGATTATTCTATTTTAATGACACTAAATATTTGAAAAATAATTACCGTTTAATTTTGGATTTGGATAATATGAATGGAAATTATGAATGGAAATTGTTTAGTAAAAAAACAAATCAAATAAATAAATTTACGGATCTAGCAAAACGTGAAGTATTAATTTATAAGAACAGTCATTTTATGGGATATTTAGAAAAGAAAAATTATCAATCAAATAAAGATAAAAAAGGGAAAAACAAAAATAGATTATAAATATTTAACCGAAAGTTGAGTAGAAAATTTGTGATTTGGTTGAGGACATTGACTCTGAATGGATTTTTTAAAAGATTTTTTTGGGGATTTATTTATTTAAAATTTATTATTTTTTTTATTTATTATTTAAAATTTTTTTAGTTTTTTTTTGGGATTTTTTTTATTTATTATTAAGGCTCGAAAAAATATGGACGAAAAATCGAAAATATGGACAAAATTTGAAAAATATGTATGGAAAAAATCGAAAAATATGGATGAAAATATGGAAGAATGGCTATAAATATGGATGAAATATTTAAATAAATCTTTATTTTAGTTTTTTGAAAATTTTTTCTAAAATTTGAACATTTTCAATAAAATCCGAGGGCGTGTAAAATTTCGGGGCCTTAAACTCGGCCCTATGAAGCCAGATTTCGTTAATTTTAGTGTCATTTGACTCATCTCGACGAGCACTTTCGAATGAGCTATTATTTGCATGAATTTTTCAGTCCAAAATCAGGTTCTATGGTTTTTCAATATTTAGGGCTAAGGGTTAAAAATCTACGGCAAAAATTCTTCCATATTTAAATTTAGCTCGGCGAGACGAATGGTATATGGATGAAATATGGAAAAATATGGAAATGAAAGTCCTCATTTTTGAAAGCAACCAGCACGGAAAGTGTGTTTTTCGTGCGTTTCAGAACCTAAGCAATTCAGGGGAAAAAATATGGATTTCAATATAATTTCGAGCCTTATTTATTATTTGGATTATTATTTTTTGGGGATTTATTTATTTAAAATTTATTTTATATTTCCGGAAATTTAAGAGCCAATTTTTTAAAATTATTTTGAATTTTTATTTTAAATTTAAATATGTATTTTATTTCGAAATTAAAATTTGTCTGGTAAAATATTTCCTTTATGTTTTTCTATTTTTTAACAACACTAAAACAGTGCACTTATCCTAAATGTTAGTAAAGTTTAATGAAGGGTTTAAATTTATTATTTAAACCATCTTTTAATGGGGGATCACTTTATTATATACGTGTTCTTGCTGTGAAGAAATTATTAGATGGGAGATGGAATTGAACCATCATAGAATGAGCCCAGACCACAACCGACTGTGCCACCATCCAAAATTTAATGAAAATAACGCAATGTGCCCGCCCCTGTTCCAGTGTATGAAGGGGAATTGAATTTTTTGGCTGAATTCATAATGCAAGACTCCGAACAAAATTAGATGATTCAAGTTAATATTTCAAAGATTAAAAAAATTAAGCAAATTAATTTCTTAATTACTTTATCAAAACAAAATTTCTTTAAAAAATATAAAACTGACTAGATTTCAAAATTTATGAAAGTTATTAAAGTATTTCCGAATATTATTAAAAATTAAAGCATTCAAAAAAGTCCCTAAAAATGTATATCCACTCACCCTTTTTTCATTCCATAAGAGGTGCATTTGATGTTTTTAAAAGGCAATGTTCAGAACCAGCTACAGAAGCAACACTATTTGTATCTTCATCATTATCATCATCATTTTCTTCCTCTTCTCCACCTCCTCTTTCTCCTTCATTTGGTGATTTCTCTCTTTCTAATATAGATAAAGGTGTTGATTGAGCACCATCTTCTTCAATTATACTTCTTAAAGGTGTTGGTCTTTCACTTGGACTTTTACATTCTGTATTTTCTGTTGTTGTTGTTGTAGCAGAATTACTCCCTCCAAGGGTAGCAGTTAATGATTGAGTAATAAATGGTTTCCATTTTCTCATACAAGTTATGAATAATTGAAAAAGAGTCCAATCACCGAGTGGAAGCTTTAAAAAAATATTTTTTGAAAAATTAAATTTTCGATTTAGGACAGAGTGTATACATAAAAGCAAAATTATAGTTAAGTTTGCAATTCAGATAATGAAGGAGCTTGGGGGAAACCAATTATTCTACTCAAAAATTTGAGTAAGGAAAGAATAGAAGAGGATAGAAAAATAATAATAAAAAAATCTCACATTCAAAACAATTCTTAATTCCTCCAAATTGCAAGAATTTAAAGCCAAACCATTTAAATTGTGTTTAATTAATTTTTCACCAACATGCTGAACCTTATCCTTTATAAATATTAAAAATAAAAAATAATCTTCTCATTTACTTTGGAAATATTTAATCTTTTCATTAAAGCATCAATTTCCCCAACAGACATCCTCGCAAGAGGTTTTGAAATACTTGCCCACACCAACGGATCATCAAAAAGAAATTCAGCTTCAGACCCCAACAATTCTTTTAAAGGTCCAAAAGGGTCATGACTACTCCCTCCACCTCCCTTTTCTTGTTCTTCTGTTTCTTCTGCTAAATCAACTAAAGGCTCTCCTCCTCTCTGTTCTCTTATTAATCTTCTCATATAAGGATCTAAATTTGAAGTACATGGGGCAAATGATCTGGCATGTCCAACAGTTAACTTGAAAAAAATTTTTTATAGAAAAAACTTTTTTTAAACTTGATTTTGTTTTCCAGCACATAATTTTCTAAAAACTGATTCAAATTCAGAGCTATTTCTATCCAAATCTTCCATCCCTTCTCGAATAGAAATTCTACTTTTCAATTGACAGTAAAGTTCGTAAAGGAGAAGAGAATCATCCTAAAAAAATTATTTTTAATTTTTTAATTAACAAATTATAATTAAAAACCTGTAAACTACAAGCAACATCAATTAACCAACACATTCTCCTAAAAAATAAAATAATCTTAAAATTTACTAGGTAAGGTTGGGAGAAGTCCTGGAAAGTTATTAATTGTATGTACAAAATTAAAAATTATGAAACACTGCAAATCTCGACCGGATATTCCCTTTCTAAAACGTAAATTTTTAATGGAGTAATCATTAAAAATATTCTTTATTTACTTTAACATTCTCGAATTATTTCTAAAGTATAGAAAATAAAATAACAACAAACCACGGCCACTGTTCAATTAAAGAGACCCAAGCATATACTTGCCACCAATTAAATTCTACTTCAAAAACTCTAAGTAATCTTCCAGTCAAAGCTATACTGTTAACTATTCGACGTCTTTAAAAAAGAAAATTTGTTAAAATTATTTTTAAAAAATTTACAAAATTCTTGGATTTATATTTGCAAATAAATCAAAAGAAGGGGAAAAATGGCTAATTTCGTTAACATTTGTTGAGATTCCTCCAACGCCTGCAGAATCTGTTCGATCTGTTGCTCGAAGTGACATTTTCGAACCAAGAAAAGTATCAGAACGAATTCTATCTTTTAATGGGAGAGCACTTAAATTATTTACATCTAAAGCCATTTTCTTTGCATTTTGTTGATTTCTCATTCTTCTAAGTGCAACAATGTGATCGAGGAAAAATGGCCTAAGAAAAATAAAAATATATAGACACACCTTGAATTCGAGTACCCAAAATTATTTTAGGTAGATGTAAAACTTGATTGACTACTGAGCTTATTTGATAATGGAAATGTTACTAGTCGAGAAAAAAGTTGGACCGGATTTTGGAATAGGCTGTGGAAAATTTCTCGGGTCAAGGTTCGGTTTGAAAAAAGCCGGTTTCGTGAAGCCCATGAAATCCCTACCTGATACCCTCTTCAATTTAAAACTCTTTTAATAATATTTTTTCAGCCCCAAGTATGTTTATATTTATTTAAATTCTCTTATTTATTATACATTGTAACAATATTCTTTAAATAATCCCGTCCAGTTATTTCATTTTCAGAACCAGAAGAACGCAAATTTTGTTGAATTGTAGAAATTACTATATTTCTATCTAAAGCAAGTAAAACAACAAATGGAGCATTTTGACGAGAACAAAAAAATAAATTGAATGCCTAAAAAAATAATGAATATTTTTTGAATAAAAATTGGAATATACATCCAATAATTGAACCATTTTATTTTGTTCACAACTATCCAAACCATCTACCATTATTACTAGTCTTGTTTGACTATTTATAAAAGCGTCAAGAGTTGTTACCTTTAAAAAAATAATTTTAAATAAAATAATATAAATTATACCAAAGAAACAAGTAAATCAACTTCTTTTTGCAATTTTTGTAACATTCGTTCGAATGGTTGAAGGTGAATTCTGTTTATTATACGAGCAATTCTGTGCTTTGGCTAGAAAATTATTATTGACGGACGTCTTTTTAGAAAGAAAAGGGATTAAATGGGAGTGGGAACTACTGGTTCAGATCCTGCTCGATCGTTTGTGTTCTATGTCCATTTCCCATTTCACAATCCAAATTTTCCAAAATTCCGGTCTCTGACTAGACCCACAATCAAAAACCATAAATTGTATTTCATTCCCAGAATAAAACAAAAAACTAACCAAATTAATAATTAATCTAATACTCAAAACATAAAGTAAAACAGTTCCAGAAATAACACTAAAAGCAATAAAAACAGAAGCAGCCAAATGTTGATTTTGAATAAATAAAAGAGAGGATATTGCCAAAGAAAGAGGAAACATTAAAATAATTAATAAAACAGGAATTCCACAAATACTTTGAAGTTTAGAACTATTTTCCGCATTTTGATATTGTTTAAAACTTGTAAATAAACGAACAGCAAGTGTTCCATAATGCTCTTTAAAAATAATTTTAAAAAATTTGTAAATCAAAAAAAACCTTCAGCAGCTACAAATAATGATTGAACAATATTAGCCAATGCTTGTTCTCCACCAATAAAAGAAAGTCGATGATTGTCAGCAAAAAGAAAACTGACTGGAGATATTAACCTTTTTTTAATTAATTTAATTATTTAAAAAATTTGAAAGGAAAACTTTTTTTCATGAATTTCTTTTTCTGTTCCACGTGTTGGAGCATTCAAAGTCAGAACAGAAAGCATTAATTTAAAACGAGCAAAAGTTCGCGCTAATAAACGTGCAGCAGAAATTGAACCGTTCCAAAGACGGACCTGAAAAACGATTTTTGAATAAAAAATTTATATAAAATATTTTTAAAACAATATAAATTTTGAAAAAAAATTTAACAATAGAAACAAATTTTTAAAAATAAAAATTTTTTAATTAAATTAAGGTAGTTCATGACCAGTTAATCTTCGCCTGCGGCGGCTTAAATGTCCTCAAACTAGTAGAAATTCACAAATCGAGCTGCCACAGACGTAAATTAACCGAGCGTGAACACAACTCGTTTTAAATCATTCCATTAAAAAAAATAATTTTAACAAAAAAAAAACCTCGCTTCCATAATAAATAAAACTATAAGCACATAAAAATAATAAAAACATTCCCAATCCAACACCAAGAGAAAAAAATAATTCATTCCCTTCTTGTACAATAGAAAATAATGCTGCACTCAATAAAGTAATTAATGCAGAAATTAAAAGAACAATTAAAATTAGGCTCCAACTCCAATATAATTCAATTCCATCTAGCCAAGTTCGAGAAAAAGACTTCATTGAATTTCTAATTCGAGATAATAATATTGATTTTCCAGATCCCCATTTTGCATAAAGACCAATTGTTAAAGGTAAAGAAAGATTTGGTTCACAAACAACATCAGCAATTACCTGAAAAATTGTTTGAAAAAAATATTTTTTTTTAAATAACATCTCCATATGAATCAAATCCTAAGAGACTTTTCAAATCAACTTCTGTTCCAAATGGACCAAATATTGTTGGCAATATTGGCTGGGGTGATTCTTGGTCTAAAAAAGGTATATTCAAATTAAATCTAAACTATTTTAATTATCATTGATATCAAAAAAATTCGTTTAAAAATTAAATACCAAGAGAAACGGGGACACGACCAAGTAGGCGCAAAGCCATAACTAGCTTAAAAATTTCTGGACCGTAACAATTTTAGTACCAATCTTTTTAGATCGATGAGAGGAATCGTTTGATACTAAATTTGAAAAGCTTCAAAAATCTTGAAGCAAGTTATGGCTTTGCGCCTACTTGGCCGAACGCCTACTTGGGCTGTAACCGAGAATAGGAAATATAAAAACTTTTCTCAAACAAACCTATTGAATAAGGTGTTTCACCTAATTTATTAGGTCGATAAAGCAGTTTTGAATCTGACGGGTTAACCAGCAAAATTTGAGTAAGACGGCGAGAACGAGCTCTAAGTGCCAAATGAAGAGCTTAAAACAAAAATAAAAATTAAAGAAAAAATAAAAAAAACCATTATCTCCAGCATTATCTGTTGTACTTAATTTTGCTCCCATACTAACTAATAATTGAGAAACTTGAACATCACGATTTTTAATCTTATTAGAAAATTTAAAAAAAATAAATTAATTTTATTAAAAATTACAGCTCTAAGTAAAGCAGTATCACCATCTCGATTTTTTAATTCCAAATTGGGCTTCTTTTCAAGTAAAGCCAAAACAATATCTAAAAAATGCATTAATTTTTGGTTATTTTAATAAAAAAATAAACTAAAATAAAATGAATGCCAAAAATTAGGGATAAAAACATAAATGACTGGAAATGAATTTAAAAAGCTACAAACAACTTAATGGAGTAAATACCTAATCCCATAGAAAGAAAATATACCTGAATAATTTTTATCGATAGCCAAATGTAGAGGTGTTCTCCCCTCAGAATCTTTAGCATTAACATCAGCATGTCTTTCTAAAAGCATACGGACCTTGAAAATATTTAAAAACTAAAATAAATTAAATAAAAATTTACCAAATTTATATTTCCAGAACGAACAGCGTTAGCCAAAATTGAATTACCAAAACGATCAACTGTATTAACAAAAGCACCGGATTGAAGTAATGAAGCAGCTATTTCCGTGTAGCCTAAAATAAAAATGTAAAAATAAAACAAAAAATGAATAAACATGCAGGAAAGCCATAAAAAGTAAATAGAATCGAAAGGTAATATTGAAGAGTATGGGCCCCATTTTTTCCTCCCTATTTTTCCCCCTATATTTTTACAAAATGGTCAGACTTTTTCCTTCCTTCCATCTAATTTGCCTTTCTAATTTTTGCCTTGAAACAAAGAAAAAGAATTATTTTTTGGTATTTAACAAGTAGGAGTTTTGGGAAGACTCATTTTCTCTATTAAAAAGGGAAATAAAATATCAAAAATAATCCTTTCTTTGTTTCAAGGCAAAATTATAAAGGCAAGTTGAATGGAAGGAAGGAAAAAGTCTGAACATTTTGTAAAAATATAGGGGGAAAAATGGGGAGGAAAAAATGGGGCCCATACTCTTCAATATTACCAATCGAAAAAATAAAAAAAAATTTAAAATTCTATTAGAATCAAAGTTCTTTGGATAAATAAATTTAGAAAATTCAAAACCTTCTCTAGCTGCAATACCAAGTGCAGAAAGTCCATTATAATCAACAATATTCACATTAGGTTCACGTGCCAATAATGCCTCAACAACCGGAATATAATTTCCCCGTGTAGCAAGCATTAAAGCACTCGAAGCTACAAAAATAATTTTTAAAAAATAAAAAGAGAAAAGAAAACCTTGCATTCCAACAGCATCCAATTCAGCCCCAGAATTTAAAAGATATTGAACAATTTGAAGATGCCCTTTTCTTGCTGCCCAAATTAAAGCTGTACTTCCAAATTTGTCACTAGTGTTTACTTGGGCTCCAGCTTCTAATAATTTTGGAACTAATTCAACAAATCCTCTTCCTTTAAATTTTTATTAATTAAAAAAGACTTTTCCTTAACCTGAAGCAATAATTAAAGGTGTAAGTCCATCCTCTTCTCCGACAATATTTACATGAGCTTTAAATTCAATAAGTACGTCAACAACTTCGGGTCGATTTTTATAACAGGCCCACATTAATGAAGTCCAACCCATCTATTAATTAAATTTTAATAAGGAAATTTAAAGGGAAGGACAGAAAAGAGGACCGATCGAGTTCAAGTAATTATTCGACCCAGAATTTAACTTTAAAAAATATTGGAGCAGAATCTATAAAAAGGGCAAAGTCCCAAATTTAATTTGTACAGATTTAAACAGTTAAAACTGACAGAAACAATAATAGAAGATTCAGAATTATTTTCCTGAAGGTTAAATTTTATAAAATTAATTTTTTATAGGTAAGCTACATTAAATATAAAAATAAATCCACTAATTTTTCCGTAAAAATAACACAAAAAAAATAATTTTAAAAAATAAAAAATTACCAAATCTGGATTTTCAATAGAAGCCCCAGCATTCAACAAAGTTCTAACAATATCAGCAAATCCATGATGTGAAGCATTTAACAAAGCTGTCCATCCATCATAATCAGTTTCTTCAACATCAATATCCCCAACAAGTCTTTCAACAATTTCGTGATGTCCAAGACGTGCTGCTGCATTCAACAAAGTTTCCCCAGCAGAATTTTTCATAGCAGAAACATGAACTTGTGTATTGTTGAAAAATGGAAATTTTCCTTTAAAAAATAAATGTAAAAGAAAAAATTAATTTAAACTAACCATCTTCAACTAATTGAAAATATTCATAAACATTTGAGGGAATATTTGAAGAAGACGATTCTTCATTTGAAAAGAAATGTAAATCTCCGTGATCCCGATGGATAGATCTTTGTTCCATTTTTTCGTAACTAAAAATTACAAAAAAAAATTAACAAAAAATTAAAAATTTTTATGTAAAAAGATAAAAGAGTAGAGAGAAAAAAAGAAAATTTTAATAAAAACATTTCGCCAAAATTTATACAAATTTCCGTTTTTTTTGAAAAAGTTATTTCACTTTTTGTTGAAGTATTCGTAAAATCATTTAATCTCGAAGTTTTACTTTAAGTGTTTATTTTATTGTTTTCATATACTTGAATACTCGTGACCGAATGAGATTATGTCTCTACGGGTTTACACCCAGACAACCAAAATTTCAATTCCACTTTACAAGCACCAACCTAAGTTCGCATTATTTACAACGGAGATTACCGTATTTCCGAAAATAAAACCCCACCCTGAAACAGAGCCCCACCTTGGAGGATAGTTGAAAAATTAAGTTTTATTCTAAGTTTTATTTTCGAAAGAATATCCTTGTTCCTTTTCCATGTTTTATTTTTACTTCTATTTTTTTAAATCTTTTAATTAAATTAAATTGTTGAAACAAAACAAAAAATAGGCAAATCTCCAAAATTCCTCATATTTTTTATACTTTTCATACTTTTAGCGGCGCTTCTCCCCGTCTTTTTCAAATCTCAAAAGAATTACCGCCACGCGGTTTTTTTCCTTTTGAACAGCCGCCTTTTATTTGTGTGTGTGGGCTTTCCAAAACACCTTAAAGTAAAAGCCGCTCACTTGATTTGCAGCCGTTTTTTGGATGAAAACAATGAGACAATAATTTTATTTATTACTTTAAAGGGGCGCGTCTTTATCTTTATTTTTTTTCTATGAGGGAGTTAGTGCAGATTTTTGAAGTTAAACTCTCTGACAAATAATTCTGAGAGAGTGAATTTCGGCGCCAGATTTCTTTTTTGCCTTTTCTTTTTTTCCTAATTCCCTAATTCTTTTATAAAATTTCACGTTTTCGGAAAGTTTATTTTGCAAAAGGTTGAAGTACTAAAAATTAAGATAATCATTATTTTTTGAGTTTCGGGCCTCAAATTTAAGAATGTCTTTAAAATTTTTAGGAAATAGTTAGAGTAGTTAAGCCTCTAAACGGAAAGAATCCTCTAAAAGTTAGCGAACTTTTATATTTTCAAGGTTCTAATAAAATATCTCAAGTCGTGTTTGCGCCACAAATTTCTATTTAATTTTTTAAAATTTGAAGCAATCATTTAAAGCCTTAATAATTTTTGCCTAAAAATTCTAAAAAACTTTTTTTAACAAAACTGCCAAATGATGTGTGTATATTTATTTATTTATTTCTCTCTCTCCTCCTCCTACTCCGGAAGTCTTTTCTGTCCTTGTTCTTTTTTTTTGTTCTTTTTTCCTTACTTTTCTTCCTCTTCTTCAGCTGCCCCGCGTGATTTATTTGCCGTCGGGGCTTCTTTTGATCTTCTTGGCGCTAAGCTAAAATTTATTTTCTTCCTCATTTCAAAACTCTGCGGCCAACTCGTTGGCAATTGTGAATATATACTTAGGGAAGAAGATAAACAGTTAGTAGTTGATTTAGCCTCCTCGAATTTTCAAAAAAATTTAATAATAATTCCCTCAGTTATTTGTATTTTCAATTTCAATTTATTTTTATTTATTTATATATACTTATAATTTATTTATTATTTTTCAACTCAGTTTATTAATTTTTATTAATTTCATGAACATTAAATACTTCTCTTTTATTTTTAACGATTACACACCTTCCAAAATATTTCTAAATAAATTTAAAATTAATTTAAATTAATAAAGATTTAAATTAATCAGTTAATTTCCTCCAATTATCGTCTTCATTTACTAACTTTTTAAATTAAAAAAATATTTAAATTTATTTTTATTCAAAATTTATTTTTCCTTTATTTTCCTCCTCCAACAACCCCCATTCCTTCTCTCCTTCCCAGTCTTTTCTTTCCTTTCATTCCGCTTGATTGGATTTGGTTTGTTTCTTTTGAGATCATACGCACGAGCAACAAGCTAGGGAAAAAGGATAATAATAATTTTTTTATTTTACAGAAAGAAAATTTTGTAAGTTTTAAATTTTTTGTTTGGAATTTTGACTAAATTAAATATTTTTCATTAATTCTTAGAAGTTTTTATTTGAAATTTTGGTTGTTAACATCGAAAATTAAATTTTAATTTTTTATAATTAACCGTAAATTTGGATAATTTTCAATTTCTATTTTTAAAAAATTTTTTGTCTTTCAGAGTTGCAATTTTAATTTTGATTACTTGTTAAAATAATTTTTTGATCAAAATTATTTTTCGATTTATAAATTAATTATTTGATAGAAAAATATTTCCTTTTTTTTAATTATTTAAATTTTTGTCAATTAAATTTTTATAAAATATTTCAGTAATTTAAAGTGAAAAGATTTATTTATTATTGTCCCTCTCCTCTCTCTTTTTCTAATTTACAGTAAATTATTTTTTGTAAATTTATTTTTAGTCTTTTTCTAAAATTTTAATTAAAAAATAATTATTATTATTTTTTAATTGGATTTTTTTTATTTCTCGTGAATTACTGTGTTTGTTTGGCTGTAGTTATTTAATTGACACAATCTTTTTTTTTTATTTTATTAGATTTATTTTTAAAGTTTTAATATTAAATTAAAAAAAAAACTTTTTCTTTTTCACGCGCACACCGCTCTTGAAAATTTTATTAAAAAAATTGGCCGATGGAATTGGGATAAAATGTCCAAAATTTTGTTTGATTTTTTGGAGGTTTCTTTAATCTTCTAACAAAGCAAGCTTTATTTAAATAAACTTAAAAATACCTATTACCGTAAATGCTCTAATATAAGCCCACCCGAGGAGGCCTATCGAAAAATATAAGCCCAGTCTCTAATCTCTATTCCCTCCAAACTATTTTCTATTCCCGCCCACTCACTTTTGAAATATATAAGCACAGGGCTTATATCAGAGCATTTACGGTAAGTTTCTCATTAACGTTAATTTAATTTAACGACTTTAAAAATTCAGAAAAAAACTCAAATTTAGGAAATTCGGTTTAGAATTTTAAATTAATTTTAGACTTTAAAAAGTCAAACCTTTTTTTTTCTTATAATTTTTTATTTTTATATTCCCTTCAAACTCTACTTTTTTTTTACCAAACCTTTATTTTCTTATTTTCCCCATCACCTTGAATATATGTATTATATACAGCTGGCACGCCAATCACCCGGCCCATTAAATTTTATTAGGGCTCCGCTGCCTCTCAGTTCTTCTTTTCCTCCTTCCTTTTTTTCTCCGTTGCCGCGCGTAACCTCAACCACAAACAGAAAGACTCGTTCAAATTAGCATGGCATAATTTTTCTGAGGAGAAGAAAAATGCAAAAATAAAAAGGAGGGAAGGGGGGGAATTGAGGAAGAAAAAAGGAGGGGGGAGGGGGGACGGTATATCTAAATAAAAAGTTAGTTTTGTGTTTGCCCTTTTCTAGTAATTTGTAAAAAAATCGCGGTCAAATTAAGCAGCTGGCTAATGAAAAAAATAAAAGGGAACTTTTTGGAGAGGAGTGGTAGGGAGAACTTATATGATTATCAAAATAATGAAATTTTGTAAAAATATTTTTAACATCTTTATCTCTAATCTCTCTAAAAAATTTTTGAATTTTTGGTTTTTAATTAAAAAGTTATGTGTGAAAGTACCAGAATTTATTTAAAAAATTGTCAAAATCTTGTAGTTATTATTGACTATAATTTATTAAAAAATAATACAAAAAATGTGAAATTTATAGAGATATTGGTTGACATTTTAAGGGATATCTATACAAAATTTCATAATTTTAGTAGGTTATTTTTAAATAATTTTATAAAATTCTTCCGCGTTCTCCTCCCCCCTATTCTCCACTCATTTTCTCATTAAAATCCTTTTCTTTTTTTTCTCTTTTTAATGCCAATTTCTACCAATTTTTGACTTTTTTTTTATTTTTATTTACCTACTACCCCTCCTTCCAGTAATAAAATTCGCATAAAATCGGCCAACGGCAGGCCACAAAATTTCAGACATCAAAAGAACATCATTTTCAACAATTGGGTGAAAACGAGTCGAGAATATTTTTTAACGATTTTTAGAGGAAATAAAAAAATCCTTTTCACTCACTTTTCTCGTTTTCATCTGTGGGTGGTCTTCCAACTATTTTTTTATTTTATTTTTTTTTCTACGATCTGCATGAAGGACTGCGCCTTCTTCCCTTAGCGGTAGCTCTTTGTTTAGTGAATTTAGTGAATCAGCCCTCCTTACCCCCTTCCCCCCCCCCTTACCCCCCCCCCGTTCTTTTACTCATTTTTTTCTCGTTTTTTGTTCTCCTCTCCACACAATTCCACACATTTTCCCTAAAACATAAGGGAACCAATGTGAGTGGACAAAATTATTAGAAAAAAACAGAAAATGGGCGAGGTTGGGGAGAAGGGGAGGGACTTAGCTGTTTGGGCGCTGAGAAGGTTGGGAGTAGGGTCTGAGAATCTTCGGAGATGTGCAAATGAGGTTATGAAGCTGTAAAAAGTTCTTTGAAATTATCCATAGTCTTGTTTAGTGAATCAGATTTTTAGCTATCGTATATTAGCTATTAAACTTTTCTAAAATTTCAGTTTAGCTATTTATAAGTTATAATCAGTCAAATTGCCTTTAAAATTTTCGTTTATTTCCGATTATTTGACCAGAATCAAGGAAATATCCCAACAAAAATTCTGAAATTTATGGAGAAGTTTTAAAAAACTCTGAGAGGGTATTTTCTGGTTTTTTCAAAAAAATCGGTTCTTATCTTTTCGAGATTTTCCAGATAACGCCAAAATTTTCCGCGTCCAATCGTCACTAAATGAAAGGGACGAATAAAAGGAGAATGAAAAAAGGAGAGAAGGTTTACGGTGGGAAAGGAAGCATTGGAGGGTGACGGCAATTTCCCTAAAATATATTTTTCTTTTTCTTTTCTTTCTTGGGTATAATAATATGTACATTGTCAGCCATTCACAAACACACAAATAAATTTTTTTAATTTTAGAAGCCAACAAATTTTTTAAAAAATTTTCAAATTTTTTAAATGCCAAGTTCCTGTTCTCCCCCACAACCCCCAATCCCCGGCAGTCTCTTCTTTTTAGAAAATCCCAACAACAATAACAACAATAATTTAACAATTCCATCAAGTTCAGAGACATTAGATCCTTTACAAAATTTACAACAAATGCCCGGTCGTTTGGACGAAAGATGTGCGTGGTTACCTTCTTTTTATTTTTATTTGGGAAAAGGTAAAAAAAGAAAATAAAAAAAGCAATTCCAACGCTGATTTATGCCGACAATTGTCCTCTAATAATTTCTGTCAAAACCAATCCAAAACCCCCATTTGGTCGGAGAGGTGATGAATAAAAAATAGATGGAATGCCAATTTCTTCTTTTTGGTTAGGGAGATATTTATTGGAATTTTTATTCGAAAAATATTCAAAAAATCTTTTAAAACGCTCTCAAACCATTTTTATTTTCACCTCAACTAAATTTAAGAATTTTTTAAGAAGAAAATAAGTTACCGTTTATCTAAAAATTGTTTTCTCATTCAAGTAGCATCAAAGCCTTTTTTTATCAAAGCCTCTTTACTTTTTAACTTTATGTTTCTAGAGGGTCTGATTTATTTTTTGTGAAATTTTCGATAGTGATACGAATCTCGTGTGGAACCCATAATTGAAACTTGTGGGGGTCTCGGCATCCTTATAGCGTATATTGGAATTTCCAACTTAGGGAAGATAGAAAGGGTGAAAGGAATTGGGGAAAATATTTTAAAGTTTTCCTTCTTTCATTCAAAATTCTTATTTATTTGTAGCCAATACCCACCCCCTTCAATATAATTATGGTAATTATGCAGCATCATTAAATACAGCATTAAGTCATTATTACTCTTATACAGCAGCAGCTATTAGCAGTAATGGACATAATCATCATTTAGTTTCTACAAGCGGATTTGGTAAATTAATTAATTGGAAATTAGAAAATACTTTAACGGGTTAATTTGATTTTGTGTGTGATCTGACAAGTTGGATTTTTAAATATAGGAAGGGTTAGAGTTATTTTAAAAAAGAGGGGGAATTAAAGAAGTCTAACGAGAGGGATAAAAGGATAAGAAGAGAAAAATCTAAATTTAATGGAATCACAGGGATTAGGATTGCCAGCCCTGTCTTTCCGAATGACTCGACCGAGCTGGTCCGACTCGAAAACGGCAACCTTTAGTTTAAATTTGTGTGAGTTGTTATAAAGCGAGATGTAATTTATTCTTTAATTGGATTTATAAAATTATTTCAAAATAGGATTAAGTAATCCTTTCGGAGAACTATTAAGATATTCTAGGGTCCTAGACATGATTGTCTTCTGTCTTTGCCAACTTCAGTTAGCTCTAATTATTATTAATTTTTATCTTTCATTTTCTTCATTCCCTCAATGTCCTTGACTAAGAAAAGCCACAAAACAAAAATCGGTCCACAAAAAGTCAATTTTTGTACAATCCCTTGGGAAGAAAATGCTTTTCTCTTTTCTTTAAATTATTCATCTTTTCGACGCATCTTTTTCCTTTCTTCATTTCTTTACCTCTAGAAAAAGAGAAGGGGGGAATTGTTGTTTAAGTTACTTTATTTGTTGGCCATGTTTTGGCCGAATAAAAAAAGAAAGAAAAAAGATTACGATAACCACAACAACAAATGTGTTTTTAAAGAATTAATTAAAGAATTGGAAATTTGTTGAAAAAAATAAAGTTGGAGGGTTATGGTAAATTAAAAAGAAAAACAAAAATTAAAAGTTTTTTTAAATTCTGTTAATAAAAATTGAGTTCCTCGTCTTCAAGAATATCGTAAAATTATTTTAAGTGACTTAAGCAACACAAGTAATTTATTAGTTTCTAAATAATTATACTTCAGTTACTACTAGAAAATAAGTTCAGTTCTTGAGTTCTGTTAAACGAAGCCCTCTTTTGTTCTAAAATTATCTTACCCAATTTACTAATAAACTTGTTTTATTTCACATAATCTTGCCTATCTATTTATTTTGCTTAAACACGAAGACAAAACTCAAAGAATTAAAAAATAAATCGAGATTGTTTGGAATTGGAAAACGAATTTTATCCGGAAAGGCCCCAGAAATCAATTCCTATTAAAACAAACTCTAACTTAAAATATTAGGGGCGGGAAAAGATTTTACTTTAAGAGATTGGAAATAACTGGATCAACTAGACTTTGCCAATAATTGAACAATTTATTCCAAAATTTAATCTCTAATAATAAAATAGAAATTGGCAAAGAATAATTTAAGAGAGCTTTTTTTAAAAATTAATTAAAAATATTTTTAATTTTTTAAAGACCCCAACAACAAAAAAGCTGGTGGAAGGCAAACATATAATCCAGAACAAGTAAACTTAAAAATAAATTTTAAAAAGGGAGGTTTTTTGTTTTTTAAAGAAGAGAACTTTGGAAGAAGAATTTCGAGCCAATAAATATGTTTCTAAACTTCAAAGAACCCAACTTGTTGAAAAAACTGGGCTTAGCGACAAACAAATTAAAATTTGGTTTCAAAATAGAAGAATGAAGGTAATTAAATTTAGTAAAAAATAAATTTATGGAATGGCGATTTTCAAACAAAAAAATAAAATAGATAAGAAAATAATAAGACAATGGACATTTTCAAAAACCGTTCATTCCAATAATTGAACAATTTATTCCTAAGTTGATAAAGTCTAAAACTACAGTTTAGACTTTTTGATTGAAGGTTTACTTTTATCGGAGAGTTTTTGATTTTGTATCTATTCCTCTGAACCTTTTCCCCCTTTTGAATAATTTTTAAATTCATCTCAGCTTTTCTCATATTAATTAAACATTCCCTAATCACTTAGCCAATCCCAACAAAATTGTAACTATTAGGAGGGTTTAATATTGAAATTACTGTTTTATAGTAATTCTACTCCGAATTCTAACAAATTCCATTCTCCCAGTTATTTTGTGACTGAGAGACTACGAATATTCAATAATATTTTTTAAATTTATTTAGAGGAAAAAACAAGAGCAAGGAATTATGTGTGGTGAATTAACTCAAGAATCATCACCTCACGAAGGCGATTCTAGTAGTGAAAATATTCATAGATTTGGAGCTATGACAGTTAAAAGTGAACCAGAAAATGGTGTTGGAAGTAGTGGAATGTTGGAAAGACAGGTAAAAAGTTTTTAATAAAAAATTTTGAATGCTCCCGTCTTCAGCCCCTAAGATCTTTCTCAAATGCTCCATTAGCTGTTTATATGTACCCTCAAAGTCTAATTGTTAAAGCCTAAAACCACAGTAATTAGTGGAATGATTGAAGGTTTACCATTAATCGGGTAGTCCCATTCCAATCTTTTTTGTTTCTGGGATTATTGCTTAAACTTGTGAATATTTTTATTGGAGTTTCTTCCCTATGGACTTCTTAATTAAATTAGTAGAGAATTTACGAAAATATTTTTACCTATATCGAATTTTCATTAAGAATCTCAATTAAAAATTAGCGAAACTGAAAAGGTATTTAGCTAGACAAAAATTGAGTATCAGAAACAGGTTCTACATAGATACCAAATATTCGTTGAAAAAATCACATATTGGGCTAAGGATCTGGTTAACTGGAAAGAAATTAATATTTTTAGGTAAAAATGTATAAGAAGGGCTTTATTACAAAATCTTCGTAATTTTTACATTTTTCAATAGGATCTAAGTTGTGAACAAATACCCGATGAGATTTTAAACAATATTCACCGAAATGGTTATCACCACCAACAAGAACAACAACAATTACAACAGCACTATCCCCCAAATAATTGGCAACAAACATTTCTTCTTCAACAACAAAATAATCAACAACAACAACAATTACTTTCTTCCTCTTTACCAACATATTCTTCTTCAACTTCCCCATCAGCCACTTCTACTAATTTTGATATTTCTTCCTCTTCAATTGTGCCATCAACATATATTCCTCAACAACAATTTTGTCAACAATACCCACAAGGAATGGTTAATCATTATCAAAATTGGTATTGGTCTGGGGCGGCAGCAGCCGCAGCAGCTGGACAGGGATGGATGCAGATGCAGCAAAATCATGGAGGAAATGAAATTATGTGCAGAACAGGACTATCAAAAACAGAAGATTCAAATCGTGATTAATTGATATTAAATTGAATTTGGTAAAGCAAGTACTTGAGATTTTTTAAGGGAGGTAGGGTTGTTGGTTCGGAACTGAACCGAAGAACCGAGGATTTTCGGTTATGTTCTTTGTTTCGAGTTATCAAGAATTTTCCAAAGAACCGACAACCCTAGTGTGAGGTACTACTTCCCAATAAGAATTCTCTCATTTTCTAGCTCAAGTACTTGCTCAAATTAATTCCTTTATAGTATATCCCCATCAGGGGCAGGCGCAGAAAATTTTTTTGAGAATTTTGGAAGACCAGAAGCCAGATTTCTTTCAATTTTGTCCTCAGATTGTGTATATTCTTTGCATTAATTTCGTCAAAAAAAGCAATGCGCCCGCCCCTGGCCCTCATCATTACTCATATCTTGTAAGAATGGTTCGAGAAGTAGAAAAATAAATCAAATTTTGCATATCATATTAAAAGTAAATTTATCTTATAAATATAGTGTATTATTTGCTATTTAAATAGCCCTACTTAATTAGCCATTTAATTAACTACTTTAAAAATTTTTGAGGAAATATTTATAAGCAAAATATAGAAAAGAGGGAATGCAACAAAAAAGACAATTAATTTTCTCATTCAATTTTCTTCATTTTTTTCGTTTAAACACCATCATCAGAGGATACAGACACTTTGTCAGCATCACATCCTTCTATACGTTTTTCTGCCTTTAAAAATCATTTTTTTATTAAAAATAAAAAAAATTAAATACCTCTCTAAGTTTGACCAAATTTAATTTGTGAATGCTTTTTTCAACAAGTAATTCAGCAATTTTCAATTTTAGTTGATCATAGCTTTTAAAAAATTTAATTAATTACATTAAATAATTGATAAATTGAGATCTTTTTTAATAAGACACTCCTCGGAAATTAGATTTGGCTGACGAGTATAGTGAAGTGAAGGAACGTCATATTAAAGTTTAAATTGTTTGGCTTCAGTGGTATATATTAGTGTTAGGCACAGTTCGGTACTACAGCGGTACTACCGATATTGGTACTGAACATTTGCCTAACACTAGTATAGATGTATCTAAAAGGAATGAGAGTTCGGAATTGTTTACAACCGATTTAGGTATATGACGGTTTTGGAGAAAGCCTTAATTTGAAAACACTTGATGTAGTTAAGTTTCGTCCGTTTTATATCCCCTTATTTAAAACAAAAATTTAAAAAAAACCTTTCTCGTTCCTGCTCTTTGCAAGATTTAATCAAATCAATATGCCCAGATTCAAGCACCTACAAAAATTAAAATTTTAATATTTAATTCAATAAATTTTGTTTTATACCAAAAACAAATTCTGTGGCAAATTTTCTATAATTTTAGTATTTACCCTTCTTCTCATTTACTCTCTACTACTCTAAAATAAAATTATTTTTCATTCCCTCACAAAAAACCTCTTTAACATTGAATGGTCCCATCACTGGTTTGCAGTTTTGAATGTTTTTTCCAATGCTTGTACTGCTCATTTCTTCAACAATTTCCAATTTTGGTTGTTGGAGTACAGCTTCCTCAGCTCTTAATTTTAAATATATTTGAGAAGGAAAATTTGAAACTTTAATAAAGTCAAAAAATTATTTTATGTTAATCGTAGTTAAGAGGAAAGGCCAAAAGATGAAAAAAAGACCGGGGACAGATAATTTTAACATCTTGGAAATATAAGTTTATGTCAGCATCAAGTACAACCTCCTCACTCAAGTCAACTACTACAAAACTCACATTAGATGTTTTTCTTTTTACATTAAAATATAAATAATATACCTTCTTTCCTCATCTGATAATTCCATGTCGGAAGATCCACCTTTCAACACAGCCTAAAATACTTGGAAACATAAAATCTTAAAATAAAAAAATGTAAAAATAACCGGTGGTTTGGGCCCATATTCTTCCGCTTCTAGTTTCATATCTTTAACAGATTCATTTGCAGGAATAGTCTTGGAAAGTAAACGTTTTCTAAGTCTTTCTTCCTCTTCTTTATTTTCGGATGTAAAACTGGACGCTTGCGTTGAACGTGAAGTAACAGAAGATTCCGAACGTTGACTAGACGAGCGAGAAGATCGGGAATGTTTCTTTTCATTTCGCTTGCCTCGGGAAACCATTTCCAATGTGTCACGCGATGTAGAGCGGGAACGTGTAGAAGAACGCCGTCTTTTACGGGATCTATTCTTCTTAATTTTTAAGAGAAATTTTAGTAAAAAATATACAAAGAAAATCAAAATTCCCAATAGGTTAACAATAAAAATCAAAAGCCTTTAAAATTCTCATAACTATAGTAATAAAAACAGGGAAAAACACATAAATAAACAATTAAAAAACCTTTTTATTTCGGCGAGATGATTCTTTTGTTTTATTCTTTTTTCGTTCCTTTCCAGCTTTAACTTCTTTCTTTGATTTCTTTACTTCAATTTTAGGTGAAAGTGGTTTTTTAATAGATTTTAATTGAGCTTCAATAAATTTTTTCCTTTTCAATTGTTTTGGATCCATAGACGCTTCTCCATTTTTTCCAACATCTGCTGAAAATTCCATTGGCTGTTGAATATCTTCTGCTGCAGGCAAGTCAACATCCTCAGGTCGAACTCTACGAGTCATTTGAAGCATTTGCATATCTGCAGCAAAAAATACACTTTGCTGTTCCAAATTTACAGGATGAAACATCTTAAAAAAATAAAATACTGATTACAAGGAAAAAAATTTAATTAAAATCAACAACAAAAATAAGGACAATAAAAGACAAAATTCGAAAAAATATATTTGTAATAAAGTTGTGAAAAATACTAGCGTTGCAGACCCCTTACACACAATTAAAAAGTCAAAAAAGGATGAGGCAAAAATTAAAAATAAAACAAGAATTTGTAAATAAAAACTAATGGAACCAAAAACTGTTTATTTAACGAGAAAAGCAAACCGAATTAGTAATTGAATGATTAGCAGAAGAACGAGGAACATTCTGAACGGCCATATGTAATTGTTGTTGTTTGTAAAAAGTACGCGCCTGATCTCTATAAAATTTTTTCCATTGTTTCCACTCCGCTGCAGAAACAGGAGTTACACCATCAGAAGCAATATGAATTAAAGGATTTCCGTCACGATCTTGGGGTATCACAAAATTTCCATAAGCGTCTTTTGGGACAACAGGTAAGCCTAAAATAAAGAAAATAAAATGAAATAAGTAAATAAATGTAAAAACCTTCCAAAGTAAGTGCAGGTATAGGGCAATTGTTCTCATTAAGAGGAAAAATAAAATTTCCTGAAACATCTTTTGGGAATAACGGCTGTCCTATAAAATTTTGTTTTAATCTTTTAAATTTAAAAAAATATACCATTTTTATCATTTGGTACAATCGGTTTATTATGTGCATTCCGAGGGAAAATTGGTTCATCAGTATCGTCTAAATTTAAATTAAACTAATAAAACTTTCAAGCTTTACATACCAACTGGGAAGGCCGATTCGCCTTTTGTATAGTCGTATGGAAATATTGGCCTAGCTTTTTCGTCAACAGGAAAGAAAGGTAATCTTTTTTCATCTTTTGGCAGAATGAACAATCCACGCTCGTTCTTCGGAAAAATCTAATGAAATTATTTAAAAAATTTAGTTATTTGTGGATTATAAAGAGCTCTTCACGAAAATCTAATATTTTTGAATAAATCCCAAATAACCAAAAAATAGATAACCTAGTGACCTGTAATCTTTCGTGGAAGAGATTAAACGTACAGGAATGCTAAATCGATAAAGAGCTTCTAAAAATTCTTCTAGCTTATAGTATATTCAGATATTAACAAAACTTACAGGACGACCATTATGATCAAATTTTATGCCAAATCGCTCAACATTTCGTAACCTTGGGTCTCCCTTATCCTCTTTTGGTTTAGGCGTAGCTGATGATTTGTTAGCATCATTCATAGGTATAAAGGTGCCGTTATTTTCATCAAACAAAAACCAATGACCAGTAGAATCCAAACAGCATTGCTTTCCAGTCTCCGTGTTTTTGTAGTAACGATACCCTTCATGGTCACAAACAAACTCGAGACCTTGCAGGTCACCAACACCAGTAACTTCTTTCACAGCGGATACATCCTAAAACTTGATTTTATAAAACTGAATAGAACAGGGCAAAACCGCAATCTAACGAACTGATAACGCAAATATTGTGAAACAATTGTATTTTAAAGAATTATTAAGTTTTGGATTCCATTTTTGCAGGACAAACAGTTTTCCCTTTCATATTTATGTACTTTTTTTGAATTGTTAAAGATACTTTAATTTTAAAGAAACCTCTTGTACTGGTGGAGAAACCATTCTTAAGAAGCAATAAAGAAACCGAAGTTGACCTTGTCTGCAACAAGAACAAAATTATAGATAATTATAGCAATCTGAAAATCTTAAAATTATAACAAAAAGTAATACAAACTTATTAAAAGATCATAAAAATCTTGTGACACAAATTCAAGAATGGAAAGAGCTAATCCTTTTTAGTCAGACGAAAACAAACAAATCAACATTCTACATTTTGATTTAATTGATAAATAAATAATTCAAAATATAGAATAATGAAACGCGGAAAATTAAAGTGGAAAATGTTAATTTGAGAAAATTCAAAATGTCATTATAACGAAACGTCATTACAAGCAAAATGCTAAAAATCGCAGTATTTCGCTTCTGTATAAAATTACGATACTATAAAAGACTAACCTTCTTTAATTTCCAGCAATTTGCTAATCTCATTCATACTTTTTGTTGCCTTTTCACTATTCTGATGGAGGAGGCTTCTAATATCCATAACAACTATAAGGATCCTAGGGGAGTTGGTGTAACGGTTAGTTCTCCTTCAAAATCTTCGTTAAAAGTAATTTTTTTGTTTCAGCTACGTGTCAAAGACAAAAAACTTCATACAAGAGATGGCAACTTTTCTTTTGTTTACCGGGCAAATATTTCTCAAATCTTCGAGGACGGTTCTGAACAACAGCCTTCTCAATTGGTCGCTCTAAAACAGACAATTGTTCCAAGAGTTAGGGATTTTCGGGAACTACACATACTTCGTTGCTTGTCTGTTCGTCATCCTCATCCAAATATTGTAAAACTAATGTACTATCGACGACGCAAGTACTCGTCAGATGTAAGAAATGAAAAGTGCTGGGTATACTTCTTAAATGGAACTGGAATTTGTTTTCGTAACTGTGGGTTAAAAGCCCCCTCAAATTTGAGGGAGCTCAATTTAAAGACCCAAATAAATACCCAGCACTTTAGATAAATAAAAATCAACTTTTTGATAAATCTTTGACTAATTTCAGCAAGCTTATAGTTTAGTCTTCGAATTTGTACCTGCAACATTAGCTCAGCTTAGAACAGAATATCATAAAAATAAAAATGTGCTCGACATAAAGCTTTGTATATGGCAGTTATTCGCGGGATTGGATCATCTTAGGAAGGTAAATACGATAAAAATCTTCAAAATTTTCCATCTAATTTTCAGTTGCACATCATCCATCGGGATATTAAGCCAGCCAACTTGTTAGTCAATTCAACAACTGGACGACTTACAATTGCCGATTTTGGCTCAGCTATCTATTTGGCTCCTTATACCGATCGATTCCAAGGAACATATGCAGTTACACGCTTCTACCGTCCTCCAGAATTTATTTTGGGAGCTGCACGCTACAACTGTATGTCAGGTGGGTGTTTAAATTGTGGATGAATAAAAAGTTTTCCGCGTTTTTTAATTTAGATATTTGGTCGGGCGGTTGCATCTTTGCTGAACTCTATTTGGGGGAAGCACTATTCCAAGGCAATGACGCATTTTGGCAATTGCAGCTCATCTACACTAAACTTGGCACCCCTTCGATTGATGACTTGAAAGATATGCACGTTCGTGAATGCGATTTTATACCTGCTGTTGTATCTCAGGCAGTTTACCCGTTTCGAGAGCTATTTTTGGTGAGTCTCTTTAAAAGAAAATAATTTTATTAACTAATCCCTCCACATTTTCAGATATTTGAAAAGCTTAAATATCCTGCAGACAAAAATCCAGCATCATTAATTGTGAAAATACTTGATTTAAATCCAAAAAAGCGTCTGAATGGCCGTCGTTTGTTGTTCGACGAATTCTTTGATGAACTTTTCCAACCAGGCAAGAAACGTAAAGGCGGGGGACTTGTAACGGATGCTATTAGTTTGGAAGAACAAAAACTTGTTTTGTAAGTGATTTTAATAAATCTTTTAAAGTTTGAATAATTTTTTAATTTTAAGCGGCACAGAAGTATAGAAATAACAACAAGGAAGAATATAGTGTTTGTATGATAATTATAATTATTTGGTCTCTAATAGGTTTTTTATTATCTTTCTTAAATTTTGTATATAAAGCCGGTGTATAAATTTAATAATATCTGACTGAGGATATAAATAATAACAAGATGGCTTGAGTAGGATTGTTGGTTCGGAATCGAATTGAGAATTTTTTGGTTCCGGATGTTCGAAGATTTTCCAAAGGCCGACAACCCTACTCTTGAATGTTTAAGGCAATCAAATAATATTCTTTATTCCCTATTAAAAACTGTAACAAAAAGTAGAGCTAATGTACATACACTAAATACAATAAGTAGAAGACGGTCCAAAACAAGAGCTACTTGTTCCCATTCTGTAAATAAATTTATGTTTAAACTACAGAAAAATTAGATGGTCCCTACAGACCTCACTAGGATCCACGACCACGGGGTCCTGGATATTACTTAAAGAGTAAACATTGGGAGAGGGATGCTTAAATGATTTGTTAGCAATAATTAATTTCCAAATAATATTTTTTGGTCACAGGTTGGACTGTATTTAATATCAGAATAAACCCTCTGAAAGACTCAATAACTTTAAAAACCTACCCAACTTTTCAGCATTTCTTCTATCTTTTTCAATTAAACGAAGTTCATTTCTAAATAAATTTAATTTAAAAAACATCCTTTCTTACCTTTCCATAATTTCTTGTAGCCTTCCAATTACTTTAATAAATTCATCTTCAAAAGAAATATTATTTTTACTTTCTTCATTTTCTTTTAAATTATTAGAAGAAATTGAAATTAATGAAAATCTTTCTTTATTATTATTTATTTTTTTAGAATTTTCTGAGAAAGAAACACGCTTTTTAATTGTAAAATTATTTTGTTTTTGTTGATTGTTAACAATTTGAGGAGAAGCTAATTCCCAAACTGGGGGCTCCGAAGTTAGTTGTTTTGGTATTTGTTGTTTGTTAAGATAAACTGAGAAAAGGAAGAGAAAAACATGTTTAGAGTTTAAATGTTTTTGTATTTGAAAAAGAATAAAGTATGTTTTGTTTGGAAACAAGTTTTAACAATTAATAAACTTGTTTTGTGTAGGCAAAAATGTTTAGATTTCTAATAAATAAATGTTTTGTTGTTTTTGAAAACAAATGTTTGGAAAATTTTTATGAAAAACATGTTTTAATTAGTGAAATAAATATGTTTTGGTTAAAACATTCAATGTTTTATGTAGCATTTTATATTGTTGGAAAGAGAAAAACATTGTTTGGGAAATGTTTTTCTTGTTTTAATTGATGTTTAATTTTAATCTAAAAACACACCTTTATTGTTTGACTGTTCACTTCTTCGTCTATCTTCATCCAAAACAATTTCTTCTTTAATTTCTTCATTTTTTTGTTTTTCAAAAAAATAATCAACATGTTCATTTATTGAATGATATTGTTTTTCTCCATTTAAAAATAAAAATCGTTGAATAAATGGGCAAAATAAAAGTTTTTGTAAAATTTTGGGAACTGGAGGGCCGTTATTGCCTACATGATGAATATTTAACTAGAAAAATAAAAGAAATTTTTTTTTGAAAATTCTTAAAAATTAATTACTGTGAGAACAGTGAAAGCAGTTTGCAGTGAAACAATAAAAATGGTCACGCCATAATAAATACCTTTTTAATTAAAAAAATGTTTTTTATAAAAACATTCTAAAAACGTTCATTAAATCTCAGAAAATTTAATTTGAACAATTAAACCTAGCTACATTTTCTAGGGACTGAATATGATAATGAAGGATAATGGTTGCCGTTTTCGAATCGGGCCGACGTTCTAGTCATTTTTTAGGCATCATTTTTATCGGGCCGGCCCGACTGAATCTTTTTCGGGCCAAAATTCGATGCCCGACTCGATCTTTCGTACCGGACCGGCAACCCTACTTAGGATGCTTCTCCCATTAATCAAGCAAATTTAAAAAATATATTTTAAATCGGTTTAATTTCGGACAGTTACTTTATAATTCTCATATGCCCCCTAATAATAACCAAAAAATAATCTTACATTCTTTTCTACCTCCATTTACTTCTCTCGAAAAGAGTTTTAATTTCAAAAAAAATTTATTTAAAAAATACCAATTAAAGGTAAAGCATCTGCTGTTGGAGGTAAATGTTCGGAGACTAACATTAAAAATACAGTTGTTGAAAGTAAAGAAGTAATTCCAAGAGTTACTTTTTCACCAGAATCTGAGGACATATAAAACCCCAATAATACTAACATAGATATCATAACACATGGAAGACAAAGAAAAATTATAAAGAAAAGAGGCTTTCTTTCCAAAAGTAGATGAACATCGATAAATGGATAACTAGAAAATAAGGGAATAATCTTGGATACCACCGGTGATCAACCGATTTTAAAAAATTTTAGGGGTTTAATTGAAGCTTTACTCAATTCTGAGTGTATATAATTTAGAATGCACGTTGGTAGGTACGGATTTTTGCATTTAGGGGGGGTGTTGACAGGATGAAATTTAGGTGTTGGGATTTCCCTCTGGGTTATGGTGTTTTATTTTAAAAAATCTAACGGTTCAGAGCAGCAAGAATAAATAACTGAATTTTTGACAGCTCTCACATGGCGCAAAGTCCATTCAGTAGAAATCTAAAAATAATTTTTATTTTCCATAAAAACTAAATAATTTCTAATATTTCCTAATTTTTCTGATATTTATTATTTTTAAATAAACTAGCCACCATATATTTTGATTGATCATCACTATCAGAATCAGACCAAATATCAATCTTTGTTCCATCATAAGCCTTAAAACCAGAATTATATAAGGTTAAAATCAAGAATTTACCCAGCTGGCAAATTTCATAAGGCAATTTTGAAAGTCAAAAGGGTAAAAACGAACATCCAAAGCTAAAAAATTTAAAATTTTGTTTTTTAAAATTATCTAGTATAGCCGAATGTCACTTTTAAGTACATACATACTTGAAAAATATAAAAGGGGATACCAAAATTGAGAGTCAAATTAGGAGGGGGGGGGGTAAACTAAATCAGAGAAAACACTAGTGTTGGTGTAACCACAAGTGAGATATAATATTTAAACTTTAAAATAATTAAAATAAAATTAAAAAAATTCCAATTAATTACCACAACTACTTTTGAAGATACCGGCCATTGAAAGACTCTAAAAAATAATTTCTATAAATTTTTTAAAAATAATTAATTACAATATTTCCATCATAAACAACCCCCGCTGTTGTCTAAAATAAAATTCGCGAAATTTAAAAATTTAATTTAAAAAACCATTTCATTTAAATATTGTTGAGCTGCATTATTGTAAAGAATAATATCGGGAATCCAAATTGACTTTAAAATTTATATTTAAAAAATAAATTAATTAATCCTTTAATTACTCCAACAGGAATATTCAATTTGTTAATACCCGCAAACTTTTTTGCGTCCCAAGCAAGTCTCCAATCATTCCAGCGGAGATGGACCCAAGCAAGTACTGTTAACAATTGGTTACGTTCATCCTAGTTAAATTAAAATTTAAGAGTAATTAATTGCTAAAGTTTACACTTTTTTGAGTTCCAAGCAAGTCTTGGGACCCTCTTTAAAAGGAAAACTCTCTCCTAATTAAATTTCTTTTTAGTTAAAGGAAATAAATGATTAGTGTTAATGAAATAAATCCTTAGTGGAGATTAGCTCTGTGTACTCTGTGATATTAGCTCTGCTCTGGATCCAGAGGCAATATCAAAAGATACTTTCCAGAGTTATTATTAATTTATATAAAATCTAAACAAACCACATCAACAACTTGCACTAAAGAAAAGGCAATTGAAGTATTTATTGGTTGATTTGGACTAACAATTGGACGAATTTCTTTAAAAAATTATTTTAGATTTTCAAAAAAATTCCAAAAACCTTTGTTATATTCAACAAGTAATTGACGATAGAGAATAGTTAAGTAATCATTGGCAGAAACTAAAAAGTATATACTAGTAGTTGGACCCAACTTTAGATAATTTATTAAGGCTAAAAATAACATAACTTATAACTAGGTGTATCTAGAGGGTATTGCTTAAACAATTTCTACATTCAGTAACCAACCAAATCAAAAAATACTTTAATTTTAAGGTATCTTATAGTATTCTGAACGTATAAATATTAGAGTTAGGATCGAGAAAAGATCTTGATCAGATTTGTTCGAAGATTCTGTTTAAATCTTGTTAATTTTCGAGACTGATTGGAAGAATAATCAAATAAAATTCTCAAAAAGTCTACTAATTTCTAAACTTACCAACAAAATAACAAACAAAATAAAAAACTAAATAAATAGTCAATAAAAACATTTAATAGTAAATTGTTGTTGTTTTCTCCATTTGGAAGGGGAAATTAAAAGGCACAAAAATAAAAAGCACTTACTTTATTTAAATTTTAAAGAACATTTAAACAACAAATTTACTTTCAAAGTAAAGTAAAAGGACAAGAGAGACAGTTAGAAATTTTGAGAAACTTTAAAGTTAGAGAGTCATCATTTTTGCATTTAAATGAAGTCAAGAGCACATCAAGCTAGGCATTTATTTACTGAGATTTTCTTAGCTGCCAATTGCCCAGTTTATGCCAACATGTAAATATGTAGAAATGAAAATTTATATCGATTTAATAAAAAATTATGTTAAGCATAATTAAGGAATTTTTAAGGGAAGATTAAATACAATTAGACCTCACTTTTACATAAACCCAAAAATAGAGATATTCAACAAGTAATTGACGATAGAGAATAGTTAAGTAATCATTAGCAGAAACTAAAAGCTACAACACAATTTGAGGTACCTATTCTTTATTTTGGTTGGAGGAGGAGGGGTTTTAATGCCAGTCTTTTTGTTAGTGTAAGTTATCCTGCATACAATTATCAACTCCTGTTCTTTTTTCTCTACATGTGTGAGCATATGATCGTCTACTTTTAATCAGAAGCTCGTAAAGGTTTCGAACATAATATGTAGATGTTTTTTAAGAAATTTTTTAAAAATTTTAAACTTAGGTGGAAAACAAAAATCTTTTTTGGACACAATTTCTGTTGTTCCAGACCTCCTTTTTTGCTACAAATAATTTAAATGTTTTGTATTAAATAAAAAAACTTTACGATATATCAACAATATTTTCAAAAAAAATTTTTCAAAAAATTATCCAAAAACTAATTCGATAAAATCAAAAAATCTACACAAAATTCAATGCCATTCTCTCCCCATAAAAAATAATTTTATTATTTATTTTTTGATATTTTCTTCATTTTCAAACCTTTTTGAGCTTCCCTTCATTTGCGCATTTTTATAGTCATAAATAACTAAGAAAAAAAAGATGGGCCCATCACAACATAAAAATATAAATAAAAAATATAAAGACATGGCCATCTGATATATATTCGGCAAAACCCATTAAAATATAATTTTTTTTGGTTATTTTCCGGCGGGCGACTAAAATATAACAAAAAATTTTTAGTATTATTTGATGAGTATTTTATTTTATTAGAAAAATTTTTTTTAATTTACTTTTCTCTAAAATCGAAGACTTTTGAATTTTAAAAATGATTAGAAAAACTTTTGGATTTTATAATAAAATAATGAAAAAAATGGTCTTCAACTCTTTGTTTCAACTTTTACCAAAAAATTTTCCCATTCTTTAATATTCTATTAAATTAAACTAGATCAGTCTACATATAAATCATAGCTTATATGTAGTTTATTTTAAATAGTTGGGAATACCTGGGTAATTAGCATAGATTGACAGATCTTAGGAAATCTTTGGATATCCGGATCCGAAAGTTTTTTGGATAACCCTGCTTTTTTCTGATCCAAATATCTGAATCCGCCAACCCTAATATCAATATTTAAAACCCTAACAAATTTACTGCATTTAAAGGGCAACTTGTTAACTTTAAGTCAATAAATCCTTTAATAACCGACTTAACAACAACTTTAATCAAAATAATTTTAATAATTTTTTATTAAATATTTCTTTCATTTCTTTAATTAAATATTGTCATTTTTCTATAAAATAAAGCGCAAAAATTCATCTTAAAATAAGAAAAAGTTTTTGTTGTTGATCGATCATTGATTCATTTTTATTTATTTTATTAGATACTAAAAACCAGAAGTTGAAGAATTTAAAGAAATATTACGGTAAAAAAGCTGAAAAGAACGGAAGGACGAAGAGAAGGGCATAAAGATGAATTTGGGGAAAGAGGGGAGGTTTTGGCGCTGGCAATGGTTGGCGCGGACTTTTATAACTTTATCAGATCAGAATCTAAAGGCTTCGAATTTTGTTGAAGCATTTTTGCGAGTCTGTTTAACCTACTCATAATTTAAAGTTGAAAATCTAAAATTTGACAGGCCTGATGAAATGATAAAACTGTCCATAGCATAAGGAAAAAAATTTAAAAATTATAGAGAAATAAACTGAAATTGGGGGAAGAAGGGACCAGTGCTGGGTACTGGGTATTTGTTGGCTCCGGCTCCGAGCTTTTAAAATCTTAGCTCCGGCTCCGGCTCAGGAGCTAGCTCCAGGAGCGATACCCAGCACTGGAGGGGACTAACTCTTTGCTTAATTTCTTCACAAAATTTCAATATTTTGGATGCCTATTTCGTTAAATTACAAGCTCACCACCCCTTATCATTGTCAGCGCCAAAACGCTATCAATCGGGGGTGGGGACACACGTTTATATGAGGGCAGACGGAAAATAGGAGAGAGAAGAATGTGAATATATGTAAAGGGTAAAAACAACAAAGAAAGCCGACAATTTATGGAGTTTTTTGGTTCTGTTAATTTATGGGCGCAGATAGAAGACGAAAAGGAGACTGACTTGGAGGAGTAGAGGATGACGAAGGTTTTTAAAAGAAAAATTGTTGTTAAAGTTTTTGTAGAAATAAATAAAGAAATAAATTTTATTTTAGAAAATTGGAGAGGCGGAACTTGGGGGGAAGGTTTTTAATTTTTGAAGGGAGAGAAGAGAGAGTGAGAGAAGAAATTTTGGGTTTATAATAAAAATAGGTATATTTTCTTTTAAAAGGCTTATTTTAAATTTTAAATTACCTATTTAATTTTATAATTAAATCGCCTTAATGGGACAGAGTAATTAAAATTGGTGTTGAGGGGAAGGGGGTGGATTCTGAATTCTTCTCTTAAAAATCTGTGGGGTTTTATTTTAAAAACAGAATGCCAAAAATAATTTATTTATTTAATTCCCTCCTCCCTTCTTTCAAAGTCTGACTGTATTTCAAATTCCTCAATATTTCTTCTTCTTTAACTCCACATTCTAAGCTGGAGGCCATCTCAAAAATTGCTTTTAAAACATTCCTTCGTTGGTTGAAAACAGTCAAACCCTTTTTTACTCAATCAAAAATATTCCTTTCATTTTTAAACATTTTACTGTATTTCTGATTTATTTAAAAGGAAAAAAGTAAAGTAATTATTGGCAACAGAATTTTTATATGACTTAATTAATTTCATTATTGTTCCAAAACCTCGACATCCCATACATGTCAATTTTCAACCCGAAATCTTCTCATCCATTTACTTACAAAGTTTTTTCCCTTTCAAGTAATTAATTCTGATCAAATTCTGAAACTAAAAATTGAACAGGGATTACTAGATTTAAAATTTATCTTCATTTGATTCTATTTAAAGGGGTTATTTTTGTTAACAGGTTGTATTTTACTTCCTGAAAAAGTTAGAGGGGGGGGGGGGGGTAATTTTATTTAAAATAATTTAATAAATTAATTTATTTTCTATATTATTTTTTACATCTGGCGATCATCTCCCCCTTCCTTTTTTATTTTTAATTCTATTTTCGACTGTAAACAAAGTTTGGGACTTGTATATATATAAATACTTGCAAGGTCACATTTACTAGAAAATCTAAATATTTTCTTATGTCTGGCCATAAATCTCCTTTCTTTCCTTCCTGAAGATTACCATAATTGAAAGGAAAGAGAATGAAATCTACACAGATTTTCTCATAATTATTTTCTATTAATCCTTTAAATACATTTATTTTACAATTTAAATTTAATTACAAAAAAACTTTTTTTAGTAATTGTACAGACAAGGGTTATTTGGTATTTTTGTAAGAGAGTCTATGAACATTCAAATATATCTTTCTCTTTTCGACGGTCCATAAGAGCTAATTAATTTACCAGATTTACTAGTATTTCTCTTACCATTTTTTTTATAAAAAATCCTTTTTTGAAGGTAGCACGTTCTCCCCCAATTTTCATCCTAAAATTGTTTGTTTTGCCGGTAATCTTTTCTTCAAAAAATAATTATAGGAGTATTTTTATTACTTTTAGAGAAACAACCAATTTTGTAAAATAAAAATAGCAAAATGTTGGTTAGTGTTTGGGGGGAAATTTTGTTAAAAATAGTTTCGAATTTTTAGAAATATTTTTTTTAATCAAGGATACCTATTTTTAATTTTAATTATTTCTATTTTCATAATTCTAATATGCACAAGATCTACAAAATACAAACAAGAAGTTCTGATTGCTATTTAGACATATCGGGATTGCGATGACAAGAATAACTTCTTGCGTACACTCTGTTAATTAATTATACGCACTCTATTTTTTAGGGTTTTCAAACTGAAGAATGTGGATTTTTAGTTTTTCGTATATGCACTTAAAAAGCCATCGATTGTCATGAAATTCTTAAATTTAAGAATTTCCTTCTCAGACTTAAGAACATTTTTACCAATAATTAATACACCCCCCTTCCCTCTAAAATGTTTATTTATCAATCGAAAAATCCACAAAAATTTATCTGAACCTATCTATCAATATCAATGGGAAATACAAAAGAAATGAAGTTATAACGGTTTCTCCATCTAGATATTAAAACTCAAAAATCAAAAAAATCAGGGTAAATGTCTTTAAAATATATTTTCGACCCCTTATAGACTGTTTTAAATTTTCATTTAGACTTTTCTGGAATTTTAAATTCGCTTTAAATTGATTTTAAAACTTAGAAGCTCGTTTCTTCAATAGGACAATCTCAAGACCCAGTGATCGTAAGACGTGAAACCAGTAGAAACCAATAACCCTTCCGGTTGGTTAAAAGTTCCCTCAAAACAGAGCAAGAAATACTGTAATAATATTAATAAAATCAAAAAAATTTCAATTTAAAAAATTAATTTTTCCTAATAAAAATTTAAATAAAAATATTTTTAATTTAATTTAAAAAATTAAAATTTTTTTTCTAAATTCTTCTCTCATTGGCTGCTTTTTTCCCTTTTCTTTTATTTAATCCCGCCCTTTTTTATCAATCAATTGTCTACTTTTAGTTTTTTCTTTCTCATTTTTCTCTATTCTTTTTTTATTTTCATTGTTGTCAGGATTTTTATTTTTTTATAAATATTTTTTTATTTATTCCAATAAGATTTTCGAAATTAAAAAAATTTTTAAAACAAAAATTCCGAACAAATTTTTTCTGAATTACCGATAATAAAGAAAATTTAAATTTTTAAGAATTTTCTTTAAAATTTTCATTTAAGTTGTTTAAAAATATTTGGATTTTACTTGTTATTTAGTTTAGGGGATTTCTTTCCTAATCCTGTCTCTTATCCGAATCTTTATATTTGGTACATAAATCCTGATCAAACCCCTCTTCTTTCTTCAAAAAATATTCTAGATTGATATTACCCCAAAAAAACCTCAAACTCTCTTTTGGCATATCCAAAGTCGTTCAATGCTTAATTTGATTAAGAGATGCCTGTTATGATACGTTTTTCGGGAGAAATTTTCCCTATGAGTTAACTTCATTAAATAAAAATATATTTTGTTAATTTCCATCAACAAAAATCTCAAATTTTTTAGCCAAAAATAAATATTTTATTAATTGATTGTTCAGATTAAATATTTAATTTTAATTACTAATTAATATTTCAGAACAATAATTATTTATTTCTCATTATTTTTATTTTCTTTTTACATTTTATATATTACTCGATTGTCCATAACCAGTTGATTAACGCCATTAATGTTTGGGAGACTTTTAAAAATACTTTCGAAAACTGTCGGAGTTTTTAAACTTTTAGTTAATTAATTAATTTTTGGCAAAATAAAAAAAAGATTTTCTGTTTGTATAATTGGTTCTGAATATATTTTTCATTAATTTAGAAAACTTTTCTATTAGTAGAGGGCCGGTCGAGTTTTTAAAAAATTCGAACAATCTTAACTGTTGTTTCTAAGTTAAATATTAAATAAATATTTGGTTATTTGATTAAAATTAACTTTTATTTACGTTTATGAATAAATTTGAACATAAAAATAATTGTAGTAGAAAATAGTAAGAAGGAAGAAAATAAAAAAACTTTCCTAATAATTCTTTTAACCAAAAGTTTATTAAAAATAAATTTTTCTTTAGAAGAATGTATCGAAATATAATAAATAATAATCAACAACAACAACAACAAGATTCATTACCAACAAATATTTATTGGCCAACAAATAATAATGATAACCAAAAAATAATTGAAGGAGGGGGAGGGAATAATGGAAATAATTTTTATCAACCACCAAACAATAATTGTTTATATTCTTCCTCTAATAACACAACAATTAATTCTTTACAACAACCCTCTCCCAATAATGAGTACATGAAAAGTGTTTTGGCTGCTGCACAATGGGCTGAAGCTAATCAAGCGGCGGCTGCGGCAGCTGGGTATATTTAATTTTGAGGAAAATTTGGGGTTAAATAAGTGAGGGAATGGGGAAAGTGGTTGTCCCTGTCCCTTCTAACATATTAGAAGTTATTGCTAGGCTTCACTATGTAAAGGTGCTCTACCGATTGAGATATCTAATATATGTATTATTCCAATTGCCAATTTAATTTAAATTTATTTTGTTGTAAATAACTCCAAACTTTTGATTATTTTTAAGAAAAATATTACTTTAACAAAAAAAACTTCTTTTCTCCCTTTCCTCTTCCAATATTAATTTATTTTAAAAAATAACAATTTCAAAATTTCCATATTTCACAAAAATTCTTCACACAATTCCCCCAAAAATTAATTAAAATTTCTTTTGTTTTAATTTCCCTCTCTTTTAATTTCAAGCTTTTATGGTTCCCAAACATCAATGGCCGCTGCAGCAGTTGTAGCAGCAGCATCAGTTTCAGCAATCCCTTCATGTTCTGCATCCTCCACAGTTTCCTCTTCTTCACATTTTTTGGATAATAATTCTTCTCTTTTATTAAATAATTCTTCTTCCCCTCCTCCTTCAACAACTACAAAATCTTTAAATGTTCAAACATTTCCTTGGATGAAAATGAATGGTAAATTAACATATTAAAATAAAACGAAATAAATAAAAAGTAAATCGGGACTAATTTGAAGGCTTCAAAAACCGAACAGAAAACCCGAAGATTTTCCTTTCGTTTTTAGGTTCGGTTAACCGTAGAAGTTTTTTTCCTTACGGGAAACATCAACAAACATCAATTATCAAGGAAAATATATCATTTCGAGCCAGTCCAAAGAAATAAGGAAAAATATGATTCCGGCACTCCTTTAAGATAGAGTTGAAATTTCGAATTAAGCAACATACCTCCACCTCCCTCCCTCTCTCTCTATTTATTTGTCACCCTTTATTAAATATTCCAAATTATCCCTCTAATGGCTACAGTAATTTATTTTTTAAAATTTAATCTCATCAATTTTTATCCAATTCAATGTTGCATTGAATAATTAATTAATTTTTTATTTATTTTATTCCCCCCTCGGGCTAAAAAATTATTTATATCTTTATTTTTAAACGAGTTTTAAATTATTTTTTCAAAATTATTTAATAATTATTTCGAAAATATACATATTAAACTTTTAATTTATTAAAAATATTTTTCAAAAAATTTAAAAATAATTCTGGATTTCTTTGGTTTTTTTGGAAAAGCTAATTAATTAGTAAATTAAATTATAGACAGTCAAGTTAATATGAGAATGACATAAAAAGTGGCAGACTTATAGGGAGGTTCTCCAACTATGTATATCCATAAACTTTACCCTTAATCTTTAAACTTGCCATCTTATTTTCGTAAGATTACCTACTATTTTGACCGGTTAAAAATCCTTTTTTTTAAATTCCTAATTTAAAATCCCCCCACCTTTCTATTATTTTTTAATTTAATTTTCATAACTTTTAATAACCCTAAAACTCAAAATAAATTAAAAATAAATTCTTTTTTCTTTTTAAAAAAACCTTTAATTTAAATAGAAAGTTCTTTTCTATTAAAACTTTTTTGGGCTAAAAATCCAAATAATTAATTAATTTTCCTCAATTTTTTTAAACAAATAATCAAAAGATTTCAGGGCGAGACAGGAAAAACAAAAAAAACATTTTCTTTCTTTTCCTTTCATTATTTGGCCAAAAATTGTTTTTCTTTTTGGTGTGACAATTAAAATAAAATAATAAAAGATTTAAAGGAAAGTGAGAGGAAAGGCGGGCGGCATTTCTTTTTTGTTTTTTTCGCGCGAATGTTTTTGTTAAGCCTTTTAAGGTTGTAAAAAGTTGTAAATCAAAAATGTTATAAAAATCAGAAAATATAAAAAAAAGTGTGTGTTGTTGATAGGCAGCCGCCAAAGAAGTTAAAAATAAATTTACGATTTTATATTAATTAATTATAAGAGAAGAAGAAAATATTTACTGAAAACTTTGAAAAGTTTTTTATAAATAAAGAAAAGGAGTTTTATTCAAAATTTCTCATATTCTTAAAAAAATATTAGATTAGATTATATTAAAAAGAATTAATTTTATATAAACAAGTGAAATTAAATTTTCGAAATTAGGAGGAGAGTGCTAATTACAGAAGGATGATTGGAGATTGGATGGAAATTCCTACACGAATTCCAATCCCAACTGAGCTCGATCAATCATATTTTTCCTGGAATAGGGACCGTGAATATTTTTAAGAAAATTCAAATTATTTAAAAGTATCATCTACATGCACTCCAATCCTTTGTTTTCTATCTTTTCCCTAAATTTTTTTAACAATAATTAAATAAATTTTCAAAATTTATTTCCATATATTTTTTACTTAAATCTTTTTTAGCCCAATTTCCGTTAACTCTCGCCTTTTTCCTCATCTCTATTTTCTTTTCTTTTTTTGCCGCCGTGTCCTTTATATACACCGTCGGTAAAGATCAAAGAAAGACAGCCGGATGAATTATGGCCAAGTACGAATTGGGGGGATATAAATAAATATATTTATTTTCTTTTCTTCTTTTTTAATGGAATGTTTTAGATGTTGTTGTTGGAAATTTTTTTGAGGAAATAAAAAAAAGAAAATTTAAGAGAAAAAATAAAGGGAAAGGGACAACAATAATATTTTATTTTTTAATTGAGTAAGAAAGGAAATGGTAATTTTTATAAAAGTTTTGATTGGAAAACAAAACTTAAAATTTTAGGCAAATATTTAAATGAGAAAAACTTTTCTTTTATAAATTTTTAGGCCTTAGAGGGTGCAGTGACGGGAAACGTACAAGACAAACATATTCTCGTACACAAACTTTGGAACTTGAAAAAGAATTTCATTTTAACAAATATTTGACGAGAAAAAGACGACAAGAGATCTCAGAAGCTTTACAATTAACCGAAAGACAAGTTAATATAGAAATGAATTTTAACTATTTTAATCATTTAGGTCAAAATTTGGTTCCAAAACAGACGAATGAAACAAAAGGTTGGAATTTATAATTAGGTTTTATCAGGAGACCATAACCTTGAAAGAAAACTATCAACTAGACAAAAAAAACTCCAAGAAATTTATTCAAGAACAAACAATATTTACAAAACATCACAAAAGGGAAATTACATATAGATATACAATTATGAAGGGAGAATTGTCTTTCCTATATTATCACACATCTCGACGTCACATCATCTTCCATCAACCGCTTACATGTTGTACTCGATTGGAAGGTTCTTGCGGCGCACCATACCGTCACCCTGGAACCACTCGCGGCGGAATTGCTTGGCTGCTCCTTCCGGAGTGTTGGTCCATTCGACGGTGACACGGTCGTTGTTGGTCGCTTCTGCAGCCGGATCGAAGGCGTCGCAAGAGATGGCGATGTTGATGGCCTCCTTCGGGTCGAGAACACCATTGGGCGGGTCCATGTTCAGACGGCGAGGGTTGGTCGTCTTGAAGGCGAAGCCGATACGATGCCCACCAGAGTTGATGATCTGTAAAAGTGAAGAAAAATTATTAGATGATTAGATTAGAATAAAGGACAAAAGATTTTACCTTCATGTAGTAGGTGTGCTTGTCGTCGAACGGCGCGTTGAAGATGACCTTCACGGCAGGAAGAGTCGTGATATCGCCGGGTGGAACAGACGCCATTGTTGAGAACGGTTTGTTGTTGTAGCAGGAATTGAAGTTGAAGAGAACTGGTTGATACCGGCTGGCTTTCTATTGGCTCTTTTATACCTTTATGCTCGAGAGTAGAATTCTTGAGAGAGAAACTATAAAAACCTTTGTTATACGCCAGTTCCCCCAACCTGCTTTCTGTTCAACTACACAAACAACGACAACAAACCGTTCTCAACAATGGCTTCTGTTCCACCCGGCGACATCACAACGCTTCCTGCTGTGAAGGTCATCTTCAACGCGCCGTTCGACGACAAGCACACCTACTACATGAAGGTAAAATCTTTTGTCCTTTATTCTAATCTAATCATCTAATAATTTTTCTTCACTGTTACAGATCATCAACTCTGGTGGGCATCGTATCGGCTTCGCCTTCAAGACGACCAACCCTCGCCGTCTGAACATGGACCCGCCCAATGGTGTCCTCGACCCGAAGGAGGCCATCAACATCGCCATCTCTTGCGACGCCTTCGATCCGGCTGCGGAAGCGACCAACAACGACCGTGTCACCGTCGAATGGACCAACACCCCGGAAGGAGCAGCCAAGCAATTCCGCCGCGAGTGGTTCCAGGGTGACGGTATGGTTCGCCGCAAGAACCTTCCAATCGAGTACAACATGTAAGCGGTTGGTGGAAGATGATGACGCCGAGATGTGTGATAATATAGGAAAAACATTTCTCCCTTCATAATTGTAATTTCCCCCGGTTTTTTGTGTGATTCTTATTGTCCCTATTTTCTTGTGTGATTGTTTGTAAATATTGTTTGTTTGTAAATAAATTGGGTTTGAATGTGTTCTTGTTATTTTCCAAATTTGGCACAAGCTTTTCTCATCTTTGCTTTGTTGGAGTATGGTTGACTTAATTAAGTCTTTATTCCTTGTTTAATTCCCATCTTCGATTTAAAAATTATCCTACAATCTCAACCAGTTTAAAGACATTTTTTAAAAACAATGTTAATTGTTGAGTTTTCCTTTAGCCACTTTCGCTTACCAAACTTTTAAATTCACCTAGAAAGAAATAAAATGTACGGATTACGGCGCCACTGAAAGTGCTGGAGAAGACGAGGATCGAATAGAAAGAAATGTTCCAATGACGTTAATGATGGAAGATAAAAATAATTTAAACCTTTGCCATTTACGGAGCAATGGAATTGGACATTCGCTTTGAGAAAACCGTGAGACAATATTAAATATATTAAATGTACTTTCTCATGGATCTCACAAAATTTAAAAACAGATATAAAACTAAAGAGGTGTCATTTGTGTGTATTTTAAATTATGAAACGAAATTAATACAAAAATTAAAAAAATTTGTCGAAATGGTGACATCTCTTTTGTTTATTTATTTACTCGTTTAATTCTGTTAACATGAGTTCATAAACGAAAACATGAACCTCCCTCTATTAAAACTAGAGATCGGCTCGATACGATTTTTCATCGATAATTATCGATATTTTTCGATATTTTTTTTCGATATTATCGAAAAAATATCGACCGACAAAATTTTGACTTTTTCGATATTTTTCGGTATTCGATATTTTTTCGATATTTATCGAAAAATATCGACCGACAAAATTTAAAAATAGAAACAATCGACCGACCAAATTACAAAAAATCGAAAAAATATCGAACGTCATTTTTGACAAAAATTTGGATTTTTGGCGCCAAAAAGGATGCATTTTTGCTTCTTGCCCATCAGAAATTCAAAAAATTTTCGCCTGCGGCGCAAGAAAGGAGAAAGGTTTCTTCTATATTTACGATTTAGTTTGCCAAAGCGAGACGAGAGTGTGATAATATACAGTGATGTCAAAGTTCCAGTTCCAGAACTAGAACTACGGAACTAGTAAAGCCTGGAACTAGCTTGGAACTGGAACTACGAAACTAGTAAATGTCTGGAACTAGCTTTGGAGCTAGTTCTGGAACTAGTTCTTGGGGGTATATTTTTGACAAAATTTACTCGACGAAGTTTACGGGACGACCTTAGAAATTCTCAAAATTTCCGCCTGCGGCGCTCTAATTACCTCTGATTATATAACTTAAACCATGATTTATAACTTAAACCTCCTCAACAAATCCCTTGTAATCCCAGAGACACCACTAAACTCTCCGATATTTTTCGAATCCAACTTAATCCCAGTGAATCCCCCGATATCCCCCTTCATCCACTATTGATCCGAAAATGGAAATATTATATAACTAACAAAGAATTAAGTGGATAAAATGGATCTCGAGGGATAAAGACGACTTGGGAGAGATAGATATCAAAACGGATATTAAATCCAAGATTTTTTATCCTCTGATATATCTTATCCCCCGATATCCCTCTTAATACACAAATCCCTTGATATCCCTCCTTATCTCATAAATCCACAATATCACACTTACTACCTCTAAATCTCTCGATACACAATCAGCCCTTCAATATTCCCCTTAATTATTAAAATCCATTATTCCTGGTTTAAATCCACTTATATCCCACTTGATCCTTCGATATCAATTACAATTTCATTGATATTACATTTAATACTTCCATATCCACCTATATCCCATTTATCAATCTTAATCTCATTAAACTATTAGGTCTATTCTTTTATTCGTTGGTTATAGAAAAATTTTTGAAAAATCGAAAAATATCGAGACTTTTTTTTCGATATTTTTCGGTTTCGATATTTTTCGATATTTATCGAAAAAATATAGACCGAGAAAATTTTGATTTTTTCGATATTTTTCGATATTCGATATTTTTCGATATTTATCGAAAAATATCGACCGACCTCTTCGGCCGATCTCTAATTAAAACTAAGGGTAAACGGGAAGCACTTCACAAAATAGGTCGTTAAAAAAACTGCAAAACAAAAAGGTTAAATAAAATGATTTAAACGAGTACTTAATTTTTTGTAAATTTTAGATATTTATTGTTAACCAAAAAAGAATTTTATTTTTATAACAGCTTTGTTGAAATGTTGTTTTTTAATTTAGTTTGAGGAAACTCGGGATTTTTTTGAAAATTTAAAGGGGTTTTGTGAGTTAGGAAAATCTAAAAAATATTGAGACGGAAAATTACTGCGAAATTTAAAAAAAACAACATTAAAATAAAGTTTAAATTTTCTTCCCAACAAAATTCAATAAATCCAGTGCTAAAAAAGAGAGATTGATATAAAATTAAATAAAAATTAATCTCCTTCCAAAATTACTTATTTCCATATTAAATTCTGTCCAAAATTTTATTACGATAAAATATTCAAAAAAAAAAACAAATTTCAGATATAAGAAATTTTATTTTTATAAAATATATTTTAGTAATTTTTTGGCCACAAAGGCAGTTAGTATTTGAAATTATAATTTTTTTCATATCAAAAAACTGAATCTACTTTTAAATATTGTCAGAAAAATATTTTCTTTCCTTTTTAAAATAAAATTTTATTTTTGTTGGATTAGCTGAACATGATTGTTTTTCTATAAAATTCTCTTAATTAGTCGATTCAGTTTAATTTTAGAAAATTTTTTTTAAATAAATTGGCCAATATTGAGAGAGATATAAAAAATATATTTTCTTTAAATTTTTCAAAAAAAATTCTAAGTAGGACCTAACAAGAGTTCATGTGCACATTCTTGTTCCATAAAAGTACTAAGCCGTTCAAGTAATTCATCAGTCACAACTTCACAAGCAATAGCACCATTACCGAATGGATCAAATGGCATTGTTTGGAAACTGCCGGTATCTGGAGTAAAATTACGAACTTCTTTCCATAAATTTTTTGTTCGATCAAGTCCCGCTGCTGCCATATGAGCTAAAAAAATTTTTTATTTAAAATTAAATTTAGAAGTACTACATGGGCAAATCAACACAATTTAGGAAAAAATCGACAAACGATAATTATTAAAATTATTGTCTATCAAATGCTTATTTTATTAAAAATAATTTCTATACCATCCATTTCCTGATAACTCATTAAAAGTGGTGCAACGATCAAATCAGTGTCTTCAATTGTCTAAAAAATAAAATTTAGTAAAATTAAATAAAATTTAAAAGAACTGGTTGTGTAGTTGTATGTAAATGTGCCTCAATTTCATTACAATTTGTAGCTCTAAATTGATAACAAGCAGCAAGTAAAAGACAATTTGTACAATTTCTCATAAAAACACTGAAAAAAAATAATTTTAAAAATTTATTTAAAAAACCTTCCACGAGAAGGTCCGCAAATAAAAATACAATTATTGCAATCTTCAATAATAACCGAAGAAACATAATCAAGTAAAGCTAGAACTGAACTCTAAAATTATTTTAAAATTTAAAAGCTTTAGAAAATAAAAGGAATTAATCAGATAGACTGATGTGTAGAAGGGTAGCAAAAGTATAAAAGCTAGTGTTAGTCTAGTTAGATTAGTGTGCGGTAAAATCACGGAAACCCGTAACGGGATTTTTTTCAAAAAATTTTTCGGCATGGGATCCCGCAGGATTAATCCCGTAAATCTCGCTCGTCGCTTAAAACACGGGATTTCGGGACGGGGTCCCGTAAAATCCTGTACCTTATTCCTGTATTCGCTGACTTAAAGAAATTTCTGACATCCCCCTCCCCTCTGAAATAACAGACTAGGACATTATTCACATAAAAAACAACCGTGCATCCTCTTATCGTAAATTGAAGTCCATTTAATTGTCCAGATTCTTTAACACAAGTTTGTTCATTCAAATCAATAAAAGCATTGTCAGCATTCATTAAAGGTGGATAACCTTGTGCAGAGGACATTGACCCACTCTCTGAAGGTGAAGATCTTCCACCACTCGCTGCCAAATCTTCTGAAGACGAACTTCCACCGCCACCTTTGGAAGAACCTTTTTTTGATGGTTTGTGTGTAAATGTGAACATTTTAGAAAAAAATTTAAAAAATTTTTAATAAATTTCAAAAAGAAATAATAAAAATTATTAAAAGCGAAGAAAATCGCCACTACAAAAAAATTTTTAAATTAATTTCCTATTTTTTATTTACTAAAGAATAAACAAAAATAAACAACAAAAATCATTCAGGATGATCATATTCGCTTTTTTCTTTTCTTGGATAAGCACCTCTACGAGGAAACCAAGGCATTAAAATTCCACTATATGGACGCCCAATGTCTGAAAAAAATTAATATTTTTAAAGAAATTCCTAGTTAGAATTAATTTTAGAATTCGAAAAATAGGGAACCATTGGGAAACGTGTTAATAAAATTAATGTAATACATGCGCATTAGTCTTAAATCATTCAAAATACCAATTTAAATGACAACAGGATTTTATATTTTTATGCTTAAAAAATACCTAAAAGCCTAAAACCAGCTAAAAAAGAATTTTCGAAAGAAAATTTCTGTCATTTAAAACCCCGAAAAACTAATTAAAATTCAAACAATCAGAAGTCCGGCCAAAATCATCAGGATGTAATTCCATATAATGCTCGATAACTGCATCTCTTGTAGCCATATTGTAAACACGAGATTTACCAGCAAAATAAGCGAGGCACATTCCGCCAGATATAAGCAAAGATTTTACAACAATTGCTGTTTAAGGGAGAAAATTTTAGAAAATATTTTTGGTTTGAAGGGAAAGTCCCTAAAAAATTTTAAGTTAATTTTATCGATCCGGGGGCTATTAGTCAAAATTCGGGTCATCAATTTCAACCATTATCATCATTTTATTGCTAGTTCAATTTAAAGTAAAGAAAGATGAGATAATAAAATACCCTTAATTATTTAAAATAAAAAAATAACCTTGATACCACGGCTTTCTGTAGAAGATATTATAGTAACTACACTAAAATAAAAAGAAGTCAATATAGGTAATTAGACAAAGCTAATTAAAACCAGCCTTTAACATTATTAAATGTCAAATTTAGCCAGTTATGAACTACAAATCATTGGTTGGGTCAAAGGTTTATTGCCAAGATGTTACTTCTGATAAAAGGAAATTCCTCCCCCTATAAAACCCCAAAAATCAATCTCCAAAAAGTCAAATAAAATTAAAAAAATTAACCGATGTTATACCAGCAATGCCAGCAGCCAAAGTCAACTTCGCTTGCAAAGGCCAACTAAACGGATCGAAAATGTTGTATTTAATTTGTCCTTCAGTCAAAAATGTTTCCCTTCTTTTAAACTCCTCAGGAGGAATTTTAACATGTTGTCCGTTAAATACCATCAAAAAAATTAAAAAAATTCCTTAAAATTGAAAATTCTCAAAAATATTTAAATGAATAAACAAATTCTTAAAAAATAAAAAAAAACAATTTATCGATTTTACTACACAAAAATAGCCTCAAAACACAAAATAACTCCCAATTTAGACTTTATTTATTTTCCTATAATTTTTTCCATTTTTTCCTTCTTAACGATCAAAATCAGCCGGGAATGTTCCACTTTCACGCTGATCGTCCCATTTCTCAACCCAAAAACTTGGACACATATCACGATAGACATTTTGGAAGAATTTACACGGAGCATAGTCTTCACCCATTAATTCTTTGCAACGGAAGAAGTCAACATAATAAGCTAAAAATAAATTTAAAAAATTTTTAAATCTCAAAAAATTAATGTTGTAGTAGGAAATTACGAAAAAGAAGCAGAATTATGAGGAAAATCCCTTCATTCAAAATAACTGGGGGGACATTGAAGGAACTATATATAATCGAGATAGTTCAAAATAATTTCATAATTTGGGGAGGATGTCATTTTCTCTTTCAATTACAAGAGGACTTTAAAAACTAAATTTTATACCAAAACAATGGCGCTGCTTACGGCACTGTGGAAAGCGCGAATCATATGGAGCAGCCTAAAATAAACAAAAATAATTTTTCATTAAAAGAAAAGCAAACCCAAGCAGTCTCGTTCTTCGATTTCTCATGAAATTCTTTAGTCCAAATTTTCTAAAAAAATTAACAGAAAAATGAAAGAAAGAAAAACTCCTTTACTGGATCATCCGGAGATGGCATAAGAGGTCCGCCTTTTTCCTTCAACTTCTCAAGACGCTCACCAAGTGTGTCAGGAATTTCAAATCCATCAACAAAAATTGGCATTTTTATTTATTTTACTGGAAAATTATTTAAACGACAAAATCTAAAAAATAAAAAAGATTTTGGGTTATTGATAAAAATATTAAAAAGGAAAACAAAAAGTGAGTTAAGATCAGAAAAGCAGATTCAGTCAGATCACTGTAGTATTTCGATCCGGCTAGAGAAAAGAATCTTCACATTAAGGACTTCAAATATTAAAAGATCTATAAGAAATGTCAAAGTTATTGATCGAATATAACTCAGCACTCAAACGGCAGGACTCAATGGACCGTCCGTTTTTCCTGCGGGTATGGGATCATTGATTATTCATTTGTCCCCGGAACCATATTTTGGGTCATAACTTTTTCAATTCTTATCAATCCAGGGATTTCGAATGATAAAGGATTTCGAATTGGTAAGATGCTACTCCGATAAGATGCTATTTTTTTAACTCAAAGGGCGTACAATAAGGAAAGGTGTAACAATGTTTGTAAAAATATTTTAAAATAAATTAGCGGGGTTTATTCAACCAAAAAATGAATATAAAAAATTATGCTAAAATAATTTATTGAGAAAGTCAATGAAAAAATTTGAAATATTTTTTAAAAAATATATTTATTTAATTATTTAATTCTCCAATAAATCCAAAACTTAATTTTCGTCTTTCCAAATTCTACTCCTTCATAATTTTAATTTTAACGTAAAAGCTCTCTTCATTACAAAACGAGAATTTAACCGTTGGATCGTGAATGTTGACAACTTGATAAGTGGTAGATTTTGTATCATCTGATTTCTTAATTTCAGCATTTTTTGCTTTGTCGTGTAATTTAAGAGTTGTGCAACTATCAAAATGAAGAATAATGACAGGTACCATTTTCGAAAAGTCTTTAGATGTTGCCACATACTGAAAATTGTAAATTTATTTTTAAATTCAATGTAAATAAGTACAACCCTGGAGACCTATTGACCCTGCTGAAAACATCAAAGGGAATATTGAGGGATTTGAAGTGATTAAGGAGATATCGAATCAGAGTTGGACTAAGCGACTCTGAGTCGAGTCTGAATCTCTAAGATCAGATTCAGACTCAGGAAACTGATTACATACTGGTAAATCTCAATTACAGAAAGAACACTTCTTGCGCATTTTTTACCAGGGACCAATAAACTAGAATATCACCGAGATATCGATAGTTTGGTGTCCGTAAGTGAGAAAATTGGGGGGGGGGGGGGGGGGGTAGGTTTTCAGGGTTGACTCCAGTTAAATAACTTATAACTTACTTCAACAATATGATTATAAACATCTTTGGTAAATCCTGGGGTAGAATATAACGTCACATAAACTTCTTTTCGAAATTTGTCTCCTCCATATAATAAAATTTTGAACAAATCATTTTTATAATTCTTCATAGTGTCAATATCAAATATCCAAAAAGAAAGTCGATGATATTCGCAAACCAAATTGTTCAAAATAAATTCCATTAAAATGTCAATATTGTATTCTTGAGCAGAAATATTACAATTTTGAACATAAAATTGTTTGGCTTCCCCGAATAATAATTCAATCACTTCTGGATTGATTATATAGTCTTCAAAGTAGGAGCATTTAAAAATACATTTGAATAACTTGCTCAAATAATAGTAAACTATCTTGATATCCTCTTTACTTTTAATCATGGCCGGCAGTCGAAGTATATATTCTTTTGTTTTGTCAACTGAAAATCTTTTAGTTACTTAAAAGAAAATTTGAAAAGCAATTGGATTCTTCGACAAAAGAATGGGGCAGGGCTGGCCGCAATTGCGGAGTGCGTGTTATTTTTGGACCGCTTTGCGGAAAACTTTTTCATTTTCGGCTAGCCATAGGTTGCAGATATAAAACTTGGGAATCAAAAGACCATAGGTGGTCACGTACCAGCCAAAGCTAGATTTCGGCAAGAAGACAAATTAGCAAGTCTTTTAGGAACCAAGCAACCGTTGGCTCTTGAGAGAAATCGTCTCACCATTTAGCACCTCGCTGGAGTCAACGGTCATTTAACCGCTTTTGCCGCTTCCTCCGCAGCGGCAACAACTCAAAGCCAATTTTTAAACTAAAATTAACCTGTCTCCAAAATAAGATCTTCTTTGCCCGGACCATGACCACTTAAAAACAAAGGAATTGGGTATCCAAATCCATTTTTGAACTAAAAAGAAAGGAAATTTGAAGTTTAAACACACACTAAATACCTTCTCTTCAAGTTCTTTAGGCAATGGAGAATCAAAATCTTCAGCTTTAGGTTTTATAAATTGACGAGGAAGTTCGCCTCTACCGAGATAACCCTTAAATAAATAACTTTTTTGTCAGAAATTAATTAAAAAGCAATTACAAGGGAAATCATATTAAACTTCTCCTTAGCAAATTCCCCCTCATATTTAATAACAAAATTGCGAAAATAAACATTCGAGAGTTTGAATGCCAATAATTGTTGATAGTTAAGACATTTAAAAATGTCGAGCTTCGTTTCATTTGGAAAAGAATAAAGCATTTTTTGAAGAAAATTTTTAAATAAAATCCTAGAAAATTTAAAAAATGTCAAAACAAATTATCTTTAGCCGACTAAAAAGGAAACTCCAAAAATTGCCAATTAATTAAATACCAATACATACATAAAGTGCCAACAAGGTTAAAAATGTTCATTTTGCCAATAAGGGCAAAATTATAAAAATTGCCAAGAGTTGGTGGCACGAATTTTCGTCAACGGACTTTCCGTCAATGGACTTTCCGTCAACGACTTTTCGTCAATGAGTGGATGTTTTTTTAATTTTGAGAGAAATAGAAGATGATACATGTATGTAAAAGTGTTGTCAGATTGAAAATTAGACTTATTTGATAATTCTGAACAAAGTTATAAGCAATTGTGTCACTACGAAGGATAGGTAGTCTTTTCAAGGTTGAAAATCGGTAAAAATGAATAGGTTTATGTTACTGGTGTAGAACCCAGCGACCTTTGACTCCCCGCGAGGCGCGTGCCGCAAAACCCCGCGCGAAGCGCGGGGTTTTGCACAAGCGCCTCGCCTACGCCCCATAGGTTATTCGAGAGTATTTGAAGAAATAAGGATTCTTATACAAAATTGGGCACATAATTTAGTTATTTGTGGCTTTGAACAGGCCGATTAATTTCCTAAATTTTTTATAAGCGATCATTTATTGCTGAAAAGTCCGTCCATTGACGAAAAGTATTGACGGAAAGTCCATTGACGGAAGGTCCGTTGACGAAAAGTCGGGGAGCCCAAGAGTTTCTTCTCTTCCTCCGCTCGGTAAAGCCCGTTTGGGTATAGCCGTTTGAGAATAGCCGTTTGGGTATGGCCGTTTGAGAATTGGCCGTTTCGGTCTATGGCCATAACTCTCTTTATATTTGTCCGATTCTGATAATTCTTATATCATTCGAAAGGTCTCGTAATGCGGCATCTTTTTCATAATTGGATCGATTTTATCTGATCATCACAAAAAAGTTACAGACGAAAAACCGTTTTTTTCTGCTTGCGACATCGTTTATCAGTGATAACTTTTTGTTGAATGATCTGATCAGATAAGTTCAATTATAAAAAAGATGAAGTACCTCGAGATCTATCGAAACATGAAAAAATTTTTCTGAAAGATCAGCTTCAACAAAAGTTATGGCCAAAAAACGGCTATACTCAAACGGCCAATTCCCAAACGGCCATACCCAAACGGCTATTCTCAAACGTCCCCTACTCTCCTCCGCTTACTCTTTCATTCAAATATCTGTCATTAGGATTTCGCTTTTGCCCAAAAAAGCGAACGGCGAAAGACGAGTCAAAAAAGGCGAAAATTGGCGAAAGGCGAGAAAAACTACATATTATTGAATTAAAAAATTTTTTAATTTAAAAACCCAACACTTTTAAAATTCCACTGGGGTACTCAGTCAACTAACTAACAAAATTAGTTGAAGAACTGAGGGAAAACAAAAAAATTGACAGAAAAAGCCAAAAAAATTGACCCTTATTGACAAGATATGTAAACATTTAAAGCATTATTGGCAAAATACACAATAACCTTTTGCAATGTGAAATATGCGAAACACTCAAAATTTTAAAAAATAATTCCTTTATTTTACAATCAAAGTAAATGAAATACAAATTAAAAGATTTGTGTAGAATTTAAAGAGATTTTTCTATTCTGACGTTTCTATATTTACATCTATTTGAACATCACTATCCTCATCATCCAAATACCTTTCATCATTAAGAAATGCTGTATATTTCTCTTTATTAGCAGCACGATTAACAACAATTCTAAGCTCATTCATAAGTTTTTCATCTTCTTGTTCTTGTCGCCAACGTAAATAAATATATACGAGAAAGCCAAGTGCAATAGTTAGCGCAAATATTAAAGTTGAAGAGACAACAATAACCTCAGCTTCTTCAGATTCGAATATCTTTAAGTAAAAAATAAAGCTTTTTTAGCACAAAAATCCCCCCATTCTTACCTCATCGCTAAAACTTTCCATTTCTGATTCAGCAGGCTTCAAAGCATTGGGGCACCACCTCTGTGTGAGAAAATGTCTCACATCAATTGTTAAATTCATTTTTGAAGAGAATAGAAGAAATATTTGGATGTTGATTGTCTCATTATAAGCTTTTATATACCGTATTTTCTCTAATAGTGCGACTGTCTCTAATAGACCGACCCCTTCTATTAAATCGACCCTCTACAAAATGGTTGAAAAATAAACCGACCAGTCGCACTATTAGAAGAAATACGGTATTTGTGGAATTTTTGGAACGGATGGAATTTTTAAGGAAATTTTTTGAAGACTTTTTGCAGACTTTGTTTGGGTAAAAGTTCTGGGGTTTTTTCATTTACAAATTAATTAAATTCAGAATTTTTAATGCCTAAAATAATTTAACTAAAATTTTCTCTCATAAAATTTCAATTTTTTACAATCTTTTTTATCCCCCTTCTTTCGTAGTTGACCGGCCAAACAATTTTATTTACACAATTATAACCCAAAAATATCTTTACTCTCCCGGGATTTAGTCGGCAATAGAGAAAATATCCATCAAAAAGATATATTTATAGTTTTTGACCGCTATTTTAAATGCCGCCTTTTCTTTATCTTTCCGCATTACACCTTTGAAACGATGGACAAGGTCGGTCGACAGGAATGACAAGAAGGTAAAAATTAAACTTTAAATTTATTCTGAGATTATAATTTAATTATAAATAATTAAGAGGATTGGAAAGAAAATGGAATTTTTAGAAGATTTTGGAGAAAGGTTTGGAAAAATATGATAGTGAAAAAATTTGAAATAAAAAACAAAAATTTTTTAATAAAAATAGCCCTCAGATTCAATTATAGCAAGTACTTACTTAATACAGTGGTGCCAATTTAGTTAAGAAAAGGGGTAACTTCTATGTAATTCGGCAGACAATATTAAAAAATACCACAATTCGGCTTGCCAAATCAGACTTAGTTAAGTAAGGAGGTTATAAATAAGATTTTTATAAAGAAACAAATCATAAGCCTTAATTATTTAAATAAGATTATCGGACTGTAGAAGAGAATCATAGAAAGATAAACTAACAAACTTACTTATTTCCTATGGATTTCCTTTTATTTTTAATTTTTTTTCTAAAGATTTTTTAAACCCCCATTTCCGAAAATATTTTCATTCATTTTTGTGCCACTCCCTTAAATAAAAAAAAACATTCAATCACCCCATATGGCCTTATTGCGCAATCAAATTTTCCCTTTTTTAATGAAAAAGAGAGCGCGGCATTATTTACTTAAATAAGCCGATAGCTAAATATTGAAAGACTAAAATAAATATATTTATTTATTTAATTCTTTTATTTATCATTTTTAAATTGCCGTCAACAAAAGAAAATAAAAGGAAAAGACAAAAGCCGGCGACGATGTTAATCCCTTAAAGCAAAATAAAGACATTTGGGTGCAGGGAAAGTATGGCGTGGTTGTGTAAAATTATCAAAAAGAATTCTTAGACTGTTTACTGTTTTGCTAAAACTTTCTAATTTAGATTGGGTAATTTAGAAAATTATGGCCTTACAGGAATTGATCTCCAATTTAGGGATCCGTTTTTAAAATCTTCACACTCTAAAGCCGCCCAAAATCCTGCGCCCAACCTTCCCCCACCCTTACAGCAATTGATCTCCTAAAGGAGCCCCTAAGGGTTAATGGGGAAATAAATAGTAAAAGGGTGACACTGTAAAAAGCAAAATAGTTTTTGTTTTGTTTTAGCGATTGGCTTAAAAGATAAGCTCTATAAAAGGCAATATATTAAATGATTGAATAGAGAGAGGGAGAGGAAAAAGGGTTTTTATTAATAAATTGGACTCATTACAATCCACTTATAGCGAGGGAATAAAAAAATCCTCTTTAAAACAAAACATGTCCCCCTCCTCCTCCTCTATTTATATAATTAATGGAAATATATCGGGAATGGGAAAATAAATAAATTTGGAGGGAAGAGAGGTGGAAAGGGGAGATTTTGAGGGAGATTACGGCAAATTTTTGTATATAATTTTGTGATTTATTAAAAGGAATAGATTTTGATTGTAAAACTTGGGAATATTTATTTATTTATTTAATTACTGTACTAAATAATTGGAAATTACTTTTAAGTTGTCCTCTCCTCTTTTATTTAATTAATTTTTGTGAATTAAAAAAAGCTTTAACTATTTATATTCAAGATATACCGACAGTAAATCAACATCCCTGTTATAATTTTATGTATCAGTCTATTTCTTGTGATCTAAATGGGAGAGAGATGAGTTTGTATTAAATTTTAGATTTTTTCGCTTCTTTGGAGGGCTATAGCTTTTTAATTAGTAAATTAACACAGGGGATAATTGAGTTTGTCCCTCGCACGTCTCCAAAATTCGCGGAATTTGAGTTTTTTGATAATTCCCCCGCAGGGTGTCCCCTTCCAAAACACTAAAATAGGGCACAGACACTCAAAAATAGGGCAAATATAGGGCGAAATCGGCCAAAAATAGGGCAAAAATTAGGGCATAGTTTTAAGAGCTTAAACATAATTAAAAATTCAAATAAGGTGAAAATATTGATACTTCTGGAATGCCAAGAAGCCAAATTTCTTCGATTTTTAGCGTCGCAAGAAAAAATTTTGAGGATTTTGGGAGGCTAGAAGCCAGATTTCTTCCATTTTTTGCGCCGCAGGCAAAAATTTTGAGGATTTTGGGAGGCCAGGAAGTCAGAAATCCTTCATTTTTACCATTTTTCTTACAAAATCCGAAGAATTTTTAAAATTTTACAAGATGGAAAAATAGGGCAAAAATATGGCAAATGAGAATATAGGGAAAAAATAGGGCGAAAAGATCAAAAATAGGGAAAATCCTCTATAAATAGGGTAAAAGGGCCACCCTGTTCCCCCGTCCTTTTAATCAACCTTCCCTACACATAAATTTTTCTGAATGATTCGACCTATTGCGGCAATTATTCTACCATTTGACCTTTAAAATTTTAATATAATACCTTCAAACAAAAAAATTCTGCCTTAACATATCCCTCCTATATTTTATACTTTACCTACTTTTATTTTCACATTTTTTCCTTCTTAAAAAATTTTTCAAAAGTCCCTACAAAATTTCCAGTCTTTCCTCTATTTATTTTATCATTCTCCAAACCACTAAAAATTCTTCTCAATATTTTTCTTTTATTTATTCTTTTCTTCAACTCGTTGCTTTCACCACCAGGTAATCCATCATATTTTTGTCTTTTTTCTTCACCACATCCTCCTTCTCCTTTTCTCTCTTTTTTAATAAAATTATTTTTCAAAAAGTTTTTGTGTGTGCGACTGACTGGCGGCGGTTTATAAAATAAAAAGAAGTACGGGTTATTATGTATATATTTTGGGTGGGCTAAACAAGAAATTATTAAATATTAAAGAGCTATTAAAAGGCCGTAGGGGGAAAGTATTTTTTTCTTCTTCTTCTCTCCTTTTTTGGAGAATTAATAATTGGAGAAGAGTATATCTACTGTATTTTTGTAGGTAAATGACGAAGTTAAAAAAGGAAGAGAAGATTAAGGGGGCCGACCACTCTAATTTGTAAGAGGGTCTAATATATCCCATTAACAATACCCAAGTCGAAGCAATTTTATGATTTTTGACTAAGTTTTCAAATCCTAAAAAGTTTGAAAATTTTTTAGCGGAATGGGAGAGTGCCTTTCCATTTAAATTATTTGTTAAAAGGGTATTAGGTGTTTTTGAGACTAAAAACCCCCAATGAAATTAAAGGGAGGGTGTGAGTTATTGATAATTTATTTATTTATTTATTTATTTGCCTCTTGGGCGACATTACAAATTTGAAAATACATATATGGATTGAAAAAATAAATTAAGTCAAGTTGAAAATTAAACTAAAACAAATATATGTCAATAATTGGTACAACAAATATATGTGATTGTATTATGTTACGGGTGTGGGGCGTGATAAATATGTGTTGAGATCTATTTGATCAAGAAGTGTTTTGAATATTTTGGAATTTGATTTACGTATTGATATTGGTAACTGAGAGTATAGCCGCGCTGTCCTAACAAAAAAGGAATTATGGCTGATTTGATTTGATCTTGCCGGAATAAAAAATTTATATTCGTCTCCCCTTGTATTAGTTTTTGTAATTTTAAATGTTTCTTTTTGATCGATTTTTACTTCACCATGTAAAATTTTGTGGAAAAATTTAAAGTCAGTTTTGAGTCTTCTAATTTGTAGCGAGTCTACCTTAAAAATTTGTAGAAGGTCTTGATATTCTGGAATTGGTGTGCGTGGATTTGACCTATTGTATATAATACGTAAATAAGTTTTTTGTATTTGTTCAAGGTGTTCGATATCCTTTTTAAGATATGGATTGAAAACGGGCGATGCAAATTCTATTATGGGTAATACGTATATTTTATATAGTTCGAGTAATATTTTAGGATCATTAGTTTTTAGATTTCTTATTATTGTAAATGCTGTTTGATTTGCTTTGTTAGTTATAATTTTGATGTGCTTTTCCCATTTTAAATCGTGTGAAAAATAAACGCCAAGGTCTCTTATAGAATCTTGATTTGAGACTGTTTTTATCTTTTGATTATTGAGTGTGTATGTGTGCAAAGGGTTTTTAGGCCCTATGTGTAAAAGAGATGTTTTTTCGGCTGAAAGTTTGAGTGAATTTTCCTCAGCATATTTTTCTAGTTTTTTGATAAACTCTTGTAGGTTAATTTCAAAGTCTTTAGTGTTTTTAGAGAATGAGTATGCTTTAAGATCGTCTGCAAACAATTTTATCTTTACGTCCTTTGTTTCACAGAAACTGGGTAGATCTGATATGTATATAAGGAAAAATAATGGCCCTAGTATTGACCCCTGTGGGACGCCTCTATTTATATCCATTAAATCAGTTTTATAATCTTGGATCATCACAGTAAATTTTCTATTAGTGAGGTAATTTTTTAGCAATTGTAAAAAAGATCCCCTTATTCCAATTTTGTGTAATTTATTTATAAGTTTATCATGTGGAACTGTGTCGAAGGCTTTACTAAAATCAAAATATATGACATCAATAAATTGTTTATTTTCCAAAGCAATCGAAAAGTCGTTGAATGTTTCTAAAAGTTGTGTGGTTACTGATTTCCCTTTTCGAAATCCATGTTGGACGTTAGGGATAATTTCATATTTTTCTATAAAATTAATTAATTGATTGTATAATAATCTTTCGAAGACTTTTGAGATTGGACATAATAGAGATATTGGCCGGTAGTCTGAAGGACAGGATGAATTTTTATTTTTCGGAATGGGTATAATTATGGACTGTTTCCAGATATCGGGTAAGTTTGCGCTCATTGTAATATAGTTAAATATGTAGTAGATAGGGTAAGCAAGTGATTGTGAGCAATTTTTTAAAAATATCTCAGGAATCATATCTGTCGATATATTTGATTTATTTGTCGATATATTTGATTTAAACTGTAAGGAATTACTGTAAGGAATTACTGTAGAAAATATAAAGAATTTTTTAAAGGGGGAAGAAATTTGAATTTAAAAATTAGAAAAATTTATTTGACAAGAAATTTTGTGAAAAGATTTTTTCCCTTTTAACTAAAAATTCGGAAGATCTATCAAAACTTCGATTTTTTAAAGAAGTAAAAAAATATTTATATTTAAAAATTAAAAAATTTATTTGACAAGAAATTTGTGAAAAAAGAAAATTTAAAGAAAATTTTCAAAAAAATATACAAAATTTATTTGATTAATTATTTGAGAAAATTTAAATTATATAAATATATTCATTGTTTACAATTTAGAGGTTTGATGTGTATAGAAGAATCAGAGGTTTTAAAATGAAAACTATGACTGTAAGGAATTACTGTAGAAAATATAAAGAATTTTTTAAAGGGGGAAGAAATTTGAATTTAAAAATTAGAAAAATTTATTTGACAAGAAATTTTGTGAAAAGATTTTTTCCCTTTTAACTAAAATTAACAGAAAACAAGCATTTTTTACCTATTTGAGTGAGAATTTTAAATAATGCCAAAAACATGCTAGGCCGACAAAACTTATACATATTATTCACCCTAATATTTGCTAAATATAAACACTTTTTCTGTTTCTTTTTTACAGTAAAACACAGTCATTGCACAAAAACAATTTGGAGGAAATTGAAAGAAAGGAATGAGAATATTTAATGTTTTTTGGGTGAAGGAGAAGGTCCATCAGAAGAAGAAGAGGAAGAACCAGCTAAGGAAGAAGGGCATGAACCTGGAACTTTTTGATTATTTAAATTTTGTTGTAAAATTGTTGGGGGTAGTGGATTTGTTGTTGAAGTATTCCAATTTGTTGAACGTAGAAAGGCTGTTTCTTTTTGTTGTTTTTTCATCTTTAAAGAAATTTTTTTGAAAAGAAAATTATTGTTTTGAATGGGGATAATTAGAAGTAAAAATAATTATTTAAATTTTTAATTGAGAAAAAATTTTTTTTTAATTTATTCTTAACAAAAAATAAAAAACCTTCATTCTCCTATTTTGAAACCAAATTTTAATTTGGGATTCGTGTAGCTGCAACATTGCGGCAATTTCTGCTCTTCTACTTTTGTTTAGATATCTATAAAAAATAGAGATTAAGAAAAAATAATTTATAGGAAATAATTTGAAGAGTTAATAATTTCCTTTCCTCCACTTCCCCTTCCAGTCAAGACTTTGAATAAAAAGAAGCAAATTTTAATTTTGGTATTTTTAAAAGGTTACACAAAGCTTTCAACAGAAAGGAAGCTTTTCACAACTTCTTCCCTCTTCTTCCTTTTTTTATTCCCTAATTTCTCCCCAAAAATTTATTTAAATTTAACTAATTAAATACTTGTTTGTATGAAATTCCTTTTCCAATTCAGTTAATTGATGATAAGTAAAGTTTGTTCGATTAGTTACATTCTCCTGTGCCCCCAATGGAGATATTGACGATATTAAAGAAGTTGAATTTGTTAAAGAGTTATTTATTAAATTATTATTATTAATCGCCTCTTTATTAATTATTGAATGTCCATTTAATGCTGAAAATATTTAATTGTTAGAGGTATATACTACAATTTTTTTGGAGAAGGAAGGGATTTAAAAAGTTTTTGCCAATAAAGAGGAGGGAGACCCTTCTGTCTGTGAGACTCTCTATAGAAAGAGACTTTCTCTAAATTTAAAGGCCCTTTTCAACAAATAATACTTTCAATACGGAGCTTCCAATCACTCCTTTTCCTGCTAGAAACACTAAAAATCTGGACGTTATCGATAGCCATTTGTTCCAAAATAAATTCTAACCAAATCACCCCCCCCTTTCAATGCCAGAAAAAGTTTTATTTTCTTTGATTTATTTATGGCCTTTCTCCTTCATTAAAGGTGTCAAAGTTGACCCAGGAAAAGCAAAAATAATAAAGTATTTAATAAGAAAGTTTTAACCTGCCACAGTTCCTTGAATGAAGGAGGAAGTGGCTATTGTTGTTGAAGGTTTATTATTTCCGTTAATATTCCCGTTATTATTTCTTTTTACTTGCATCCATTTATATTGCTCTATTAGGGGAAGTTGTTTTGATTGGTGATTATCATTGTAATTATTTGTTGTGGAGGTGGTGGATTTTGTTATGTTATTGTGTTTTAATTGTTGATTTCTTTTACCCCCTTTTTAATTTAAAAGAATTAATTGGAAGGAGAGGTATGGGGTGGGGTAGGGGGTTTAAATAAATTTTCAGTTAATTTCCGGGACTCTCTTAAAATCAAGCTAATCTGATAAACTGACATTATTTATTAATTATATTGAGGATTTACTCCCTCATTAACTGTATAATTGTTTTGATTTGTAAAGATATCCTTCCCTATATTTTGAAAGGTTAAGGGAAGTTTTCTCAGTTAAACTTAATTTTTTTCTTAATAGAAAAACTTACTAGGACCGCGTTTTTTAACTTGTTTAGGTATTGTAGAGGGTGTATTTACAATAAAAGAATTATTTGAGGAGGAAGGAGGGGGAGGGTTATTATTAGAGGACATTGGAAATGTTGAATTATTTTGAATTTCGTTTGTTGGTTGTTGTTCTTCTTTTAAAGGGATTATTTGGTGGTTATTTAAATTAGGATTTCCATAAAAATCAACTAAATGAGAAGGGAATCCTCCGTCATTTCCTCCTCCAATTACTGTGGAAGGCGAAGGAAGTACTGAAGAAGAATTGTTAATTGATAACCAATGATGATGATGTTGGTGATGAACTGAGGGATCGGAAGAGAATAATTGATTCTGTTGTTGATCCATGGGACAAACTGTCATCGAGGAAAGACCGTGTAAATGATTGGGAGCTTCATAATTGGGTTGAATAAATTGATGGGAAGAAGCTGTTGAAGGCTGGAAATATTTGGGAGATTTTTATTGTTTATAACGATTAAATGTTTAATTGGATGACTATTTTCTAGTCTTTTATTTCTTATTGAACCGCATTTATGGACAGATTTAACATCCCCTTCCTCAAAAGGGAAGGGGATATTCTTAACAGATTTAGTTCCCCTAAAACTTGAAATGGTGAACGTTCTTAACCAAAATAGGACGTAGATAATCCCCCTCCTATTTTATTGTTGGACAACCTTCTCCCATCTTCCCCCCAATCCAAACCTGTTGTTGATTATGCATTCCCCCACCCCCATTCCCAATAATTCTTTGTTGGAATGTTTGTGAATGTTGAATATTTTGATAATAATTAGAAGGTGTTGGATCCAATGATTGTGTTTGTATCATTGTAGAATTAGAAGGAAGATGGAAAGGGTCTGCTGAGCAACTCATTTTATGATATATTTTTAATTCAAAATTTTTGCTTAAAAATTAGTATTTTATTTAATAATTAATTAATATATGTATTTACTGACTGGAAAATAAATTGTTATGGCAATTCCCTTACCTTGAGACAGCAGGGTGAGGGAGTTATTTCTACTATAACAACAGCCTACCTGTGGTACACGCCCAAAACGGCGCGCGGCCATAACGGCTAAATTGCTTCAAGATTTCTTAATCCTACCAGATTTAGTATCAAACGATTCCTCCAAACATTTTCCAGCAAGCTATGGCTTTGTGCGGTTTTGGGCTGTAACAACTACATATATCTGTCCCTGCCTAGTAAATTATCAGAAATATTTAAAAATTTTCTTTATTCCATGACGAGTCATCAAAAAATTTTTTTATGAAATGCAGGAGATGCTCGACTATAGTACCTAAAACTCTTTGAAGGAGAGATTCACGTTTAACATTAAAATTACAAAAAAAATATTTTTATGGTCCCTCTCCTTTTAATTTCAACTTCCCAAAACTCCAAAAAGGAAACAAAATTAAATTTAAAATTTTACTAAAATTAATTAATTAAACTTAAAAAGTTTTGAAAAAGGCGGCAATAATAAAAGGAATAAAAAAAGGTAGTAAATATAATATAGCAACTAATAAATTGGGGGGTAAATGGAAAATGAATGGCCTGGTGGGTAAAAGAAAAAAGGGTTAGAAGAAGGAAGGAAGAAGTAAAGGAAGATGAGTGATGGGCGGGGCGGGCGGTTCTGTTAAGGGGGGTAAAAATATATTTTTAATATTTTGTGGGGAAGAATAAATAACTGTGTTTGATGGGTGATATGAAAAGCAAAAGAATTTAAAGAAGAAAGAAAGAAAACTTTTAGGTAAAAATACTTTTTTTGTCCTCAACACGGCTGTCGGCCGTTCTATAAGGGAAAGGGGATTTTTGGGCGCAATAAGGGGTAATCGAAGACTTACAAAATAGGCAAATAACCCCCTCTAAAACCATGAAATTTTGTTTAGAAGCTGGATAATCTTCAATACATACTTTAATTCACTAATTCACGGATACCGGCTTCGGATGCTTCAAGTTTCCCAGACTTCGGATGCTTCGGGTTTCTCATGATCAGCCAACCCTATTCATTGTTTAAAACGTGGAATTTTCGAGAATATAGTGAATTTAGCTAATTAATTTTTGGTTATATGTAACTTATGAAATAAAAAATAGAAATTCTTTTTTTAATTTCTAAAAAAGTTATTCAACATTTATTGACAACATTCGTAAAAAATTTTTAAGTATAAATTTATATAAAGGGGGAAGTTATTTGTTCGCGCCCAGTAATTACTGCGCCGAAACGTTTTTTCAATTTTTCGAAGGACTATGAAGGAGGATATAAATTCCTTTTTTACCGGCCATAAATCAAAGAGACAGCTTCTGTGGCAGTTCATTCCTTCCACCTTACCTTCTTTCCTCTCCTTCTTTCTTCTACTATTTTTGACTGTCTTAACTTTTCACATTTTTCTTCAATTTCTTTTTTTCATTCCCGCGAGAATATATTACTTACTCTTTTTTTCTTCACATTTTAACGTCCTTGAAAGAAACTTCTTTTTAAAACCTCCAATCGGCTGTCTGGGCGGGCTAATAATTTATGAAAAAAAAGAAATTTTTGACGAGTAAAATATATTGACATTGAAGAGAAGGAAAGAAAGAAGGAAGAAGGGGGGAGTGGAGGGGGGGAGGGAGGGGTAGTTCTTTGGCCTAAAGGGTTATTTTTACTGTATTTATTAATGAGCATTACACGCCTTTTATTAAATAAAAAGTAAACGATTAATTAATTAAAATTGATTAAAAGCGCAAAATAACAAAAATAATTTTTAAATTAAAATCAATAATTTCTTTTAATTAAATTAATATATTTAATTCAGATTTTTAAATGTAAGGAAGGATCTGGCGATGATAAGCGAAAATTAATTATTTTTTCGAGTCTTGGGTTTAGACCAAAAATTTTCTTAAAATTGTGGAAGATGTTTAAATTTTATATTTGCTCGAGAGAATTCAGATTTAATTAAAAAGAGAATTTCGTTGATTTGAGTGTTTAGCTAAATCCGAAGTTTAATGTTTTACTTTATTTTCTTTAACAAAATGGCCGGTCATTTTATTTTTTATATTCAATTGGAGTTGGTTATTGTAAAATAGAGAAAATATAATAATTATTTAAGATACACAAATAGTTGATTACTTCTTGAGCTTTAAAAGGTTTTTTAAAAATTTGAAATAAATTTTATTTAAAAATAAATATGAAAATAAATATTTTTCTTTTTCTTTTTTTTTCCTAAAAATTTGTAAAGAAAAAAAAAGATAAATGTTTTTATTTGTCTTTTTCTCGATTTTGATCTTCATCTCTAAATATTTAACTAATTTATTTTTCTTTCTTCCCTTCATATGCAAATTCATTCATTTATTTTATTTCTTGGCAAGGCCATTTTTAAATATTTTTAGCAATTTGTCATTGTCTGCCATATTTTGGGAAATAAATGGTATTTGTTTGTTTTGTTTCTTTTTTAAAAAAATAAAAATTTTTTTATCAAAATTTTATTTTCTAGAATCATAAATTACAATTAAAATCTAATTTAAAATTTTAAAATGAAATTAATTAAAAACCCCATTCAAAACTAAAGACTTCAATTCTGATCTCTAAATATCAAGGGTATATCGAATCAATGGGAAACTGTCTCTATTTTTATATTTAAAAGAGAAACTATCCTGATTGGAGTTTTAAATATAGAATGGTACAAAAAATAGATTTATCATTTATTTATTTATTTACAATTCAATTTTCGTAATATTTTATATATTTTTTAAGATGTTTTGATTATTTATAATTTCAAAAAACCTTTAGCCACCTCATATTTTTTGTTATTCAATCAATCCATTTTAGCCTTTAATTTCCCTAGAAAAATTATTTTTTTTGTCAAAACTTTCTTTCAAATTGTTTTTATTTTAATTTTGAATATATCAAATTAAAATTAAAATTCTTATTTTAAATTATTAATTATTTCCTCAAAATACATAAATATAAAACAAATCACAATTCGAACAATAGAGAAGAACATTGTCAGACTATAAATAAATTCAACCGTCACCACCCAAAGAAGCTATTGGATCTTGAAAACTTTTGACTTTTCTGTCTAATTTTATTTTAAAATTTGTTTGTTATGCCTAATGAATGCTTTGTTTTAACTCGAAAATAAATATTTTTTATAAAACAAAATTAATCCAAAGTGTTGTTTTCTTATTAATTTTTGAAGTAAAAACTTTTTTAAAAATTTGAAATTTTTATTTTATAAAAGTATTTTTTGGCTGTTATTTTGTTTGTATTAAAATATTTTTGTTTAAATTCCTCAAAAAAGAAAGCGAAATATATATATTTATTTGTAGTAAAAATATTTTTACCAAAAACAGAAGGGAAAATAATTCTAAAAAAAAGTTTTTTTGTTTAACCCATTCAATATTAATCTAGAAACAAATAAAAATATATTTTCTAAATAATTTTTCTAAAATTTTAAACTAAAGATTTAAGGGAATTAATATAATTTTAATTAAAATAATTAATTCTCTTTTAAATAAATAAAATATATTTAGAATAAATATAATTTTTTAGCAAAATTTCTTCAAATTTTTATTTTTTTGGATCAAAAATATAATCAAAGTATTCTTTTAAAATCTACAAAGACTGTTCTAAAAAAAGGGAAAAATAAAAATAATTTCAATTTTTTGGTTTAATTTATTTAAATATCGAGACGTAATATTTAATAAAAATTTCGGTTATCGAGTTGATATTTTTCGAGATATTAATATTGACATCCAATCCAGTCTACAATTTAAAAGACTTCCTTCCTTCAAAGTTTACTTGAATGATAAAAAAATTAATTAGAAATTGGAATTTTATTTAAAATTAAAAGAGACAACAAATTATTCGTTAATTTTTTTCTTTAACTTTTAAAAAGAAAAATTTTTTAAATTTCTTTAGCAACTTTATCAAATAAAATTTTTATTTTATTTTTGCCATTAAACTTAAATATATTTTTAAATAAAAACTTTTTTTATTTCCCGGCCAGAAACTTTTTCTTTCTAATTTTATTTTTAAACTTTTCCTTTCTGTTGTCATTTAGATGTAAAATAAAAACGGTCAAAATATTTTGGGTTTTCCTTTAAATAAAGCACGGTGGATTGAAAAGAGAAGGAAAAAAAGCAACTGTTTCTAGATTTATTTAGACAACAATGGAGATTGTTAAATAAAATAAAATAAATTTTTTGGCCAATTGGCGAGCTTTAAAAATGAAGAAGAAAAGGGATTGAAAGAAGAAAAAGTAATGCGAAGGAAGGGGGTAATGTGTAAGGGACAGGTATATATTTAGTTGGTTGGTTCTTTTACTAAAAGTAAATGCTTGAAAATTAAAAGAAAATAAAATTTATTATGGTCTTTTTAGAAGATAAAAAGTGCTAAAAAGTTATAAAAAAATTTGGGAAAATAATGAGGAAAAAGAAGGTAAAGAGAAGTCTAGAAAATAACGTCTCTTTTAGATATAAATAATTGGCTTATTGCCGAGATAAAAATAAATTTAAAAAAAGAAAGTTTTCCCATGTCTAGAAAACTTCTTCCATTATCAGCTTTCATCAATGAATTGCCGCCCTTCTCCTACAGGCAAAGTCATAAATCGTTCATTCTCTCCCCCGGCATAGCCTCAATTTTTGCTTTTGCCCTGTTTGCTGTCCAATATTTGCCTTAAAAACTTTTCTCGCAGCACGCCCCCTCCAAAAAAATATTTTTATCTATTCTTCTTCCTCTTCTTCCATTTTTCTCTTCATCCCCCCTTACTTTTTAACTGTCCACATTCCTTCTTCACTTCCATTTTCTATTCCCAGCCACCATCTTCTTCGCACCGCTCGCGCCATAAATCACTCGTCGTGGTGCCCAACCCGCCGGGTAAATACTTTTTAGTTGGAAGTAGTTGAGAGGAATAAATAGATTTGGAAAAATAAGAAAAGATGAAGAACACGGCGGACAAGGCGGATTTGTAACTCGATTTTCAGAAGGCTTTTTTCCTCCTTTTTTCTTTTCAATCCCCAAAAATTCTTTACATATATCCATCGCTAATAAAAACAAATTATTAAAAAAAACAATTATTTTCCGAATTTATTTTCTCATTTCTGGCAATATTTTTTTCTTTGTAAATTTCTTTATACATATTTAGTATAAGTGAATTAAATTCTGAAATTTAATGATAGATATATCCATTTCCTTCACTTTGGGGCATTTCCTTGAAGGACGAGACCGAAGAATAGAAGGGCATTAATAGTCTACAAAAATAAGTTACAAGAGAATATCCTCCTAAGAAACTACTATTTTTTAAATTAAATTAAGGTTGATTCTTTTAATCAGGAACCCAGTGCCGGTCGCAAAGCTTCAAAAATCTAGTCCAATAACTACCTTTCTTTGGTCTCCGGTCTTCCCAATGTTATCCATCCTCAAGTGTAGAAGAGTCAGTTTTTTTTAATTAAAAAAAAATTTTAAATGCGCATAATTTTAATAATAACAAAAATCGATGCTTAACTACACCAAAATATTGCTCTATTCATTTTTCGAAGGAGGGGGGGGGGGGGTGTTTTCACATGCAGTCAGTCGGTCTCTCCCCACTATCCCTTTCTTTTCGTTTATTTCCTTTTTTTCGATCACCCAATTTGCTAAAGGTGTCTTCCCTCATTATCGCTATATTTATATAATATTTAGTGGAGAAGTACAATAAAAACATGTAATAAACCCAATAATTGTTGATTTTTTTGATTTTGTTGGCTAAAAGTTTATTTATTTATTTAAACTTTTTATACTATGTCTTTTAATAAAAAAAATCCATAGGACCAAGAGGTCTCAGGATCGATGCCTGCTCGTTGCTAAACTTTTAACTATTTTACTTCGATATGTATGTATTAGTGTTTCACCGGAACCGAAATTTTGACCGGAACCGGAACCGGATCCAATTTAAGTTCCGGTTCCCGGAACCGGAACCGGAACTTTTCAAAGTTCCGGCCCGGAACCGGAACCGGAACCGGAACTTTTAAAAAAATTTTTGCTAGCACATTTTAAAAAATTTTTATTTTAAGTAGGGGTGCAGTTTCGCCAAATTTTTCGATTAAATTCTGCCAAATACTTCTGTTAATCGAAACGAAAAAAATCCAAGTTTTGGAAGACCAAATCCCCAGCTATTCAATCCCTGATATCTAACTTGCACAGCTCATTGCCTGAACATCACACCCAAATCCCTCTATATTACCTATAACCCCTTGAACTCACATAATGTAACTCAAAATCCACCTTCATCCATCCAAATCCTTCGATTTACCATACAACTTCCCTTCATAGCGCCGCAGGCGAAAATTTTGGGATTTTAGGTAAACCAAGGATACAACTTTCTTCCTTTTTAAGCGCCGCAGGCGAAAATTTTGAGAATTTGTGTGACCAAGTATCTAGATTTCTTCATTTTCTTGCGCCGCAGGCGAAAATTTTGAGAATTTTGGAAGGCCAATCGGGGAAAGCCAATCCATATTTCTTAAAAAAACTAATCCTTAGGGGTGTAAAAAAGTTCCGGTTTGCCCGGAACCGATTTGTAAACCGGAGCCGGAACCGGAACCGGAACCAATTTGAGTTCCGGTTCCCGGAACCGGAACCGGAACCAAAAAAACACCGGAACTTTCCGGAACCGGAACCGGAACCGGAACTTCCGGTGAAACTCTAGTATGTATATTTACATACGGCAATTTGCGATTAAGTAAATGGGATAATTTAGAAACGTAATTTAAAGGGTTTAAGAGAGGACGTTAGTTATGCATAAGTAAAATTTCTGTTTGTAATTATTTTTTTAATTTTAGTTTTTTTAATTTCTTTTTTGCCCATTAATCTTAATAGAGACGATTTTAGAAATCTCTAGGCCTAATGTACAAAAAATATAAAATAATCTCTAAATATTTAAAAATTCTGTTAGAAATACTTTAAAAAAATTTTTTCTTCTAATTTAGCCCCTAAAATGCTAGATAAATAATAAAAAAATTAGTAAATATTTTTTGTCTAAATAAAGTGAACAAATTAACGACAAGTTTTGAATTGATAAGGTGTATTTTGACCTAGTATTATTTTTTATTACTCTTATCTTAAGAAAAACAACAGTGAATGTACATAAGTAATTCTTATATAATTTTTTGTGCATATAAAAATCGCAAGTTATTTTATATTTTATTCAAATATTTATTTATACATTCACATTTTTTAAAATTTCTTATGGCAAGCATTGATCCGCACTTGTAGTGGTGTAAGCTTGTTTTGTAAAAGCAAATCTGTTGCGCCCAGGCAAATAAGCTCGCTTCTACAGGCGTGGATCTTCTTAGCCAATTAATATTTAATATCCAAATATTTTTTGTTACAATTTAATCAAAAGGAACCGAAGTTTTGTTTTTATTAGACTAAAAAGGGTTTTTTGAAATGATATCGACTCTTTAAACTAGAAATAGGCTTTGGTTGGAGCAAGTGCCCGTTCAAAAAATAGTTCATGGAAACCTTAACAACGAGCAAATGAGTAAATTTAAAACCTAATTCGTATCAACATGTAACTAAAAACCATTCAAAATCAATTTATGTATTTACAAACAAACAATATTTACAAACAATCACACAAGAAAATAGGGACAATAAGAATCACACAAGAAAACCGGGGGAAATTACAATTATGAAGAGAGAATTGTTTTTCCTATATTATCACACATCTCGACGTCACATCATCTTCCATCAACCGCTTACATGTTGTACTCGATTGGAAGGTTCTTGCGGCGAACCATACCGTCACCCTGGAACCATTCGCGGCGGAATTGCTTGGCTGCTCCTTCCGGAGTGTTGGTCCATTCGACGGTGACACGGTCGTTGTTGGTCGCTTCCGCAGCCGGATCGAAGGCGTCGCAAGAGATGGCGATGTTGATGGCCTCCTTCGGGTCGAGAACACCATTGGGCGGGTCCATGTTCAGACGGCGAGGGTTGGTCGTCTTGAAGGCGAAGCCGATACGATGCCCACCAGAGTTGATGATCTGTAACAGTGAACAGGATAATATTTAATATCAGTGGGAGTATTAAAAAGTAAATAAACTTCACCTTCATGTAGTAGGTGTGCTTGTCATCGAACGGCGCGTTGAAGATGACCTTCACAGCAGGAAGCGTTGTGATGTCGCCGGGTGGAACAGAAGCCATTGTTGAGAAAGGTTTGTTGTCGTTGTTTGTGTAGTTGAACAGAAAGCAGGTTGGGGAACTGGCGTAAAGTTAGGGTTTTTATACTTCCTTTCTAACTCAATGATCCTGTTCCGCGAGCATAAAGGTATAAAAGAGCCAATGGAACGCCAGTCGGTATCAACCAATTCTCTTCAACTTCAATTCCTGCTACAACAACAAACCGTTCTCAACAATGGCGTCTGTTCCACCCGGCGATATCACGACTCTTCCTGCCGTGAAGGTCATCTTCAACGCGCCGTTCGACGACAAGCACACCTACTACATGAAGGTGAAGTTTATAAATTTTTACTAATCTAACCACCAATAAATATTTCTTTTCACTTTTACAGATCATCAACTCTGGTGGGCATCGTATCGGCTTCGCCTTCAAGACGACCAACCCTCGCCGTCTGAACATGGACCCGCCCAACGGTGTGCTCGACCCGAAGGAGGCCATCAACATCGCCATCTCTTGCGACGCCTTCGATCCGGCTGCGGAAGCGACCAACAACGACCGTGTCACCGTCGAATGGACCAACACTCCGGAAGGAGCAGCCAAGCAATTCCGCCGCGAATGGTTCCAGGGTGACGGTATGGTTCGCCGCAAGAACCTTCCAATCGAGTACAACATGTAAGCGGTTGATGGAAGATGATGTGACGTCGAATGTGTGATAATATAGGAAAAACAATTCTCCCTTCATAATTGTATATCTATATGTAATTTCCCCCTGTTTTCTTGTGTGATTCTTATTGTCCCTATTTTCTAGTGTGATTGTTGTAAATATTGTTTGTTGTAAATAAATTGAGTTTAAATGTGTTGTTTATTTTTTAAATCTAGGTTAAACTTTTCTCGTTTGCTTTATTAGGTTACTAAGTAGTCGAGTTAATTGAGCCTCGTTTTTTCTAAGGATCAAAATTTGAATTCATATCTTAGACTTAAGAATTTTCAACAAGTTTTTAATCGGGCCAAATTATTCTTCCTTTTTCATCCCAAAACGGCGATATAATAAGCTCCATTATTTGTTTTTTGTTCAAACACCGGTACTGGTAATGCAGAAATTAGCGATTTTGTGCATTCGCTAGTACCGTAGTAATACGGAACCATGACAAACCGAGTTCCAACAGTGAAGATGGCAAGAACGGGGGCGTTAATGCAACTATGAGAGAACATGTTCTCAGCCGATCTCAAGTCGATCGCAAAATTTAGGGGAAGTTTGTCCAGGAACATGAGATTACTTACTCCAGGAACGGGAGACCTATTTTAATAATAGATTTCATTTACACATAACTTAAAAAAGTCAAAAAATCCACCGATATCCACTTAATCATCCAAATCCAAAGATTAGACATGTAGAAAATAAAAATTTGTGCTGATCACAATGGTGTTGTGTGCATTCAGAGTCAATAGGATTGACCCCGTTTTGACAATTGGGATATTTGGATAATAAAAATATTTAACATTCCCAACTTTTTTAATAAAATATGTGATGCTTTTTAATTTTAAAACTTTGTTCCTTACTCAAGTCGATCGCAAAATTTGGTCCGCATTTGTCAGATCCGCAACTGTCGGCTCTACAGTTTCGGTCTGCTACAGTCGTTCTGCACTTTTTATGATGTTGGACAATTCAGTCCCGCCGATTCAGTTACAGGGCTCCCCGACTTTTCGTCAACGGACTTTCCGTCAATGGACTTTCCGTCAATACTTTTCGTCAATAGACGGACTTTTCATCAATATAATCGGCCTGTTCAAAGCCACAAATAACTAAATTATGTGCCCAATTTTGTATAAGATTCCTTATTTCTTCAATTACTCTTGAATAACCTATGGGGCGTCGGCGAGCGGTGGGGTATCTTTCCGTGCCCACGATTCCGTGCCCACGTTTCCGTGCCCACGTTTCCGTGCCAGCTCAGTTCCGTGCCGGCACGTTTCCGTGCCAGCATGTTTCCGTGCACACGGTTCCGTGCCCACGTTTCCGTGCCCGTTATAATAGGCACGTTTCCGTGCCAGCTTCTTTTTAATTTAATAAATAATAAAAAAAGATTTGGATGGATACAGTGAATATCAAAGGACTTGTGCGTGACATCAAGATATCAACAAGTAGATAGCGTTGGATTATGAGGGATATAAGGGGATATCAAGAAATTTAGATCACGATTTTAATGGCATTTTGTTTACATATTGGGGGGAAAATTAATCAAGGAAATCAAGGAAAAATTTTGCAATCAAAAATTTGAAATCAAGGAAAAATTTTTTGATCCAGGAAAAATCAATGTCTGGATAGCCCGATCTCTAAATATATATTTAAATATTGGGCACGGAAACGTGCCCTTTATAACTGGCACGGAACCGTGGGCACGGAAACATGCTGGCACGGAAACGTGCCGGCACGGAACTGAGCTGGCACGGAATCGTGGGCACGGAAACGTGGGCACGGAATCGTGTCTAACCGGTCGGCGAGGCGCTTGTGCAAAACCCTGCGCTTCGCGCAGGGTTTTGCGGCACGCGCCTCGCGGGGAGTCAAAGGTCGCTGGGTTCTACACCAGTAACATAAACCTATTCATTTTTACCGATTTTCAACCTTGAAAAGACTACCTATCCTTCGTAGTGACACAATTGCTTATAACTTTGTTCAGAATTATCAAATAAGTCTAATTTTCAATCTGACAACACTTTTACATACATGTATCATCTCCTATTTCTCTCAAAATTAAAAAAACATCCACTCATTGACGAAAAGTCGTTGACGGAAAGTCCATTGACGGAAAGTCCGTTGACGAAAATTCGTGCCACCAGTTACAGTGAAAATTTAAAATTTTATTCCCAAAACTCTACTTTGATCGAAGGAAGAAAATCTTCGCTTTTTACATTTAAAATTTTGATTTTAACTAATTTTTTATTTTTAATTTCAGAAAATCTTAAATTAGCATACAATGGACAACAATCCAAAACCGGCTTCCAAACCTTGTTGTGAAGCAATTGAACCGTTATATGAGGTAAACAATCAAATAAAATTTAAAATAAATTTCACTTATTCAAATTTTAGATGTTAGTTGATGTATTCCACGATCCGGATTTTTTCAACAAATGTTTAAAAGAAGATCCTGACTTAAAAGAACGAATTTTTGAAATTCTCGGGCCTAGCAAATAAATGAATGAAGAAAGAATTAAAATTCAAAAAAAAGAAAATCAACAACATATTTAAATGCCCTGTTAAATTTTTATTCTCAATTGTTTCTTTTGATTTTATGAATAAAAAATGTTTGGGGTTAAACAAGGCAAATATTCTACGGGGATTTTATGATTATTATTATATTATCCAAATGTTATCTCTCATCCTTCCTCATCGTTTAAAGAAATTAATTGTCCATTCATTTAGCAGCAATCCGGCGGGAAGGCTGAAATATTTTTAAAATTTGAGAATTTTTAAGGTTAAAAATTCTTTATAATTAACAAAAACGCCCGTTTTAATTGTTGGAGTTTTAAAAATTTTTGGCGGACAGAGTTAATCATTCTACTAAAAATCTTCCCAATAAGTACCTTTGCGGGAGGTTCAGGAGCAGCTTCAATTGGTGCTTCATTTGCATTAATAAACGCCTCAGCAGGAACTTGTAAAGGAATAACAGGCACAGGTGGACGTGCAGCATCTCCCTCAGCTTTAACTTGCTCCACATATTTTGGAGGTTCTAAATTCTTTCGGATTTGTTCCAACTCTTCAAATTCTTTTCGTCCCCATTCTGATGGGGGACGTCCACTTCCGTGGGCAATTGTTGGAATTAATTCTGGTGGTGGTTTCTCGAATAAGTCACGGCGTTCAACATAATCCCGGCGATCAGTTTGTCGGTCGAATTTGGAAGCTACTCGGATTTTTGGCTTAAAATAATGAAAGGGGGTTATTCAAAAACTTTCTTTTAATTTTTACAGGGAAGTTTGTGTTTTCAACTTCTGTCGGGTCAACACCAGTATTCAAAGCTTTTTGACGTGCTGCTTGTTTTTGACGTTCACTAAGCTCCTTCAAATCATATTCTTGACGTCCTTTGCGTTTCTCCAAGTCATACTTTTCTCCTTCCAATTTCACAATACGTGAATATAATTGCTTAATTTTAGCCTTAATATCGTTTGGCAACATATTGGAGACATCAACTGGACGGTTAACAATAGCCATATAATTACGCTTAAAAATAAAGAATAATTTTTTGTGTAAGCAAAGGTTTTCTCTCCTATTCTATGCACGCTCGCAAGTTACTTTCCCTTCTCATTAGCAAAGTTATAGCAAACGTATTTATTTAATGACCTGATTCTCCGGATTTTGTTTAGACAGAAAGAGCGTGTATTACATAAGAGAGACAAATTCTTTAGCAGATAAATTCCAAAGCTTTACCCATCTACTCTATTTATTTACCTTAGCTTCTTCCTGTTGTTCTTTTGATAGTCCCCGTGGTTTGCTCGCCTGTCCAGGCAATCCAGGTGCTTGACCACCACCAGCACCCTTTTCAGGAATAACAAAATTCTTTCCTCCTTCTCCCTCAGCTTGAACAACACCTCCAAAAGAGCCAGCCATCATTAATTGCCTCTTTCTCTTTTCTTCTTCTCTTCGTGCTTTTTCAGCTTCAATTCTTGCTTTACGCTCCTCTTCTGCTTGACGACGGCGTTCTTCATCTTGACGTCTACGTTCAGCTAATTCACGTTCTTCTTGTTCTCGTTCAGCTTTTCGTTGTATTTGACGTTCTTTTAATTCTTGCAATTCTTGTTCAACGGCAACCATTTCTTGACGACGACGCTCGTCATTGTCACGCATCTTAGCCTCTTCTTCCTCTTCGTGACGTTTCTTAGCTGCTAACATTGCAGCTTCGGCCTCGGTCATTTCTTTCTCTTCTGGCTCTTTTTGTTTGATTTCTGTCTTGCGAAGTCTAAAAAATATTAAATTGTACATTGTTTTTTAAATGGTAATTAAATGACTTACTGGGCTTGTGGTCCAGTTACATCCGTGCTCACACTAGAACGACGTACTTCCCTATAAAATTGAAATAATTTGGAATTAAGACAAAATTTTCGTTGTCTCCACTAAATATTCACCTTCTCACTTAATTTTTACATAAATTCCCTTACTTAGAAGGAGAGAGAGGTGGTTCATCTTCCCCGCCTTCCTCAAATTCTTGTTGTTCAGCCTGCTCCGATTCTGGTTTTTCACTTTTTGGACTTTTCAGAGGAGACGCTGGGGGACTTTTCAAAGGAGATGCTGGGGGACTTTTCAGAGGAGATTTAGGTGTTGGTGGTGCCTCTTCTTGTTTAGACACTTCTTGAGCAGCAACACTAACTTCGTCTTGTGCTTCTTCGACTTCTTCGTCAACTTCTTCCTCGCTGCTAGAAATTGAAGAGTTATTTTTTATTTATGAACTAATTGAAAAAATTGAAGTGAAATGAAATGAATGATTTTGTTTGTGAAAATATGAGAGAAAGATACATATGTACATATATTCAAAAAAAATTTTTAATTAAAGAGATTGTTGTTAGGCACAAGTTGAAACCTGAAAGGACTAAGAAATCAAAGTAGATTTAATTTATACCGATTTTTCTCCTTCCTTTTAGGTGTCTGTTCTCTTTTCCTCCAACTCGGTACCCATCCATTAGTTCTTTTAATACTTCTTTTAGGTCGATTTTTGGATTTTGAACTTGCCCTAACAATATGATGTAGTCCATGTCTATGCCGAATTAATAAAGGGCAAAAACAATGGGAAAGTTTTGTCGGAGGTTTAGTCCATTTTAAATCCCTTTCATTCTCTTTCCCTTCAATTTCAACTAATCTTCTTCCTCTTCCTCTATTTACTTCTTCCTCTTCTTCTCCAGATGTTAAGGAAGACATTTGTTTTAACAACAATCTTTTTGCTCTCAACAATTCCTGCATATCCCCCATACATTCAACTCCATGTCTCCAACTTGTCTTCCCTCTCTCTTTTGGTGTTAAAAGTTCCAGAAATAAAGGCCAAGATTTGCCTGTTTTTGGCATTAAACGATGAATACAACGACAGCATTTTGTGCAGTAAACTGGTCTAAAAAGCCAATCAGGCACTGGAGGGCGACGACTTCCAAAAAAATAATCAACTAATCGATTGTCTAAATCTTCTTTTTGTTCTTCGTTTAAATGTGAAGTAAATTTAGACCAAATAGCTTCAAAATTGGAAGAATTGGTGGTTGAATTTCGACGAGTGGATCTTTGAGGGTTTTGAGGGGGGTTTGAGGAAGTACTTTGTTCATTTTGATCTTCCATTTCTTCCAAACTGCTCTTCTTCCTCTTCCTTTCCTTCTCCTCATTTTCATTTTCTTCCTCTCCCTTTTCTCTCCTATCCTTCTTTAGTTCTTCTTTCTTCACTTCTTCATCATTCCTTTCATCCTCACCCTCTTCCTTTCCTCCTTCTCCTCTTCCTTTCTTCTTCGCGAGCAATTTTAACCTTTCCAGTAATTCTTCAGCCCTCAAAATATTTGGCAATTCAGCCTCTACTTTACGCGGTTTTCTCCCTTTTCCACTACTTCTTGAACTACCATTCCCTTCATTTTTCTTTTTTATTGAAGAAGGACGACGTTTAGGTGATTTTTTCCCTTTCTCATTTTCTTTAAGTAAAATTTTTGTATTTTTATTTATTTCATCTTTATTTGACATTCTTCTTAAATTATAACGTGCCGATTGTAACATTTCTCTAGCTTCTCTTTTACTTAAAGATTGAAATAATTGTTGGGAAATTAAAGAATTTTGTCTTGTATTATTTACAGAATTAATTTTTGAGGTATTTTTTCTTTGTACAGGAGGAGGGTCTTTTACTTGTTCATCCTCTTCTATATTTACATCTTCTTCTTCTACCAGTGGAGCAACTGGTGATAAACTTCTTACTTCCCATTCTTCTCTTTCCTCTAAATCGGCATCCTTTTTATAATTTTCATCTTCCTTCTTCCCTTCCTTTTCCCTTCTTTTTACTTCCTTACTTTTCCTTTCCTCCTGTCCATTCCCTTTTCCTCTTTCATCATCTTTTTCTTCTTCTCCTTCTTCATTTTCCTCTCTTCCTTCTTCCTCTTCCTCCTCCCTGTCATCTTCATACTCATCCCCTCCTTCCTCCTCTTTTTCATTTCCTCCTTCCTCTTCTTCTTCTTGCACCTCCTCCATTTCTTCCTCCACTTCATTATTCTCAGGTCTTTTGTCCCTTTCAGAATAATCTTCAGATAACCCCGAATCTGAGGAATCTATTGACTCATTTCTTTGCCTTTCCTTTTTCTCTTTTCCTTCCTTTTCAACATCTGCTAACAAGTTTTCATATTGTCTCAACAACAATTCCCTTTCCTTTTGGAAATCATTACGAGATTGAAGTCCCCTTCTTTGAAGAAGTTCATCAACAGTTTTGTGAGCTGTTAGAAGTCTCTAAAAAGAATTTATTTTTTATTTCCTCAATAATCTTTGGAACAGAGCTAGGCACAGTTTCGGCCCAGCTCTGTTCATTTGTGTCCATCCTATTCAATTAATTAAAGTAGAGGAATAAGATTCCATTATATTGGGGGAGGGGGGCATATCTAATATTTTCAAATGAATCCTACACAAAGATTTTGTTTTATTCTCACCTTTTTGAACGTGTCGTCATCTATATCATTTTCCCCCTTCCTTTTCTCTTTTTCATCAACCTTTTCTTTGTTTTCATTAACGTCTTTTTGATTAATTGATGAAGCAGATGCTTCATTTTCTTGTTCTTTTATTAATTGTTTCCGTTCACGCAAATATTTACTTGCCCAAGATTTATCAGAAACTTCATTTTCCTGCCTTTTTAAAAGAAAAGGTGAAATATAAGGTTGTTGATTTGTATTTTCTGTTGTTTTTTCTTTTGACAATAAATAATTTGAAGGAGAAGGCCTTCTTCTTGGAGAATAACTTGATGGGCGTATAGAAGAAAGAGAAAGTCTTGAATGACTGTTTTTTGTTGAAAATGCTGATGCTGTTGAAACTGTTGGGCCGATAACAGAGGAAATTGATTTTGATGAATATGAGGATGAAGAGGGGAAATGAATAGAAGAGGATTTGGATTTTTGAGAACGATTTTTCGAAAACATTTTTTAAATTATATTTTTTGAAATTGCTGTAGAAAATAGTAAAAGAAATAAATAAAATATTTAAATGAAAGAAAAATAAATGAAGATGAATGGAAAATAAATAAGGAAAAAAAGGCTTAATTATTTACTCACTATTCTTCTTGATCAGACATTGTTTAAATTGTTTTTGCGCGGTTTTGGACGTTCAAAAAAGGATGAGAATTTTCGCTAAATTATAGGAATTCAAAAAGATTTTTTGGAAAAATTTTTTATTTTTTAAAGAGAATTTTGCAATAATTTCCCCAAAAAATTTTTGAAATTTTAATAATTTTGTTTAGTGTTTCGAACAACAAAATGATGAAAATTAAAAAGATAAAATAAAAACTAAAAAATAATTTTTAGGGTCAAAGATAACTACTACCAACTCAAAAAAGAAATCCCCGCCGGGTCTTAAGGTGTTACGTATTTCGCAATTTAAATGTTTTAGTTTAAAAATTAAATGGATTACAGCAATATATTACCTATTTACTTTAAATGTTTTTAGAATTTTTTCTTTTTAAAAATTTTCTTTTTTTACTCCTCCGCCTTTTTCTGCCAATTTTTGAACAGCTGTAGGCAGCTGTTAAATTTTTTATATTATTTTTAACAATCACAACAATCCTTTCACGTTTGCCATTTAAAAGACGTATTTAAACGTGAATGGATTGTGAAGAGTTTTTATGTTTAGATTTGGAATACAGAAAAGGGGCTATAAAAATAGATATTTAAAAGGGATAAAAGGAAAAGGGATACTTAAGAATATTCTATTTATTGAAATAGAAAATTTTTTAAAAAATTTTAAAAATAAAAAGAAGTTAATGATCAATTTTTGTGTTATATATTTTTTAGATTAAATTTAATTTTAATGATCAATCATTAAATAAAAAGCAGAACAATATACCCATTTTCTTAAGACTAAATTGGCTTTGGATTTTAAATTAGTTTTGGTTTTGGACCTGTTCCTTTTTCATTTAAATTTTTTTGTTCTGAAATTTTTAAGAATTTCTGTAAATATTTAGGCAAAGTAGACATTTTACGGCAAGACATTTTACGGATAATTTTAATTAAGCAAATACTATTTTGCTTTCCAGTTTCTACCTAATATTTCTTAGAATAATTTCTGAAATTCTAAAAAACTCTGGACTTTTTGCTTAGGGGGAATAATGTAAAATTTTTAAAATAATACAAATTTACATAACCTAAAAAGATAATAATATAATATTTGGCAATTTATTAAACTAAAAATTTGGCCATAATATTTTCAGAATTTCCCTTTTATTTAACTTTGTATTGCAAAATTCTCTTTTTTTATAAAAAAAAATTTAAAACTAATTTTCTAAACCAACCTCTACAAAAGTTGAATTAAATTAATTGTATGTAGTAGACAAGTATTACTTCTAAAAAATAAATATTTTAATTATTTTAATTATTCTCTTTTTCACTAATTTTCCCTCCCCCAAACCACTCTAAAGCCATAACTTTTTATAAGCTCGAATCTCTTCAATCTATTTGCTAATTGTGGAGGCTGGTATTGGAAAACGTTTTAAAGGGTTCATTAGACACCCCCCCCTCCTCCCCAAGCGTAATGTTCGACAATTAAAACTATGTTTTTTTGGCATAATTGGACATCTATTGTTAACTGCTTAGGTTAATATAAAAATGTCAAGATTTGTCGTTAAAAATTATGGCTTTCGGTGTTTATTGATCTAAAAGGTAAGTTGCCGGCATACTTTTGGCCTATTTTTTAGAAATTTGTAACACACCCCTCCTTAGATTGTAGTTTAAAGGAGCAATATTAAATAGGATAAAGTAAACTAGTCTTAAAATTAGAAATTTTGTATTTTCCCTTTTAAATTATCTTTAGGCCGCAAGTGTAGCACTTTTAGGGTTTTTAGTAAAAAATATTTTTATGCAAAATTAAAAATAAGAATATGTAGATAAAAAAAATAGTTTACCTACCTATTATGTTTTTGTGCCAAACACTAAAAAATATATTTAGAAGACAAGAATTAGTAGTATGTAAGTATATTTTGTTTGTTCCCACAAATGAATGACTTTGATAGTTTTTAAGAGAAGGATAGGGAAGAGATTTAAAGGTTTTTTTAAAAACTTGTCTAAAATAAGTATTATAAAGGCGGGGATGATGTAAATGAAAAAAGAGGGAAGAAGAAGAAAGGGATGAAAGAGAGGGAAGAAAGAAGAAAAATGTTTGAAAAAAAAGTTTTTCAAAAATATTTTAACGACAGATGGCTATTCCCCCCTCTCTATACTAATTTTCCTTTTAATTTTTTTCTCTAAACTTCCCACACAATCGACTTGGGGATTTAAAGGTTTTTTGATAGAAAAAAATTTTTTGAAGGCAAATGCTTCTTTTACTTATTTTTTAGTGATTTAGATCGCCTACGCAATTTTTGGGGGGAAAAGCCGGCAACATATATTTATTGGGCAAAAATGAAGGAAAGAAAAAGAGGAGAAGAAAAGAGAAGAGAAAGATAAAGAAGGAATAAAGCCATTCAGATAAAGTTTTTTTTTTAAATATTCTTCGAATCATTAAAAAAAGAAAAGGAACAGAAATAAATGGAATAAAACATCCAAACAAAAATTGTGGTGATTAAAAGAAGAAAGAGAGGGAGAGGGAGAGACCAACTGTCAAGAAAAGTAAAATATTTATATATTTCTATAGGGCATCAAACGAACGGAAACCAAATAAATTTTGAGGTAAAAAAAGTTTGAGGATATTTGGAATAATGAATTGATAAATGAAAAGAAAGATTTTTTAAGTTGAGGGAATGAAAAAAAAGGAAATTAAAGTTTTTTTATTTTATTTAAATTAATAGAAAGTTTAAAATAATTAGTTAATGCTTCGGGGTACTAATAGGAATTTTGTGAAAATATTTTACATAATAGGTCGATCTAGTGATCTCTTATACTATATCCATAAGTTCATTTTTAATAATTTCTTGATTTTTCTCAAATCATAGTTATTTTGCTAAAATTAAGGTTAAAGATCAAGTTTCTTTAAGAGAGGAAAGGAATCTTTTAAGTGAGGGGAAACTTAAAGGAAGGGAATCCAAACTAGTCGCAATTAAACTTGCGCAGGAGTTGAAGAAAAAAGAAAACAGTTGGAGCTTGGCCAGTAAAGCGAAATGCAGTGGTTATTAATTAACTTTCCCTGTAGGTTCGTGTATCAAGGTTGTGTATCAAGCACGCGTTTTGGGTGGAGGTGCCGGATTCCTGTTCAAACTTTTCCTTGCTCTATATACTACTTTATCACTAATAATTATTGTGTTCGAATTTAAATCAAGGCATTCTTCAGAATTTATCTTCCTTCTGTTATCTCTCTATTTTTATTTATTTAACACCATTTAAAGGTCAAATAATTTTTTAACAAAAAATTTTTTATATTAATTTTCGGGCAAATGTAAAAATGAGGAAAAAAATTATGATCTTTTAATTAATACTAATTAAAATAAAAAATTTTTTTAAAAAGGTTGAAAATGCTTTCGGTTTTTTAATTTAATTATTCTTCACACTAAAATATATTTTTTTATTTATTTCCTTCTTTTCATTATCAATCAAGCACGCGCTTTGGGTGGAGGTGCCGGAGCCTTAAAAATTAAATTTAATTAAATATTAACTTTGAAAAAGTCAGAAAACTCTTTGAAAGGATGATAAAAATAGGCTCGATTTAATTTTTCTGATGATAATTTTTAATTAAAAAATATAAAAGGACTAAGCTTTCTGGTCACTCTAATAAAAACTTTTTCTTTAATTTATTCACCTCTTTTTCCTTTATTTTATCACGCCATCCACCTCCTCCTCCACTACTCTCTTTATTTTTAATTTTACTTCCCCCAATATTCTCTTCATTTTCTTCTTCTTCATTTTCACTTTTCCCTAAAGAAACCCTTTTCTTCTTTTTACTTTTTTCGTCTTCGGGATTCCAATTTCCAGGTATTTGTAAGGGAATAACGGGCACAGGTGGACGTGCAGCATCCCCCTCAGCCACAACTTGCTCCATATATTTTGGAGGCTCTAAATTCTTTCTGATTTGTTCCAATTCTTCAAATTCCTTTCGTCCCCATTCTGATGGGGGACGTCCACTTCCGTGGGCAATTTCTGGTTCAGGTGGAGCTGCAGGGTTTTCAAACATTTCACGACGCTCCCCATATTCTCGGCGATCGGTTTTACGGTCAAATTTTGAAGCTACTCGAACTTTGGGCTAAATTTTAAATATTGGATTTCAATTAATTAATAACATTGAAAGGGAGGGCAAAGCTCCTAGAGACGAGAAAAGCTCCTAGCAATAACTGTCGCGTTTTCTACTATTTCTTCTTAATGCATAACTCTTAATTAATTCCTAGTTAATCAGACTATACCAGAAATGCACAATATATTCGATTAGCGTAACGAGTCTATGTTTTATTTTTTAATATGTATTATTTGATGGAAGAAAAGCTCGTTAATGGGTCAAAAATGTGAAAGGATGAGAGTTTTTATTTAAAAACTCACAGGAAAATTAGAATCTTCAACTTCTGTCGGGTCAACACCAGTATTCAAGGCTTTTTGACGTGCTGCTTGTTTTTGACGTTCACTAAGCTCCTTCAAATCATATTCTTGACGTCCTTTGCGTTTCTCCAAATCATACTTTTCTCCTTCCAATTTCACAATACGTGCATGTAATTGTTTAATTTTATTTTTTATATCATTAGGTAACATTTTATCGACATCAACTGGACGATTAACAATAGCCATATAATTACGCTTAAAATTAAATAAAATAACAATTAACACTTATAATTTGTCAGATTCTGTCTCTCTACTAAATTGTGTATAACAACACACTATTTCGCATTTTGTCTAACCACACATCCGGAAAAATCGAGAGATGAAAATATTATTTCTCTGTGGATATTTTACATTTTCCGGTTTTTCCGAAATATATTTATAAAAAGAAACGAGAAAGTACTATATAAATTTGTAGGTAAAAACTAATACCTTTGCTTCAGCAGCCTCGGCAGCAGAAGGACCTTTTCGTCTTGCTCCACCTTCAGATTTAGGCCCAAGTTTTTCTCCTTCTCCTCTCTTTTCAATAACAAAATTCCGAACACCTTTCTCTCCAGTACCTCCACCAATAAAAGAACCAGCCATCATCATTTGCCTTTTATGTCTTTCGGCTTCTTTACGTGCTTTTTCTTCTTCAACACGTTTTTTTCTTTCTTCCTTAAAATTTTTATTTTAAAAAATTTTGTGATAATTATTTAGAAAATTCCGCTAGGAAACTGAGGGAACGGAGGGATTTTGAAGCGAGAGGGTTGCGTAGGCACGGAAGAAGTTGAGTTAACCTGAGAGGAAAAAGTCAAATTCTTATTTTTTAAGTGTTGTTTTACTGAAGGAAAGGAAGGGGAGGAAGGGGAAGGGGAAGTTTAAATGCGCAAGAGCAAGGAAATATAGTGACCGAAACAGTACCCGTACCCCATTATATTTTATTTGCCCCCCCCCTCCACTCCCAATAGCCTAACTTTTCCCACAACTCTTCCTTTCCCCTCCATTCTCTTTTACCTCTTCTTTTCGTCTTCGTTCTTCATCTTGTTTTCTAATTGCAGCCATTTCTGCTTCTTCTTTTTTTCGTTCCTCCAAACGTTGACGATGTTGTTCTTTTAATTGACTTAATTCTTGATCTAATTGTGCCATTTCTTGTTTTCGACGTTCCTCATATCCAACCATTTTAGCTTCTTCTTCTGCCTCATGGCGTTTTCTTGCTTCCATCATTGCTATTTCAGCTTCGGTTAATTCTTTTTCTTCTGGCTCTTTTGGCTTTTGTTCTGTTTTACGCAGTCTATTTAAAAATAAAAATTGAAAGGCAAAAGGAGATTCCGCTTTTTCGATTTTATTGCCACATAGTTCAATTAATTGATTAATTAATAATTAATTTACAAGTCTTTCTAGAATTTCTTAAACTTACTGTGGATGTAATTCCTGTATTTCTCTCTCTTCTTTTTCATCCTCTTTATCCTCCACTTCATGCGGTGGCTCCTTATCCAAAGGCCTAAAAATAAGAATTTATACGGGAAAAGTAACAGCTCTCGTTTAGTTTTTTAATCAGAATTTTTCTGAAAATTTTTTCTACTAAATATTTCCACCCCGAACCCCCTAAGTTGAGGGGATGTGCCCAAACAAATAATCAAAATATAAATTTTTATTTAAAAAAAAAAAAAAATTTTTACGTTATCGGTTTTTCTTCTTCCTCTTTAATTTCTTCTTCAACTTTTTCTTCTTCTTTTTTCTCCTCTGGAGGAGCTTTAGGCTTTGACGGTGATGGAGGGGCAGATTCTACAACCTCCTCTTCCACTTCTTCTTCCTCATATTCTTCATCAGTATATTCTTCTTCTGACATTTTTTTAGAAATTAATTTAATTTATCTGTGAAAAATAAATTTATTTATTTATTTTAATTATTCAAAATAATTTTTAAAATTTGAACTGAATTTTGTAATTTTTCTTTGAGTTATCTGGAATAATTTTAAAATCAGCTAGATCTTAATTAGACTATGAAACAAACTTCTTGAATAAAGTAAACAATTTAAAAATGAGAGAAAAAAATTGTAAAATAAGAAAAAGCCTTAAAATCTCCCTTATTTTTAATTTTTTAATCAGAACTACTAACGATTAAAATAAAAATTTAAATTTTAAAATAAACATTAAAAGAATTTATTTAAAAGTATTGAGGAATTTTACTTAAAGCAAATAAATATAAAATGACAATGAAGAGCAGCTGTACTTGTTAAAGGATTTTTATTTTTAATTCTTCCCACCCATAAAGTTACAAACTCTTTTATCTCTCCCCAAACATATAAATCTGTTGTTATTTTTAGAGTTGATCTAGATATTTTAATTTTCTATTTGGAAGAGAAAAAAGAGAAAAATGAAAATTGATTGAAAAATGTGGAGAAAATTGGAGAAAGTTTTATGGCAAAAGAGAAAAAAAAGTTTTTAAACAATTGGTTATTATTAAAGAAAGCTTTATTACAAAATTAAAAAGTCTTCCAGTAAATTCTCTCAATAAGAAGGAATGTATTAAATAAGAAAGCAACAATTGGTAAAGATTTTAATGAAGATTTTAATGATTTATTTGAGAAAATGAATAGTATAAGATAATTGAAATTTTAAATAATAAAACGAGATTAGAAATTGAGGATTTTAATTAAAATAATACTGTCAAACTAAAATTGAAGAAAACTACGACATTTCACAAATTATAACACCTGATATGAGATAACTCCTAATATTAGACCTCTTCATAGTCGTTAATAGCCGTCTGATGGCACAATATACCTGTAGTTTCTCGTAACTAGAGCGCAAATTTTTATTGAAATAAAAGCAGAAACTACCCTATTTTACAAAAAATTTTATAAAAGCAATAATTTTACCAAAACCCGCGCTTCGCGCGGGTTTTGCGGCACGCGCCTCGCGGGGAGTCAACGGTCGCTGGGTTCTATACCGGTAACATAAACCTATTCATTTTTACCGATTTTCAGCTTTGAAAAGCCTACTTATCCTTCGTAGTAACACAATTGCTTATAACTTTGTTCAGAATTATCAAATCAGTCTAATTTTCAGTCTGACAACACTTTTACATACATGTATCATCTTCTCTTTCTCTTAAAATTAAAAAAACATCCATTTATTGACGAAAAGTCCGTTGACGAAAAGTCCGTTGACGGAAAGTCCGTTGACGGAAAGTCCGTTGACGGAAAGTCCGTTGACGAAAAGTCCGTTGACGGAAAGTCCGTTGACGGAAAGTCCGTTGACGGAAGGTCCTTTGACAAAAATTCGTGCCACCTAAAACACGGCGGGTTAAACGGGAAATTTAACCATCTCGTAACACTCTCTCGTTTTTCCTCTCTTTCATTTATTTACTCTCGTTTCTATTTTAGGTTACCAATTTCGAAACCCAATATTTCGAAAACTTTTCCATTTTTCAAATATCTGTTGCAACCAATTCATAGTCTTTAGTTTCTATAAAAAAATTTCAAATGTTTTAATGCAAAATTCATAAAGTTAATGCACATCTAAATTCAATACAAAATAAGTATGAAATCCCGGTCATTATCTTCGAAAAAAGCACAGCTTTTGGTACCATTACCTTTTTTCGAAAATTCATAACCTCTCCAAAAATTCATATTTTCCGCTCAAATTTTGCAATTTTGTATAAAAATTGTAGTACTACAATTCAGCAAATTTTGAAGAAATTTTGACAAGGGATTCATTAGTTATAGGTAGTAGGTTAACCTGTATGTCAACCTAAGGAGTTAGTCGATATAACATGTGCAAGAAATATATACCTCAATAAATATTAATTATTCTACTATTTTTATTGTGTTTATCAACTACAATTTTTATTTATTTTAATTAATACTAGTTTTTATTTTTTAATAGATTTTAAGCTTTAAAAAATGCCTGGACAAATAAAGACGCCAACAAACCAAAAACTTTTGACTAATGTTGCTATAGTTCGTCTTAAAAAATGTGGGAAGCGTTTTGAGATTGCTTGTTATAAAAATAAGGTTTTAAATTGGAGGAACAAAACGTTTATTTTTTAATTCTTTATATTTTATTTATTTTTTAAATTTTAGAGAGAAAAATATTGATGAAGTTTTGCAGACCCAAAATGTTTTTGTAAATGTTGCAAGGGGTCAATTAGCTAAAAGAGATGACCTTGTTGAATGTTTTGAAACTGATAATCAACTGGAAATTTGTAAAACGGTTAGTTTTATTTAAGGAGTTGGATATTGTGGAAAATTCGTTGTAATTTATAGTTAGTATAACGGAGTTGTAGTCTCAATAACAAAACCCATACCATTTTTCCGGGTATGCCTGTGGACCAAGATATAGGTCCCCGAAAATCGAAAAACCATTTATTCGAAATAGTATAGTCCCCTGAAAATCGAAAAATATTTGTATTTTAAATATTTTTTCATTAGAAGGAAAGGAGAATTGAACTCGTATTTATTTTAATAGTTTACTTAATATAAAATTCCTTAAAAACTTCCTTTCCATTTTCAGTAAATTTTATCAATTTTCTTTTTAGATTTTGGAAAAGGGTGACCTTCAAGTTTCGGATAAAGAACGCCAACTTACTTCTGAAAGTTCTTTTAAGGTTTTTTTGAATTCATTTCATCAATTCCAAATTTTTATTTTTTAGGAAGTCGCAAATTTAATTGCCAATATGTGTGTTAATCCTGAAACTCAGCGACCTTATTCTTTGGCGGTAAATTGTTTTTAAATTATTTTAAATTAAATTTCTTTTTTAGACTATTGAAAATGCTCTTCGAGACGCTCATTTTTCTTTAAAATCAAATCATTCGGCAAAACAACAGGTTTCTAGGGATGGTTTTTGTTAATGATTAGAGTTGTCAGTCTCCCCACATTCTTCGGTTAATCCAAAACCGAACCTAAATTTTGGGTTAAATTTAACCGAAAATCTTTGGGTTTTCGGTTCGGTTAAGACAACTCTAATAATGATACCCAACAGAAAGCAATAGGAGCAAAACTTCCCTAATTTTATTTTCTTTTAATTTTTAAAGGCCCTTGAAATGATTCCAAAAATTCGTGAAAATCTAAAAATTGATCGTGCCAAAATGCGTGTTCGTGTTTCTGTCCCAGCCAAACATGCAAAATCGATCCATGGAAAGTTGAAAGGATTTTTTGAGACTGTCGAAGTTGAAGATTGGGAGAAAGGAAATTTAGAAATGGTTTGGAATTTTTTAAAAAATATTTTTTTCGAGTTATTTTTAGGTTGGTTTAATTGAACCTGGAAATTATAAAACAATTGCTGAATTACTCAAAGGGGACAAGAAAGAGAAAATTGAACAAATTGGATTGGAATTGTTAAGTTTAAAAGTAATTAGTGAAGGGGAAGTTGAAATTACTTGAAGAAAATTAAGAAGTAAATTAAAATATAAAAATAAATATTCCTTTTACAAAATAATTGTGAGAACAAAATAAATTTTTAAAATTTGATTATTTTTATAAATAAATTTTGTTTTGGACTCTGTCCAGTTTTGTCTAGACAGAGTTCTAACACAAACAATATCTGAATTATTATATTTGTTGATTGTCTTTTACTACTTAATGTCCAACAAACCTGGACTAATTAAAATATTTCTTTCAGGCAAATATTTAAATATTTTTTCCACTTTAGATAAGGCAAATAACCTCCTCGTAAATTATATTTTCCCTGTTTTATATTGACCTACATTTAATCATTTACTGAAATATTGGAATGTAACGTTTGAATTTTGTGGAGTTTAGTTTCTTCCTCAGACTTTTACCCTCTCTTTCATTTTTAAAATTAGCTTTTTGATTGTCTCAAAAACTTTTGTTTCTCCCATTCAGGACAAAATGTCCACGTTCATCCCCCACACAGCTGTGGTGTTTTAAAAGTGGAAGAAAATTGGCGACGGCTGAACAAGTTTTCTATTTTTCCTCTGCTAATTTTCTTCTCTTTCATTTGTCAGACCTCTGTCATTTTTTTTTCAATTTTTTCTCTTTTCTGCAGCTGCTTAACACAATATTTACTTAAATAATTCACATTTACTAACTCACCGACAGTAATTTAGAGTACATAAATGTTTTTGTATGTATGTATTTCTCAAGTTTTTAGTAAAGTTATTGATATCTATTCAAAATATAAACTGTGATTTAACTTCTAAAAAATTTTTAGGAGAGGAGGCATTCATTCTATACTACACCTCAATTAATTCTCCTTCTATCCAGCTTGAAAGTAAATTTTTTACTCAAATAAACTTTCGGTGAGTTGTCTGTCGGTGAATTTTCCCTCACTCAAGGAGAGATTGAAAATAGTATTTTACAAGTAGAAAAAGGCCAACCAGCATCAAAGCCCTCTTTTTGATATTCTTTTTAGTCGCCTTCCTCCCTCCTTTCTTCTATTTTACTTACTACCCTCATTTAAAACTAACCAATTTTCTTTCTGCTTATAAAAACATTAAAAATGGTACTTGGGGTAGACGTAGAAATGCGCAATATACATATTTTTACCTGTAGTGAAAGAATAATTATTTTTGTTTGTTTACTCACACGTAAACCTCAAAATCCATAAATCTCAACAAGGGAATGATTAATAAATAATTTTTGGGTGATAATCTGAAAATATTTTGATGAGTTTAAACCAGCTCCTTTTCAATCTTTAGACTTAATTGTTTTTTAACTTCGATTTTTCCAAGCCTTCCTATTCAACTAATTAATTATACTCTTAAATAGAAAATTATTAAGATTCTTTAATTTTTCAAATAAAAATTCTTTCCAAATTTCATTTTTATTTCTTTTGTACTTTTTCTCTTCACAAACTTTCTGTTGACTCACCCAAAAACTTATTTCCCCTTTTTTCATTAAATTTCATTTCTCTTTTATTTCAAAATATTTCCACGTTTTAAATTAAATTTTAGGTAATTAATTAATTTAACTCTAACAATTAATAATATTTTATCAAATTAATTAATTCAAAAGAGGATGGCTAATCCATCCGAATGTTGTATTCAGGTTATAATTACATATTTAATTTATTTTTATTTAATTTTTTAAAATAAAGGTTGTCTGTCGTGTCCGTCCGTTAAATGAAATTGAAAGGAAAAACGGGTCATCTTCTGTTGTCAAGTTTCAAGGCAAAGATACTGTTATGGTTACGGTAATTTTTTTAGAAAATTATTTTTTTTCTAAAAATTTAATTTAAAGGGGAAGACTTATGCATTTGATAATGTTTTTCAACCAAATGACACTCAAGAAAATGTTTATAAAGGAGCAGCTCATCATATTGTTCAAGATGTTTGTTTGATTTTAACTAAAATTTAATAAAAGAGGACTCATGGTTTTGATTTTTATGAGCAAAATAGGGGGCATTGAGGGGCTTGAGAGATTTTAGAGGGCGGGAGGGAACTTATATGGTTTAGGTGCGCTTTTTTTAGCCACGCCCTTTTTTCCTTTTCCTTCATCAATCAACATTGATATGGACAGATTGGTCAACCTTTCTTTCTTCCTCAATTTCACTCAACTTTTCCTGTGGCATTTTCAGTGAGAGACATTAACAAGGAAAAGATTAATTTTCTTTTCCAATTTCACCAAAATAGAATTAACATTTGAATCAATATTCTTAATTTTATCTATTTCTATTATTTAAATGTCACTAAGTATCCCGGGTCTACATTTTGGAACTAATGGTCCAGTATTTTATTTTGTTTTTCAGTTTTTGCGTGTTTGAAATCATATTTTTTTACAAAATGCTGACCGTTTTTACCCCTTTTAGAAATTTTTGGACCCCTGTAATTCAGCTCAGAGATCTCACGGACCGATTTTAGTGCCATTCGTCTCAGCCCAGCTCGATGTCATCCGAGTCAGCTCTATATTTTAAGCAAAAATTGACCTCAACTCAATTGATTGATGGTTGAGAGGGAAAATAAGTAAAAGAATAATGACGGAAAAAGAAAAAAGGGCGTCAGGAAAAGTTGAGTGAAATTGAGGAAGAAAGAAAGGTTGACCATTCTGTCCATATCAATGTTGATTGATGAAGGAAAAGGAAAAAAGGGCGTGGCTAAAAAAAGCGCACCTAAACCATATAAGTTCCGGCGGGAGATATATTCAAAACAGAGATAGTGTTGGGCAATGCCATAACCGGAGCAAATATCGATTTTGTTTTTTGAAATCAGTTTTTGTTTAATTTTTCCTAAAATATTTTAAACCGATTTTATCCAATCCTCCTACTTTTAATGCTTACTGAAAATTTTTTCAACTTCTACTAATCAAACAAAAAAATTTAGGTGTTAAATGGTTATAATGGAACAATTTTTGCTTATGGCCAAACATCTTCAGGCAAAACACACACAATGGAGGTTTTTATATTTTACTAGTTTATTTAATTAATTTTAGGGTGTAATTGGTGAATCTGACAAGCAAGGAATTATTCCAAGAATTATTAATGATATTTTCAATCATATATTTAATTTGGTTTGTTAAGTTTCTTTACTCTTTTTTTATAAAAAAAGAATTTTAGGATGATGAAAATTTGGAATTTCATATAAAAGTGTCTTATTTTGAAATTTATAATGAAAGAATTCGGGATTTGTTGGATGTTACAAAAACAAATTTAACAATTCATGAAGACAAAAATCGTGTTCCTTTTGTTAAAAATGTTACAGAATTATTTGTTTCAAGTCCAGACGAAGTCTTGGCAGCTATAGAAGATGGAAAGACGAATAGACAAGTTGCCGTTACAAGTTTGGATTTTTTAAATTTATAGTTCCCATTAGGTTTGCGCAACACCGTCTAACTAAACGGTAAACAAATTTTTTCAAAATTAAGCGGTTTTGTGCAACCCTAGTTCACATGTTCTATGCAAAACATGCATAGATACCACAACAACTATTGTGGTATCTATGCAAAGACCATATCGTCAAGGGTGTGAAATATCTCTTTTGTCTCCCACTAGTTAATTGTTAAAAATTTTATTTTTTATTTAACAGATATGAACGAACACAGTTCTCGTTCACACAGCGTTTTCCAAATTCAAGTAGACCAAGAAAATAAGGCTACACAGAAAAAATTGTCTGGAAAGCTTTATTTGGTAGACCTTGCTGGAAGTGAAAAGGTTTTCTTAAAAGTTTTATTTTTTAACATTTTAACTATTAATAGGTTAGCAAAACGGGTGCAGAAGGCTCTGTTTTGGAAGAAGCTAAAAACATTAACAAATCTCTCTCAGCATTGGGAAATGTTATCTCCGCTTTGGCAGAGGGAACGGTTTGGAAAATTATTTGAACAATATTTTTCTTTTTTTTTCAGAAAAGTCACGTTCCCTACAGAGATAGCAAATTGACTAGAATTCTACAAGAATCCCTCGGTGGAAATTCTCGAACGACTATTGTGGTATAATTAAAAGTTAATTTTTTGTTTAAATTATTTCTCTTAAAGATTTGTTGTTCTCCTGCCTCTTATAATGAAGCTGAAACAAAATCAACTTTACTTTTTGGGCAAAGGTATTTTATCTCGAAGAACTTAAAATAGATCATTAAAATTCTTTCTCCTTTTTAAGAGCCAAAACAATAAAAAATGTTGTTGTTGTCAATGAAGAATTGACTGCTGAAGAATGGAAGAGACGCTTTGAACGTGAAAGGGAAAAAGTTAATAAACTTCGTCAACACATGTTAATTATGGATCAAGAAATAAAGCGTTGGAGAGCTGGTGAAAAGTTGGCAGAATCTGAATGGACAACTTCAATTGCTGATTTATCTGCTAATTTGACATCGAATTCTGATAGTACGTTTTTATTTTTGATGTTAAAAATTTTGAAAAACCTGAAGGGTTTCCAATTTTTATTTTTTAACATTTACCAAATCTTGGCTAAAAATTTTGATAAAAACTTTGACTTTAGAAAAGCTTTTCACGCCTGTCTCCCTGTTAAAACATTTAAAATCAATTTTTTAATAATTTTAAGTGACACCAACTTCAATGACGGAATCAATGATATTTCCACCATCTGATCGTCCCAATCCTCAGCCTTTATTAAGTTCGCGTGTTGGGCCGATAAGTGATGATGAAAGACGAAAATATGAAGAAGAAAGAACTAAATTGTATGCACAACTAGATGAAAAGGATGATGAAATCCAGTCTCAATCACAACAAGTTGAAAGACAAAAACAGCAGTTAATGGAACAAGTTTGTGTTTTTTAAATAAATTTATTCAAAAATAAATTTAGGAAGAAGTTATTAAACAACGCTCTTTGACTAATGAAAATTTAATGACTGAAGTATCAAAAGCACAAGGTATTTAATAAATTATTTGGTAGTCTTTTAATTGGCTTAAAAATGTTAGAATATACCGAATTAAAATATTCCAAGAAATGTTAAGAGTGTAGGGTTGTTTAAATATTGTTTTACGGAAAAAACTTTAGGACATAATTAGTAATAATGCCAACGTGCTGTTCACAATCATATACCTTTAAAAAGGAAGTTATTGAAATCTTGTTACTTCTTTAAAATTCTCCACTTTAGATTCCTTTTTCATTATTTTTTTAAAAACTTATAAATGGAAAAGGAAAAGTAAATTAAAAGAGTATTTACATTTAACATATTCTTTAAATTTATGTTAATTTTATTTAATTTAGAACAAATAGCCAAATCTCAAGAAGAAACAGAAGAATTATTTTCTGCAATCCAAGAAATTGCTTTAAATCTTGAACAAAAGAAAACTGAATGTTCTCAATTGGCGACAGATCATGGTCTGATTTTTAAATATTTATAAAAATATTTTTGTATTTTAGAACAGCTTAGCGAGGAAATTAATAAGAAAAAATTGGAGGCAACTCTTTTAAATACTAAATTGGAGGAAATGAAGGAAATTTGTCTTACTCAAAAGGTTGGCTTTTTCCTTTAATTTCAAATCGAAATTATTTTTTATTGCAGAAAAGAGTTTATGAAAGTGTTCAAAATATGCTTAAAGAAATGTCAGAACTTGGAGAAGCAAATTTTACTCTTGCAGAAAAGGTTTATTTGAAGTTTAATTGATACTTCAATATTCTGAGAATTTTTAGTTTGTTAATGATTTGGATCAAAGTGATAAACCAATAGATGAGGAATTGTTGGCACATGCTCGTATTTGTATTTCTAAGTTGAGCAATGATTTTAAAGCCAATCAACAGGTTTGGAATAGATTTTTAAAGAGTCAAGGCATACATAAAAGGGCAAGGGGGTAGCTGTAACCTTAAGGAATTGTGTCTTCTGAAATCCACCAAAAATTTTTATTTCTTACTGAGTTTTTATTTTTTAAATTTTTTAAAGAAACTTCTGCAATTGGAAAGTGGTTCTGGGGATGCCCAAAAGAAAGCTGATGAATTATCAAGAGAATTGGATGATTGTAAACTTCAAGTTCAACAATTGGATGCCAAAAATAAATCTTTGCATTCCCAAATAGAATCACAAGAAACACAAAAACGTCAATTAGAAGATGAAATGGATGCTTTAAATGCAAAATTGGCTAATGTAAATAGTTCTGGAGAGAAAAATGAAGATTTACAACAACAACATCAAAAATTGGTTGCTCAACTAAGAGATCAAATTGCATTAAAGAATAGTCAAATTAAGGAATTGACGGTTTGTTTTTATTTTTATTGACGAGGGGGATGTCTTTTTTGGATTGGAAGTTTTTGGTCCGGACATGTGAAAGATATTTTGGTTAGGGTTGCCGGCCCCAGGCATCGAATTTTGGCCCGAAAAAGACTCGGTCTGGCCGGCCCGATAAAAATGAGGCCCGAAAAAAATGACTCGAACGTCGGTCCGACTTGAAAACGGCAACCCTAATCTTGGTGTTTCCTAAAGGATTTGTTCGATATGTGTTCTTCCTTTTTCCCATCCCTTTTTTACAAGAAATTTTTTTTGTTTTTCATTTATGTAATAAGCAGCCCTTAAATATTATTATTTTTGAAGGAATCAATTCAAGAAATGCAACTTGCACGTGAAAAACTTCAACAAGATTATGACCGTCTTAAAAATGATGAATTTGAAAAAGAAAAACGTTTGAAGAGTTTATCGGCACTTTCTGACAAAAGAGAACAAGCAAAACAGGATTTGAAAGGTTTGGAGGAAACAGTAAATAAAGAATTGTTGGCACTTCACAATCTTCGAAAAGCTTTTGCCCAAGATTTGTCACAAAGAATTAAAAGAGCCAGTGGACCTGAAGTTGATGATGAATTTCTTTCAAGTCCAATACAAAAACAAAAAATTATATTTTTGGAAAATAATTTGGAGCAATTAACTAGTGTTCATAAACAGGTAGATTTGTATTTAAATTTAGAATAATTTTTGATTACCTAAAAAGTTTTGTGAGGAGATTTTATTTAAATTTCTGTTCTGCCCAATTCTGTTAAATATTTACTAGCTCTACTTTCGGTTTTGAATTCTGTTGTTCCTTCCTTTTCCTTTCCTCAAGTTCCTTCTCAATTTTATTATTTCAACACTTCTCATAGGAGAATACTTTAATCAAGCACTTATTCGCCCTAGAGTTTAACCATAAAAATATTCTTCTCTTCGGAAATAAGCTAATCAACTTACAATTAAATAATTTCCCATTTTTTAATTTAAAATAGCTTGTTCGTGACAATGCTGATCTTCGTTGTGAATTGCCCAAACTGGAAAAGCGTTATAGAGCTTGTACAGAACGAATAAAAAGTTTGGAGGCAGCACTTCGTGAAACTAAAGAAAACGCTATGAGAGACCGTAAAAAATATCAATTCGAAGTTGAACGTATAAAGGAAGCTGTTAGACAAAGAAATTTGGCTCGAAGGGGACTTCAAATTGGTTTGGAAAAGAATTCTTTTATTAAAAACATTTTTTATATTAATTTCTTTTAGCTAAACCAATTCGTCCTGGACAACATTATGGTTCAAACGTTGTTCGTCCTCAAAACGGTAAAAAATAAATTTTTGTATTTTTTTTGCTTATTTTTTGTTTTTGTAAAATAGAAAATATGGGGAAGTACAAAAATTATTCTTCAATTTTCAGAGGTTCTCTTATATAACCACTACTAGAAAATTGGGGGTGACGGGGAAATCTTCGCACGGGAAAATCTACGGGAAAATCTAAAAATTCTTTTCTTACCCCCCCCCCCCCCTTCATTTTAATCTTTCAAGTAATATTTTCCTCCCTTGTAAAAATTCCATTAAAACTTTAAAAAAATAAATGCTTGCTTTAAAAATGTTTTCCCTTTTTCAGTTGGTCAATCTTAACAACATAACACATATTTTTCTCTCCTACCGGTCTTCATTTTTGTGTTGGTTGCCGTTATTAAAAAGATGCGAGAAGTTTTTTTTAAAATTAATTATTCTTTAATTATAACCAGATATGTATCTAACTTTTTTTCTTCTTCCTCCCAATTTAAATAACCAATTTAATTTTTACTAAAATCATTTGTAATTGTGTTGTGATTCGTCTTTTAATTTTCATTGTTTTTAACTTTTATGAGTACCTAAATTTATATTCCGAATACATGAACTTTTTCTGTTTTTTGTATGACTTTAACTTGAATTTGTATGCTTCTTTTTCCATTATAAATAGTTTTTATATCTTTGGAGGGGTTAAAAGATTAATGTTTCGATAATTAAGTTTAGGCAAATAATTATTATTTAGGTGCTTGATAAAATCTAACAAGCTTAGGTCGAGTTATTTAGACCTTGTAATTTTTGAGAACGGGTAAGCAAGGATTTGACCAAAATTTTATCAGGTTTTGCCTCGTTTAGTCCGGGGTATATAATTTCATTTTCGGGTCCATTTCTCTAAATAAATTTAGGAATTTTAAAAACAAAATCACCTAAAAATTAAATTTTCCAAAATATTAAGCAATTCAACAAATCTCAACAAATGCCTATTATGTTTGATTACAACATTTTCTCTTAAAATTTATTCTATTAAAATAATACAAAATCACGCAATAAGAGAAATAATGGAAAAAAGAGATCCATAAATTAATTTCTTTTTTAATTTAAATAAATTAGTCTCCCACTTTGTTTGGAATATTAAAATGATGAGGATCTAAAGGAACACTGTGAGTAGCATCCATAAAATCAACAAAATATTTAGTGCACAATTGATGAATTAATCTATTAAAATAAGGTTATATTTTAAATTACAAAAATTGAGCTTAATCAAAGCATCCTAGTAAGATACCCCCTAGCTAGCAGTCCCACAATATTTTCAAAAAAAATGACTTGAAAATTTCTTATTTTATTGAATATTTTTCTTAATGACTTAAACTCTCTCATGACTTTTTATCGCCCATAGGATAAAGGATCGGTACCCCTGATCTAAAAGAGCCTAGTCTAACGCAATCTTAAAAATATTTACATAAAAAGTTCGAGTCATGTTCAGAGAGAGAGGAAGCTGCGACTTCCCGCGAGGAGTCTTTGACTAAAAAAATAATTTTTTTTACCTCTGTCTATCTTCTAATTCAAGCGCTTCCATTTCCTCTTCATTTGGAATGTTTTGAGGATCCAAAGAATCTTCTGGAGGAAAATCTAATAAACGCTGTTGTGGTTCTCTTGCAAGCCTATAAAAAATAAACAAAATTCTCCCAAAAATTAAATAAAAACAAAAACCATTCATGAACAATATTTTCATGTTCTTCATCATTTAAAAGACCCGGATATCTATTTCTAAGTAATTTAATTAATATCCAATTTGCCCTGTTAGAACTTCTTCTCGTTTCTTCATTTTCATCTTCAGTCACAATTATTTCATCATCCCAACGGCGAATTATAAGAACTGGACCTTCATATTGATTTAACTAAAAAAACTTAGAATTTATTGACATAAAAAGAATTTTAAAAAAACCTGAAGAGAAATAGGTAAATTTAAATATTTTCTAACAGTATATCTCACAAACGAACTCAAAACTGAAGGCATTTTAGAAATAGCTAGAGAAGCCTAAATTAAAAATTAAAAAAATATTTTTTTTTATTAAAAAACCAAATCATCAAAACTAGCATCCAAAATAAGTCCTCGAATATTTGGGTGATTGGCTGCCGCCCAAGTTGCTGGAAATCCTGAAAATATTTTTTCTAATTATTTATGTCAATAAAGATGGCAGATTTATTTTTAAATTTAAATCTGAAATTTAAAATCTAGACATGGGAAAATAATTTTCTGGCTCCTCCATATTCTGCTAATATGGCTGTTGGAAAAACATGAGTTCTTTTTGTTAGCCTTATTGATAGAATATGTAAATATAAATATAGACCAAAACCAATTATTTTAAAATTCAAATTTTAAAAAAATTCAAACCTCCAATAGACCATCCAAAAAGAACAATTTGTTCAGGCTCAAATTCCAAATCATTAATTGCAAATTTCATAACTGCTTGCATTGCAAGAAGTACAGCTTTAGGTTTTGGAATTCCCGTACTTTCAGCAAAACCTTTTTTTAAAAAATTAATATAAAAAAATATTTTTTAAAAAAAGAAAATACCAGGCATATTCCAACCAAGAACAGAATATTTTAAACTTAAAGGTGTCATCATTATACCCATTTCATAAAAACCAGCATTTCCTTCACAACAAATACTACAAAATAAATAATAAAAAATTTTTTAAATAAAAAGAAACAAAGTGAGAAATTTTAGGAGGCTCTTAACAAACTATTTTAAAAAGTTCCAAAATAAAAAAAAAAAGCAAAATTTGACCGAAAAAATAAAACAATCCTTTTTTAAATTAAAATATGTAAAAAATAATTTTTAAAAGACTTACACCAAAATTTTTCCATTTTCATTATCCTCTTCTTCAGAACGATTATCAATGAAAAGTGTATCAATTTTATTTTTATCTTCAGTTAACAAAATATTTCTTTGACCTCCCTTAAATTTTAATTTAAAAATATATTTTAAAAATTTAATTTTAATTGCAGACAAAGTCAAAAAAAACTCTGAATTTCTGTTCAAGAATAGAAATTCTTGCTGACTTGGATTAAATCCTTCTAAAGGTTTACTAAAATTTTTATGTTAAATTAGACTTTCCGCAACAATAATTCTTTTACCCTTTCCAAAAGTTTACTCCTTCCTTCCAATAACTGATCCTGTGCAAGAATATGTAAAATAGTTAACGACCCAGGATATAAAATTCTCCGTCCAAAAGTATTTGCAATAATCCAAGAAGTCCAACTTCTAATTGTATTAAATGGCTCGATTAAATCGTTTTTAATAATTGGAGATGGAGCAAACCATTTAGAATTGGGAACTGTTGTCGCAGAAAAATCAATTGGAGCAGCAAATATCTGCAAAAAAAAAAATATTTTTTTTCTGAAATAAAAATTAAGAAATTATTTCTTTGACTCTTCAAAATTAAATTATTGTGTTGACTATAAATTCGAATTTTTTATACAACTTGAATAATAGTTAAATTTGTAAGCCCCCAAGTTTTTCCCTCACAATTTCCCTAAAAAGTAACTAAAAATTTAGACAGGAAAATAAGGTGGATAGAAAAAAGGAAATATGGGGACTCTGTAAAGGAAATGATGGCCAACAAAAGTAACTATTAATTAAGTTTAAAAAAATTAAACCTCATAATCATAACGTTTCAATCGTTTTTTGCTTTCTAAATTTGGATTATTTCTTGCACGATCAAGTGTTTTGATAAAATTACAATATTCTTTACTAAAATTTATAAAAAATTTTAAAGAAAAAAATTTAAAAAAAAACTTTGAAATTCTTCCACAAGTTCTCAACATAAAAGCCGTCAAATAAAAAAATACAACAAATTTAGCTGTAGAAGAATAACTTGAAGTAGGCCAAGTAAATAAAATATAAGGAACGAGTAATGGAGACATTAAAATAGTTAATCCTTTAACACATTTCCCAACAGAAAACATTTTGTTGCCTGTAGATTCTAATAAATTAGGCACATATAAACGATGTTGATCAACCAAACGATAAATCCTTGGACCAAACATTGCAGAAAGTAAAAGTATCATATCCATCCAAACCTAAAAAGAGAAAAAATTAAAAATAAACTGAAAGCCTATTTAAATAATTATTTCAATTAAAGCTCCGGATGGGAGGAATTTCTTTGGATACAGGTAATAATAAGCTTATTTTATAAAAATATTAAAGCCGGATAAGTAGAGCAAAAGTGATCACGCTGTAGCTTTTTATAAAGTGATATAATCACAAAATAAAGGGTAGGGGATCATTGTGTACCGGCCGTTTGTGTACCTGGCCATATTTTGGACCATAACTTTTTCAATTCTTAATTGATTTAAATAAATAATATATCAATTGAAAGCCCTGGATGTGAGGATTATTTTCGCCAACAGAATTGATTTGATCAGATAATCAATCAAAAAGTTACAGACAGATAAAGATCAAAATCACGATTGAGCGCATTTATCGAGATATAACTTTTTATAACATGATCTGATCAAATCAATCCTGTTGGCGAAAATAATCCTCACATCCAGGGCTTTCGATTGATATAATAATAATTGAAGTCGGTTAAGAATCAAAAAAGTTATGGCCCAAAATATGGCCAGGTACACAAACGGCCGGTACACAAGTGGGACGTTCCGCAAAATAAAACTTGAGACTGAAACAGCGAGACAAAGGTGTTCTGTTTCATTTTTTGAAAATTTTTGATTGGATTTTGGCATTCTGTCATTAAGACGAATTATCCTAAAAATATTGAAGCAAGTGAGGCAGACAAATTTTTATAATTCATTATTTTTATTTTCAATTTTATTTTTTTTTCCTTTTTTATTTTTAAAAGTGCTTATTTTGTTAATTTTTAATTTAGGTAAAATGTCTTCATTTAATTCTGATCCATATAAAATTCTTCAATTACAACCTGGATGTAATAATTTAATTCAAATAACCAAAGCTTACAAAATGATGGCTTTAAAATGGCATCCAGACAAAAATTTAAATCAAAAAGAATATGCCCATCAAATGTTTCTCAAAGTTAAACAAGCTTTTGAATTTCTCAAGGCTAAGAGGTTACGTGATAATTACAACGAGAAAATGGTAAAATTGAAAGTTTTTTTAAATAAAATTTTTATTCCGAAAAATGGGTATCGTTGCCTTATAATTAAGTTTTTAGCATTTTGAATAAAATATCAAAATTAAAAATTGTCCACAAATTTTAACCGAAACTATGGGGATGTTATATAAAGGGTTTTTCTTTTGGGCGATTTTTCATTTTTTAAAATAATTTTCTTGATGGTACTATTTAACAAACTATTTAACAAACATTCTCTTAACAGTTAAAAAATTGTCTTTAATATTCTAGATTTAAATTTTCAGACACAAAGGCGAGCAGCATCGGCAGCGCATTTTGCACAACGACAAAAATTAAATAAAGAATATACAAATTTTTATGAAGAACTTAATAAAGAACATCAAAAATTTAATCAAAAAAGAAATGAAATTTATAAACAACAACAAAAATTGTATGAAATGTCACAAAAAATATTTAATGAATCAAGTGCTGTTTTTAGACAACAAAGCGAACTTTTAAATGCTTTTATGAATGGAATGACTAAAAATAATTTGGATGAAATGGTTAATTTTTTTAATAAAAATTAAGTCTCTAGGATGTCCAAATTAGAGGTCGGCAAAATCGCATTTCCGGGATCCCGAGTCGGGATTTTTTTCTTAACCGATGCCGGGACGGGATCCCCAGGGATAAATCCCGAAAAAATCCCGAATTTCAAAAATCTCGGAAATAATTATCCGGGATCCCGCCCGGGATTCGGGTTTTTTTCAAAATAAAAAATTTAAACTTTTTATGAATAAAATGCATAAAAATACTGCAATTTATATGTAAATAAAATTAATTTGTAAAAATATCAACAATTTTTTATAATTGGAATGTCTTTGTTTAAAATCTTTCTATCCCTTTCTTTTTGCGCCGCTGTCTTAAATTTTGAGAATTTCTGAAGGCCAAGTGGGAACACCCAATTTTCAGAAGTCCAGATCCCTGAAATGTCCGGATATCACTAAAATCCACCTAACTCCATCAAATCTTCCGATATACACATAAGTCTTCATTCACTTTGAGAAATTTGGAAGGCCAAGGACCAAAATTTCCTCCTTTTTCAGAAGAAATTCTTCCTTTTCATTTCTTCCTTTTTCAATTTTGAGAAATTTGGAAGATCCTTAAACCAAAAGTCTTCCAAAAATCTCGGAAATTAAAAATCCCGAAAATTATAAAAAATGTCCGGGATCCCGAGTCGGGATTTTTTTCTTACCCGATGCCGGGACGGGATCCCGAAGGATAAATCCCGAAAAAATCCCGGATCCCGAAAATCAAAAAAAAAATCCGGGATTTCGGGATCCCGGAAAATCCCGTCGGGATCCCGTCCCGCGCCCACCTCTAGTCCAAATAGATAGGGAGTGTTAGCAGGTCCGGGTTCGAAAAAAGTCAAAATATTTGAAAATTTCGGCTTGGACCCAATATAAGAAAGAAACAAAAACACTGAAGAGTTTGTTGGATATTCTCCTAACTTTTATTTGTAGAAAAATTTTGATGTATAACTTAGAGATCGGAATTTTGAAAAAACCGGGACCGGGAAACGGGTTCTGAAGGTCGACCGGGAGGGACCCGGACCGGGAAAACCGGGAATTCCCGTTCCCGGTTTCATCCCGGTCAAAAATGACCGGGACCCGGACCGGGAAACCGGGAAATTAAAAAAAAATTTAAATTCATTTAAAAATTTGAAAAAGTTATGGGAGTAGTTATTTATTGAAAAATGATTTATAAATAGAAGAATTTAATAAATCAGTAAAATAAATCAATAAAACAAATGTAGATTACAATAAATTAAAAAACATAAAGCGGATATGTAGGGCTAAAGGGATTTGAGAGGCTAGAGAAGGATTGGGGTATTAGGAGATTTTGGAGTTTAAGATCTCCCGATAGCCTCCTCAAATTTTTTATATCGCCTATATGTATTCCTCATCTAATTTCCTTTAATCCCTCCTAATCCACCTTGATGCTGATTTAATTTTTATTTAATCCCTCCAAGTCCGCTCTGATCTTCTCTGTGCAATAATGATATCAGGGATTAAGAGATATCGAGAGATTCAAGTATTTGTTGGGTAGCATTGAGAGATTGTGGAGAAAGACTTCCAACCACCTATATCACCTGATATCTATTCAAATCCCTTCAATTGGAAGGCAATGATATCAGATGATTAAGGCAGATCTAATGGATTTAGAGGGATAAAGATGTCTTAATCACCAGGTCCCTTGATAAAATCGCACTATACACTAACTTCCCTCAACTTTTCCTACAATAATACCTCCAAATTTCTCCGTTCCAAATTCTTCCGCGAAAATTTAGAGAATTTTGGAAGGCCAAACAGCCTAATTTCTTCCGTTTTCAGCGCCGCAGGCGAAAATTTTGAGAATTTTTGTAAAATCTCCAATATTTTTAAGTCAAAAATCAAAACGCCAAGCAAAAACATTTAAAATTAGCTGCTAGAATTTTTCCCGGTTTCCCGGTCCAAAAAAGCCGGGATCGGGAACGGGAAACGGGAAATGAAAATTAACCGGCCGGGACCCGGACCGGGAAAACCGGGAATTCCCGATCCCGGTTTCATCCCGGCATCTTCAAAAAAGCCGGGAAAAAGGACCGGGAAACCGGGAAACGGGACCGGGTCCCGATCCCGTTCCGATCTCTAGTATAACTAGTTTCGTAATAAGTTTAATAACCTTTACTTTCGTTCCGGCAGTCAGTTTAATTTTGAAGAAAATTAAGGAAAATTCTAAGAGGACTTTTTAAGAATTTCGAATATTTTTTGCCCTTAATTATCAAAATAGCCTTCACTTTTTCGAAATTTCTATTAGACATCATAAATTTATCTTTTAGATTTTTGGATTTAAAACTCTCCAAATTAAAATTTTTTAATATTAAGAGAAGTGCATTAGATGCTCATTCACGTTGGTGGAAAGAATACATAAAAGGCAAAGGGCAAAAATGATGTAAATATTTAAACAAAAGCTAATATTTTTGAAGTAAGGGAAGATATTTTTTGATTTTTTTTACTTTGAATATCATTAAAATAATTTTGCTGTAAAGGGGCTTTCAACATTTTAAACCGCTTTGTTTTTATTTTCTTCAATTGTTTTATCTTTGACCGGCGCACCCTAGTGGTGTAAATAAATAAATAAAAATATTTTTTTGAACCGATAATTTTATTTTATTAAAAAATGTTTAAGTATATATAAAGATAAGAGATTTTTAAATACAAGTAAGTAAAGAAAAGACAAAAAAATATATAAATTAAGTAAAAATAACACACAAAAATCACAAAATTAAAAAAGAAATTACCCAAAAATAAAAATTTAAAGATGAATAAATTTTAGAAAAATGCAAATTAATATTCAAAAGGTGTTTTTGTTTTAGAAAATTGTAAAAATAATTAATTGGTAATAACCAGAATTTAATTTTACGAAAAGGTATGTTTAAAGTTAAACCCAAAAATAATTAAAATTCCCCCTAAAAGATATTTAAGTTTTGAAAAGAAATTTCTTTAAGCCTTAGGAGAAGGTCCAGCAAGTTGACTGTAATGTTCATCATTTTCTTCCTCTTCTTGATTTTCTGGCCAATCTTTTCCAGCATCTCCAATATCCCCACGTTCCAATTGAAATTGGTCATTTGTTGCTTCTTTCATTCTAAATTTAATTTAAATTTTTTCAATACCCAAAAAATTTATTTTCCTATTTAACAAAACCTACAAAGACAATTACTACAAAAAAGAGTTTTGAAGCTTGAAATATCCACTTTCCCCTTAATTCCTTAGATTTAAAAATTATTTTGTCTAAAATGGATTAATAATCTCAATTCCTTTTTTTAAATATTTTCCAAAAATTTAAAAGAAAATTTTAAAATTTCTTACTGAAAATCAAGTCGATGTAAAAGTTCTTCAAGGTTTTGAGTTGAAGTCTTTTTATTAGATTCTTCTGATTTAATCAATCCATTATTTTGAATATTTTTCTTTTCATTTGCTCTAGGGTCAAAATCATTCTAAAAAGATTAAATTTTTAATTTAAAAAAAAATAATTTAAATAAAAAACATCAAAAACATCTTCTGGAGGAACAGAAGGAGGGGGGTTAACATGTTTTTGTTGTTGTTCAAATATTTGTTCCAATATTTTATTTGTGTCATTTTGTGAAGTACTTGATCTGCGAGGAGGTGGGGCTAAAGGCAAAGGTGGAGGTGATGAAAATGATTTTGAAGTAAATGAAGGTAAATAATTGTTGGGTTCTGTTGGGGGAATTGTTGGAAGAGAAATAAGTAAATCCTTTAAAATTAAAAATAAATAAATTTATTTTAAAAAATCAAATAAGGAGGGAAAATTTCAAGGATGAAAATTTGTTTACTTGTTTATTTTCTTCAAAAATTTACGTTTAAAAAAATTAAATAATACATGAAATTTTAAATTTTCCTTAAAAACATTATTTTTCTGTTATTTAATTTAATTTTAGGAAGAATGATCCGTCTTATATCTAATTAAAAAAGAAAATTGTCGGTTCTTAACCGTCTTTTTCCTTTTTTAAAATTAAATTTTCGAACCTTATTATTACTCTGTTCGCAAGTACATCTTGCCACTTTTGCCTCCAATTGTTTATTGCCTTCTTCCAATTCAGAAACTTTTTTCCTCAATAAAAGAATTATTTGATTTTGATCTTCAAAGGAACGTGCCTTCTTTTTAGCATAACGCTTTTAAATTAAAAAATTCTTTTTTCCTTTAATTTATATAAAAGAAAAACCTCCAAAGTTAAATCAAAAGATTGACAAATTGTTTGTTCAATATTTTCAGCCATTTTGTCACTCAAAAATACAAAACATTGAAGTTTATCTACATCATTTTTGGCAATATAAGTTAGCATTTTCTTCTAAAAATTTAGTTTAAAAATTAAAAATTTTATTTAAAATAAACAAAAATTGTTATTAATTAAATATTATTTCAACTAGAGGTCGGTAAAATTACAATTGCAGGATCCTGTATCAGAATTGGTACCGACCTCTAATTTTAACTCCTCAAATATAAGCTGTTTCGAATGTCAAGAATATAACAATTTTGTACAAAAATTAAGATAATTAAAATACTTCCCCCGAACCTGTTTATCTTTTGCACAATAAGAAATTCTATTTATTGGATGCTTAAAAATTAAAACAAAAAACTTTTATAAAAATAATTTAAAATAAAAACCTTAAATTGAATTCCTCTAGTTTTTAAATCAATTACATTTACTTCGTTGACATTAATTTGAATAATAACCTTTTTTAAATATTTTATAAAAAATTTTAAATATTTTTTACTTTTCTCGATTTTGGAATTTGTCCAGTCTCATTTTGTTTAGTAAGTGCTTGTAATCGAAGTTTAGCAATAGCATCTTGGACAACAGCCGTTCCTTTTGAATTGCTAACATCAACGTGTCCAAGCATTTTAACTGTATATTCTACCCTCCCTTTTATTAATAAATCTAAGAAAATAAGAGAAAATAAAGTAATTAGGTATTTAACAAAAAACTAACCTGGTGGATGTATCCATGTATAAATTGGTTCAGTTTTATTTTCAGGTATAAATGAATTTTGATTAGAAAATCGAGAAGAACCAATTATGCTTGTTGCTTTGGATGAAACAGATCTTTTTATTGTTTTATAAACTTCCATCTAAAAATTAAAGTTATTTAAAAAATATTAAAAATAAATAATTTTCTACAAATAATCCCTTTTACTGGTTAAATTAGTCTGCGGTAAAATCGCATTCTCGGGATCCCATAACAGGATTTTTTACAAAAAAAATTTCGGGAAGGGATAAGCAGGATTTCGGGACGGGATCCCGTAAAATCCAATCCTCTCCCGTGCCGCACACTGGGCAAATGTCCGATATACCAAATGTCTAGGTACTCATTTGTCGTTTAACCATTCAAATTGTAAATTTCCATAAAGTAAATTTCCATTAAATCAATTTTTTGTAATTCAATTATTCTTTTATCTTTTGTTACTTTTGATCATTTTTCAGGTTAAAAGCGTTGTAGTTATTTTATTCTATTAAAAGTTGCAACAATGAGCAAGGACGATAAAACAATTGCTAAAATTGAGAAAAAGGTTAAATTAAATAAAGTTATTTTTTTAATTTCTTTCTTTTTAAGGAGGCTGAAGATATTTCACATAATAGTCGAAAACGTACTCATTCAAACACCTCTGATGTTGTAGAAGCCAAAAAACGAAGTATTGTTGAATCAAATGCTAACACAATGAATTATAAATTTGATTTGGTAGGGGCTTTGGAGGACTTTAAATAAATTTATTTCTTAGAATAAATCAAATCCTTTCAATGGAAGACCTTATTCTCAACGATTTTTTGAGTTTTTGAGAAAAAGGATGGCTTTGCCAGTTTGGGACTACAGAGAAAAGTTTCTTGAACTTCTCAACAAAAATCAGTGTTTGGTGCTTGTTGGGGAAACTGGAAGTGGAAAAACAACACAAATCCCTCAATGGTGTTTAGATTATGCACGAGAGAAGGGGGTTATGATGGGCAAAAAATATATGGTAGCCTGTACACAACCGAGACGTGTGGCGGCTATGAGTGTTGCTAACCGTGTTGCTGATGAATTAGATGTTCAGGTATATGTTTATTTTTTAAATTTTGATTTTTTATGAGAGAGATACTCCTTTTATTATTCTTATGGAGTCTTTTTTCCTCTGATTTCTTTTTTCTGACCATTTTCTTTTACAGCTTGGTCAAGAAGTTGGATATTCTATCCGTTTTGAAGATTGTGTCAGTGACCGAACAATTCTCAAATATTGTACAGATGGTATGCTTTTAAGAGAGGCAATGAATAATCCTTTGCTTGAACAATATGAAGTCATTCTGCTTGATGAGGCCCACGAAAGGACACTTGCCACGGATATTCTTATGGGTTTAATTAAGGTTTTTTGTATTACAAAGAAAATATATTCGATTTTATATTTTAATTTTAGGAAATTACAAAACAACGTAAAGATTTAAAAATTGTTGTTATGAGTGCTACATTGGATGCTGGAAAATTTCAAAATTATTTTGACAATTGTCCTCTTCTTTCTGTTCCTGGACGAACTTTTCCTGTTGAAATATTTGTATTTTAAATAATTTTATTCAAAAAAATTTTATTTTTTTAGTATACTCCTGAACCAGAAAGGGATTATTTAGAAGCAGCTGTACGAACTGTAATTCAAATTCATATTTGTGAAGAAGTTCAGGGAGATATTTTACTTTTTCTTACTGGACAGGAGGTTTGTGAAATTTGTTTAAAAGAATAAAAAAATAAAAATTTTTGTTTTGAGGAAATTGAAGATGCTTGTAAACGAATTAGAAAAGAAGTCCAAAATCTTGGTCCTGAAGCTGGTGATTTAGTTTGTATCCCTTTATATTCAACACTTCCTCCAAATATGCAACAACGAATTTTCGATCCTCCACCTCCGAATAGACCATCTGGAGGAATAAGTAAGTTTTTTTTGTTGAATTTTGACTTTCCTGTTATTAGCTGTCTTGTAGCTAATAACAGGAAAGTCTTTCTCTTGTTATTCTATACCCTCTTTAATTTTTAAGGTCGTAAATGTGTTGTATCCACCAACATTGCTGAAACTTCTTTAACTATTGATGGTGTTGTTTTTGTAATTGATCCTGGTTTTTCTAAACAAAAAGTTTATAATCCAAGAATTCGTGTTGAGGTTTACAAAATTATGATTATTAAACTTAAGCAATTTTTAGAGCCTCCTAGTTTGTCCCATTTCTAAAGCTTCAGCAATGCAAAGGGCTGGAAGAGCTGGAAGAACAAAACCAGGAAAATGTTTTCGATTATATACAGAAAAAGCTTATAAAACTGATATGCAAGAACAAACTTATCCGGAGGTTTTTTTGTTTAAATTTTAAATAAAATTTTTAAAAAAGATTCTTCGTTCTAATTTGGCTTCTGTTGTTTTACAATTAAAAAAATTGGGAATAGATGATCTTGTACATTTTGATTTTATGGATCCGCCAGCGCCTGAAACGCTTATGAGGGCTCTAGAATTATTAAATTATTTGGTAGCGATTGATGGTAAATTTTTGATATTTTGTTGATTTAAATTTATTAGGATCCTTCTAAACTGCCACTATTTAATAGGGGGTATGAAATAGATTAAATGAGAAATATAAAAAAAATTTAAATTGGGGAGTTAACAATAACTTTTAAATGATAATTAAATTTTTGAAATTAAAGGGGCATAAGAACTGCAAATTTTAATTTGCGTATCCTAACTTTTCGGATCGAACATAAAATACTAGAAAACAGAAAAATCGATTTCAGTTTGAGTTATCGATTCTTTTAACCGAAGATTTTTGTATAAGCCGACAACCCTTCATGTTAGAAATTAATGAATTTTTAAATTAATTTTTTTAAAGATAATGGTGAATTAACACAGCTTGGTTCATTAATGGCTGAATTTCCTTTGGATCCTCAAATGGCAAAAATGCTTATAGCTTCTACCGATTTAAATTGTTCTAATGAAATTTTGAGTATTACAGGTTTTATTTATTTTTTCAGATTTTTTTCTAAAAATTTATTTTTGAAGCTATGCTTTCTGTTCCCCAATGTTTTGTTCGTCCAAATGAAATTAAAAAACAAGCAGATGAGGCTAAAGCAAGATTTGCACATATCGATGGAGATCATTTAACACTTCTTAATGTTTATCACGCATTTAAACAAAGTATATATATATTTTTAAATTATTTTTTAAAAATATTTTTTTAGATCGAGATGATCCCCAATGGTGTTATCAAAACTTTATTAATTATCGTTCATTAAAAAATGCTGATGATGTGAGAACTCAACTAGCGAGAATTATGGATAAATTTAATTTAAAGGTATGAGAATAGTTTAGAATTTTTAAGTAAAAGTTATTTAATTGGGAAATTAAGGATGGGAAGGAAAAGCAGACTAAAATTGTTCATTCGTCATTAAAAATTAAATTTCAACTCTAAAAAACAATTTTTCATTTTTAGCGTGTTTCTGCTGATTTTAATTCAAGAGATTATTACATAAATATAAGAAAGGCTCTTGTTGCTGGATTCTTTATGCAGGTTTTTTTTCTAATATTTTTCTTTGAAAATCTTTTTTAAAAAGGTTGCCCATTTGGAGAGAAGTGGACATTATGTAACAATAAAAGATAATCAAATAGTTAATTTACACCCATCTTCTGTTCTCGATCACAAACCAGAATGGGCTTTATACAATGAATTTGTTCTTACAACCAAAAATTATATTCGAACTGTCACCGATGTTCGTCCAGAATGGCTGGTAAGAAAAGAATATTTTCCACAATTTTCAAAAAAAAATTTTAGATTCAAATTGCCCCTCAATATTATGATGTTAATTCATTCCCAGAAGGAAGTGATGCTAGAAGAAAATTAAATGCGATAATAGCTGCATCTAGACAGTAAAGATACTACAAAAAAGCTTGTTCTTTCCTTTAATATTTTTTTACAATTCTGCGCCCGTTTTATAATATTGTATTTAAAATAAATCAGCATTAAAACAATCGAGTGTCACAGCGGGGTGATGTAAACGAAAGGAGCGCTAATTTTCCGCTCACCAAAAATAAATTGAAGACATGTATATAAAGGGCGTAGTTTAAAAAAGTAGGGAGATTTTGATATAGGGGGTTTTTAAAAGATATAAGGGAATTATTTTTGGAAACATTCTTGTCAGTCATTAGCACCACAAAATCTTTCTCCCCCCACACTACGCCCCTTAATTATTAAAGAAACATTAAAATTAAGAAATAATCAATTTTGTGTGTTCCATAGCAGAGGCGCACCAAGAAAAAAATTTGGAAGAAAATTGGGGGGGTTTTAGATTTTTTAGAAAAAATGGGTTTTTTAGAGGAAATGAAAGATGGCTTTTTATATATTAAAAGAATTTTTGGGCAATTTTTTAAAAAATTATATAGAAATTCTCTTGGATTTTCTTGCGCCCATTCTATGAATACGTCAGACAAAAAATAAGTCGCTTGGCTATTAGAGAGAGAGAGAGAAAAAATAATAAAAAATAGTTATTATATATCCCTCTTTTAAAACTTCTCATTTATTTCCGTCATCGTCACTTATTGCTGCCGGCAGTGGTGTTTCCGTTCCAGATTGGGGACTAGATTCGTGTAGAGGCCAATAAAGTGGATTAACACGAGGACGAATCTTGAAAAAAATAATTTTAAAAAGGATTGGAAATAAATTAAATCTACCCCCAAATCTCTTAATCCCACACAAAATACTACCTCCGATTACTCTCCTCCATTAAAACCCTAATTTGAATTTACCACCAAAAATCTTAATGCCCTCTATTTTTAAGTAAACTTTCCCAAAATTTCTTACTTTAAGCTCATCAGCACTAAATTCAATCCCTTCACTTCCACGAAGACAGCTCAAAATAAATGACACATCATCAGTGAGTGAACGAATACGCGGAAAACTAGCAATTAGACTAAGTGGCAAAAAGCCTTCAGCATCCATCTTTCTTCGTAAAAAAAAGTCTTTTTGTAGATTATCAGCTGAGAAATAATATTCACTGAAAAAAAATGTTTAATTAAAAATATCAATTTTTAAATAAAATTTACATTTGTCCGCGTACAAGCTCTCCAAGTTTAAATTCTTCTAATGCTGGCACATAAGGCGTTGTTATTGGCGCCATAAAAATTGTATTTTGAGGAAATTGTGTTGCAATAATTGTCGGAGTAAATTGTGTAGTAGCTGTTGTAGGCACTTGATCCGTTGTAGCAACAACCACAGCAGCAGTTTGAAGAGTATTAGCAACAACAAGAGGAAATGGGATGAGTCCATTAGGTGAAAGAAGCGAAGTAGAAGGCGCAGAAGGCACAGCAGTGGCTGAAACAACGGTCGGTGAGATACCCTTTTTTAAATAAAAAAAGATTAATTTTGAATAAATTTGATGATTTTATTTAAGCTATTATCTGATTATCAATACCCAAAAAAAGAAATGAGGGATGTAAGGAAAAAAGGAAATGTAGACCCTCACTTATCTTTTCAAAAATGCTTTTATTAAAATTGTATCGGATTATAAAGAAATTGAGCGAGAATTTACATTTACTTCACTACCTACGATCCTCATTCTTTTACAGAATCAAAAGGGAATAAGAAAAAAATTTCCTAAACGTGTTGGAAAGACAGACAAAACCCTAGGTCTTCCATCTACTTTTAATCCTCAATAAAGTGAATTTCTTATAAATTACTTTAATATTATTTAAATACCGAAATATTCAATTGCTGAAGAGATGAAGTTGTCCAATGATGATTAATACAATTATTATTGTTTGAGCAAAAATACGAATTTGAGAAAAGCTGTTCATCCATTCGTTTATTATTATTGTTATATTTATAAGCATTATTTGGGCCAACATGACGAGGCCCCCCTCCACCGCCACCATGATGATGATGATGAGATTTTGATTGATATCCACCAACAGAACGATGTCCTCCTCCTTGCGAATTATTCTAAAAAATATTTTTTAATTAAAAAATAAAAAGAATAAAAATAACCATTCCAGCCACATTATTTGTCTGCTCGGTCTGTGTTGACGCGGAATTTTTAAAAAATTTTTGCCTAAAAATAAAAGTTAGTTAAAATTTTGACAGCTCTAAATTTATAAAGTTTAAGGTAAAATAACTAAAAATAGTTATTGAGAACCCCCTTCTTTATTAAAAACTATACAAAAATATAAAAACATTTAAAAACCTATTCGACGAATATCTTCCATGATTAGGCGAAAATTGTCGTTGTGGTCTATAAGTATTATTATTCGATTGTTGTCTTTTGTCTTTGGAGTTTTTCTTCCAACCCTGTGATCCAGAATGTTGGTAGTAATATCCATTTGAAATATCATCAAAATACCTAAAAATTATATAAAATTATTTTAATACAAAACTATTTCCTCCTCTCATTTTTTTAAAATTTTTTGTAAATAATTTTTTCAAAAAATAAAGTATTTTAGTAAGGACATTTTATTAAAAAAATTTCCATAAAAATATTTTTAAATAAAATGACTAATATTTTTATAACTTTACATATAATAAATGTTATATGTACTATATGGCGACACGAATATTTTAAAAATGTAATGGCCTAAAAAATATTTAATGGATATCTTAACTAACAAACAGATATTGAACTTTAAAAATTAGGTAAATGTAAAAAAATATTTTAAAAATTTTCTATTTAAAAGCTTAAAAAATTTTTACTTTCCGATAGGGAGGTAATGCCACCTGAATGGTAATTCCAATCTTATCCCACAAAACTGAACAAAATATAAGAGGGAGATCGAAAAATGACAAATCAAATCATTTTTGTCAATCCCAAAAAATTAAATTTTAAAAAAATACCAATAAGACTGATCCTGAGATTGCTCATTGTTATTGTTATTTTGAGCAGCATTATTCGTTGGCGGACTTTTCTGAACATCTTCTCTATTATTCTTTTCTTCATTTTTTCCTCCTCCTCCACCTCCCTCAACAACAACAACATTTTCATTGCCTTCTTTAGATATTTGTCGACGATGATGATTATTATTATAATTATTATTATTAAATTTGTTGTCTTTAAAAGCTCTATTATTTTGTCTAAAACCAAAATTTGTTGTTGTTCGAACAGATTCAGAGCAATTATTATTATTTTCTCTCCCAACATCTCCTCCTCCCCTTCCATCTCTTCCACTTCCACCACCACCCCCAACAAAATTTCCTCCTCCTCCTCCACCACCACTTCCTCCTCCTCTTCCTTCTTTCAAATCACGTCCACAAACTGTATTCCTTCGTTGAGGTCTTTCACGTCTTTCAAATTCCCTTCTCATTTCACGCCTTTTAGTTAAAACTTCACGAGCTGTATTATAATCTACTTCTATATCCAATTTTTTCCAACTATTTTTAGACACTTTTTTGCTTCCTCCAGCCGGACTATTAATTGTTGCTGATGGTGAAAGTGCAGAAACTTCTTCAGCCTAAATTTAATTATTTAAAAATAATTATATAAAAATGACTATTGGACGTAAAAACATTTATGTAAAAATTAATTTGCTAGTCTAATCCCGTAATGGAATCAAACAAAATATGTCCGAAGCTAATGTTTGATTCCATTGAATTGGCAATATTTAAAAAGGCCAGACAAAAAACCTTACGATTTTTTAAAAGAAGTTTCTGCTTGTCAAGTGAATCGAAAAATATCCCCTCAGAAATAGAATGTTGCCATTATAGCGAACAAAAGACTATATCATCCACCCAAGTATCCCAAAATTAAAATAAACATAACAAAACCCAAACTGTTCTTCCCCCCCCCCCCCCCCCCCAAAAATTAATTTAGAAAAAAAATACTTTGTTCACCGTCTCCTCGCCGGTCGTCTCCTGTGTTTTGTCCTTAAAATTATTTACGGCTTTTTTGACAGTTGACTTATTGCTCGGTTTATTTTCTTCACATTTCTGTTGTGCAACAACATTTAGAGAAGGCCAATCATCTGGTGATTTGACTTCATTTTCCGTAGTTGATTCTGACGAATTATTTGCTTCCTTTCCCAATAAAGGTTGTTGGTCTTCATTAGGAATATTACCACCAGAAACAACCTTAGCAAAAGTGACCGACGAGTTGACTGGGTGTTTTTCGCTCATAAAATTGTTTTAAAGTTAAAAAATCCTTAAAAAGAGTATTTCCTGAAAAAAAATTTTGGATTAGAAATTAAAGTCAAGTCTCCCCAAAATCAATAACAAAATAGTGAGATGTTATGAACACCAAAAAATATAAAAATTTTATTTTAAAAGCTTAAAGATTAAACGCAAACAAAAAATAAATTTAAAATTTGCCCCAAATAAAGGAAAAAAGATTTTTAAAAAATCATGGACATGAAGTTTAATTTTCTAAAAACAATTAGATAAATAAAAAGAAGCTTAAAAATATTGTCTATGCAATGGAAAATCAAGGCCCACTTTGAATATCTAAACAGTAAATATGTAGAATATTTCGCATGCTAATTTTGAATAGTTTTTGAGTAAATGATTTTAAGAATGAAAGCACAATGGCAATTTTCAATTATTTAAATGAACAATAATATCCCCCCAATCATAAAAACACGAATCTTCTCCAAATAATTAATAATTTTACCCCTTCACTAAACTCCCAACAAATTCAATAATTAATTTGTTAGTTGGAGACAAGGGGGAAGATTGAGGAGTTAATCAAAATCTAATGCTAAATTTTTAATAAAATAATAAGGAATTAAAAATCAGGAAACAATGCTAATGTCTAATAGACAAATTCGAATTGAATTTTTGTCAAGTGACTGTCTAACTCTAAAATCAATTAAAGAATCGACGCTACAATAGATTAGTAATTCTTTTTTTTTGAAGAATGAAAAATTCTTAATGTTTATATAAAAGATCGTTTAAAAACCCATAAAACAAAATTTAGAAAAAATTGAAACAAAAAACAGCCCATAAGAGCTGGCTGAATAAACGCAAGTCAAAACAAAGTGGCACGTTTAATCGCGGCATTAGATAAAAACGTCAAGACAGAAATCCGGTTAGGGCAGCATAGAATTTAATGTTAAGGAGAATCACTAAAATAAAAATGTCGTTAAAAGATGCAAAAAGTCGAGAATTTCTTGGAGTCAGCTTTTATGCTAACTTAAATAATAATTTTAAACATAATGCCAAACAAACAATTATTTATTAGTCACTCCAATCAATTAAAACAAAAGAAGAGTAGAAGTAACTTCCAAATACTATTAACTAATAATATTTGTACTTTTTATCATCTGGATTTTAAGAAAATTTATGTAACAATCATTACATAATATACAAGAATTCAGGGAAATTTTTAATTTTTTTACAAAAATTAAAAGATTTGAATTTTTGTTAAAGTGTTGAGCCACTCAAAAATTTTTATTGACTCAACAATACTGACAAAAACATCCTCAAACTAATTTTTAAAAACAAAGATAAACATTTTAATAAAATCAGAAAAATACTTTTTTAAACAAATTAAAAATAATTTAAAACATTTTTTGTGAATCAAAAATCATATACATATTTATGCAGGCATTTTTTCTGTATGTATAACCACTACAAATTGGCTAAAACTAACGGGTCCACCCCAGAAGGTCAAAACCCAAGAGATCAAGTCTCTATTGTTCAAACTATCCAAAGTGTCAAATTCAGATATTAGGCGGATAAAGGTGACTCAGGATCAAGATTACTGTCTTATCTCCTTTAATCCTACTATATCCCAATAAATCCATCTTAATCCGCCCAAGTCCACCGATATCCTGCTTAATACCCACAAATCTTTAGATTTTCCTTAAAAAGTCAAATAAAATAGCCAGTGAAATTTTATCTCAAAGCTGAAAGTCGAATTTTTTAGGGGAAAGTAAATTTTTTAAAGATTCACAAAAATACAATTTTGTCAGCTTTGTAACCATTATGTGAATAAACAAATTTATCTATTTTTATTCTTCTTCATTACCTTTTTCAACTCCTTTATTCCTTTCCTCATAAATACTTTCTTCTTCTGAATCAGAACTTTCTGAAGACGCTGAACAATTCTTTCCTCCTCCATCTTTTTTCTTAAAAATTATTTTTAAAAAATTTTTTCAGAAACTTTTTTACAATTTTTTTAGCCTTTTTACGCTCCTTTTGTCTTTGCCTTTTTTCCCTTTTTCTAGCAGTTTTTAATTCTTCAGCTTCTTTTCTAGCCATTTTTCTTTCTTCAAATTCTTTGTCCAAATCTTCTTTTAAAGCTTGTTTTTGAATATGTTCTAACCTTTCTTGTTCTCTTCTTTTATTATTTCGAAAAATATGAAATTCTGCACTCCCCGCCGCTGCTGAAGAGCCAACAACATTTCGAACAAATTCTGGGGGAGGTTTTGGTTTTGGGTCATCTTTTCGTTGAGGAATTATTATTGGTTTGTCCTTTTTAAAAAAGAAAATTTAAAAGAATGTGTTTAGAATTAATTACAATATTTTTTTCAAGTCTATTTAATCGAATTCGAATTAAATCGTAAGCATTTTTGGCTCGCCTGTAAGAAGAAAAAGGAAAAATTAATTTAAAATATTTGCTTATTAATTTACCTTTCCTCTTCAATTTCTTTGTTTTCTTCTCTCGGCATACTTTTTTAATCTGAAATTATTTGAAATTAGTAACACAAAGATAATCAAAAAAAATTAAAAAATACTCGCGAATTAATGGATTTATTTCTTAAGAAAAAGAAAGGGAAAGGAAAAGAGCGTAGAAAATAGAGAGAGTAATTAGAGAAGAAAACAAAAATAAAAAGAATTTACGCGTTATTTTAAAAATTTTGTAGAATTAATGACAGCTGTTTTTTTCAAATTTTTTTTTGTTTTTAAGATTGTTATGTAGATGATTAATTAACTTTATAAATTAATTAAAATAAATGTCTTTTACTCATTCTCCATCAAAACAAGATTATGTGACGGTTAGTTTTTTTTATTCTTTTATTTAAAAAATAATTTCTTTTTTAAAGATATTAGCTATTTATGATGACCCTCCACCATCATTTAAATCAACTAATGTCAATACAACAATTGTTTCTACATCATTACCTGAAGAAAAAACAAAAAAGCAGCTCAAACTTGAAATTGCTTCGAATAACAAAATTTCAAATCAACAGAGAAGCAGAAATGATAGAAGCCCTTTTATTGATGTGAAATCATTGGATATGCCCCCTAGTAGTAATTTCTTTTTATTTTTAAATAATTAAATTTTTTCTAAATTTTTCCAATTTTTATTTTTAACTAAAATTTTATTTTTTATTTTTCCCTTTAAATTATTTTGTTTGCCCAGCTTTTTATTCTTTAAAAATATTCCTATCATTTTATATTTAATTATTTTTAGGTATTGGTCTTCAAGTACAACATTCTGAAACCAAATTTTCAAATTTATCAAAGCCACATTCTGAGAAAAATTTAAGAAAACACCAAAATGGAGAGGCAATGTCTGTACATTTCGCTCCGACACAGAAAAAAGGTTTGGGTTTTAATTTACCTCAAAAATATACTTTTAAAGATTTTTTGGATAATTTATTAAAATTAGTTTTCTAATTACTTAAAAAGCAAAATTAATCATTTTTGAATCCAAATTACCCCATTTTATGTCAAATCCACACATCTCCGATGAAATTATTTTTAATTGGGAGGAGTTTCTTGAAAATGTTTTTCTGACAAAAATTGTTTTATTTTTTTGTAATTTAAAAGATCTTTAAAATTTCTTTACCCAATTTAGATCCAGATAAATTATTCCAAGAAGAAAATTGGCGACAAAATAATTCTAGAAAATCGAGAATTGGGGATAACTTTTTGGATGCTAAAGAAAAAATAGATTTGGAACAGAACGAATTAAAGAAATGGTCTTCTTTTTTACAAGTTGATCCCTCAAATTATCGTTTTCAGGTTTTTCTTGTTTTTAATTAAAATGGAAATTTTGTTTGTTTTTTTTTCAGAAAATTGTTCTTTCTCCAGAAACTAAAGATTTGTCAATGGGATTGGAGGTAATTAAGTTAATTATTTTTTGCATTTTATTTTGCATTTCCCTTTTTCTACGGATTCTTTTTTTTGATTTTTTTAAAATAATTTTTTCAATTTCAGATCTCTGCTGTTCCTAATCCTCAACGTCCAAGTCATTTATTGGCCGTTGAGGTTAGAAAAATTGAGCAAAGAGGAAGGATAGCTGAGGATGGGCAACTTCGAGTTTGTGATCAAATTGTTAATATTAATGGAACTCCTTGCGATCAGGTTATTTTTATTAAAGAATAAAAAATTATTATTTTTCTATATCTGATACTTGTCAGAAAATTTTTAAATTATCATATCCTTCTTTATAGCTCTTTTTATTGAGAATATTTTTGTAAACTTTTTTTTTGATTAAATTGAGATAATTTTGAGTATGTTTTTTGGAATCATCATTTTACTGAAAATTTTTTTCTTTTCATAATGTTAAACAAAACTTGCTTGACTAAAATATTCCAATTAATTATAAGCTTTATTTTTGCTTAAATAATTTTGTAAATACTCATTTTTTTAAAGATTTCTTTTGCCCGAGCACGTCTTCATCTTCGAGATCTTCAATCAATTCCAGAACCGTCACTTTCCTTCTTTCGTCGAATTAATTCAAAAAAATTAAATAATAACAGTCCGCAACTTGAACAATTTAAATTAAAAAAAGGAGAAAATACTTCTTTAATTGGTTTTTGTAAAGAAATTAAATTAACTAAAGGTTTTTTTTTAAAAAATTAATTTAGAATTGGAATGTTTTTAAGGGGAAGATGGTTTTGGATTTAGCTATGCTGGGAGATTAAATGCTTCTGAACAACATTTGTATTATATTAAAGGTTTAAGGAAGAATTTGGATTTGACTTTGGGGGACAGAATTTTACAGGTTTTTAATTTAATTTGTTTAAAAATATTTATTTTCTAGAACTATTTATTTAAATTCCAAATTTAATCTATTTAAAATTCAAATTTCAATTAAAATTTTTTTATTTTTTTTTCTAGATAAATGGAATAGATTTGTCTAATTTAACTCAATCCCAAGTAACTTCACTTCTAAAGAAAATTCCAATTGGAGAAACAATTAGTTTAATAATTAGTAGCCAAACAGAAGAAAAACAACAGCAACATCAAAATGAAGAAAAAGAAAATTTGAAAGAAAAATTTTCAAAAAATCTTTTTGAAGAATTAAAACAACAATTAATTGGGGAAACATTTTTGGAAATTATTCAAATGTTAATTCCTTTAAATGAAACGCCTGGTGCTGGTTTAGGTATTTCTGTTAAGGCACAAAGAATGGGCTGTAATGATTTGGGGTTGTATGTTAGAAGTGTAAGTTTTTTTTTAATTTTGATTTTTTTTTTGTTTAGAAAAAAATAAAAGAGAAATTAAAAATATACTTAAAAATTCTTTTAGCTTTAACAAAAAATCTTTTTAGCCTTTTCCCTTGTTTAAAATTTTCTATTAGAAATAACAATCTAATATTGATATTCATGTTTTAAATAATTTACTAAACCTTACATTAAATATGGAAAAAATATTTAAAATTGAAAGAAGTCTTAAATTATAATGGAAATTAAGAAATAAGTAAATAGAAATAAATATAGAATCCTTGTCGTCTAAAATAGTGAAAACAGAATTTTTAAAAATAAAAAAATTCTATTTTAATAATTCTCTCTTAAAAATATTTTTTCTTTAAAGATTTTACACGGATCAGCTGCTTACAAAGATGGAAGATTAAAAGTAAATGATCGTTTAATTGGAATTGAGGAAGTTAATTTATTAAATTATTCTTTAAATGGAGAAGCTTTGGATGCGTTTATGGGAACATTATCACAAATACCAACAAATAAAAGGACAGTTTTGTTATTTATTGCAAGAATTAAAGAAGAAATAGGAGAAGAAGGAGGAAATTTAAATGAAAAATTAAAACAACAGCAGCATCAAAGCCGTTGGGGAAGTGATTCTGAATTAAGCCAAAAAGAACAATTTGTGAGGGATTCTGTTACTAGAAGGTTTTTTTCTAAATTTTTAAATTTTAAATTTTTTTTAAAAAGATCAATTAGTGAAAAACGCCCTTTGGGTCAACACAACGACCCTTCACATTTACGAACTTATCAAAGAATTTTGCATCAAAGACAAACTAGTGGTAAATTTTTTTAATTTATTTGAGAGGAAAATAAATTTAAATCATAAATAAATTCCAGGATTAGTTTACTTTTAAGTAAATATATTTTAGAAATCTGTATTAAAAAATTCAGAGAACATCCTTTCAATTTTTTCTAACATTCTTTCAATTCTAAATTTTATTTTAAATTTAGCCCCAGCAGTCAGTTCAGTATTTCGTTCTCGTCGTTCATTGCATGAACCTTTAAATATTAGCAGTCCTGAAGAACCCCGCTCTAGAAAAAGTCGTCCAAGAACAACTTTTTATGACGGTGATTGTTCTACTACTAAATATGGTGAACAAAAAACGAATTATTTTTAATCTTTTAATTTTTTTTAGAATCCCAAACCCTTCCATCACCAAAAAATCAATCAAAAATTGTCTGTCCAGGCAGTTATTCCCCACAAAGAAAATTTCCTTCTTCAGCCCTTTCAAGTAGTAAATCACAACCAGATTCTCTTTCTACTCCAAAACCTCAACAAAAAAATAATGAAAATGGAAAAAGGAGGGGATCTCTTGGAAGTGGACTCTTTAAACTTTTTTCTAGAACTCATAGTTGTAAAGAAGATTCACCAAATAAAAATAAGTAAGGAATTTTTTGTTAAATACTAATTATTTTCTAACTAAAATTTTGTATCCATTATGTCCTTTTTAGGCCTAAAACAACTCCCCATCATCATCAACAACAATATAGACAACAACAACCCCCACCACCTCCATACTTCCACTCCCCAACAACATCACCACCATATTCGGCATACGGATTTTGGCCTCAATGTTTTCCTCCACCTCCAATTCCGCATAGCTTTAATCAGGTCGATATTTAATTTTTTTAGCACTTTATTTTGCTTTCTGTTTATTTAAATGTCTGTCAAAAGCACTCTCTTTTAGTCTTTTGTCTTAAAATTTATTTTTGGCCGGTATTAAATATTTTTTATAATAAGAAAGCTCAAAAACACTTTTAGTCTATTAACAATAAGGATTAGGATCTAGTCCTTTATTGGGCTTCTATCATTCTTCTTTCATTTACAAAAAAAGTTTCTTTCAGGATCTTTCCCCATAATTTTTTTAAATTTAATACCGGCCCTGTTTGTTTCAGAATTGCACTAATCATCGTCCACGTTCTCCACTTCCTACATCAATTGCTCCTCCCGGCATTTTACCTTGGACCCAATCTTTTCGGTATTTTATTTGTTTTTTGTTCGTTTTTTCTTTTCTTTTTATTCTTTCATTTAGTTTTTTTAATTGTGTTTAAATTTAAATTTCAAACAAAATAGATGTCCCCATCCTTCCTTCAACAGCCAATTACATGGGCGTGGGCCCGTAGAAGTGCCCCATTGGCGACAAGGCGGAAACAATTTGCTGAGGCATCAACAAATACACCCTCGCCGCCAAATGTTTCCATTGACTATTACAACTCGTAAATAATTTTATAAAAGTTTATTTTTGAGGAAACAAAGAGTATGTTATACTTTTATATCAGGAAAAAGTTTATTTTTTATTCATACTTGCAGAAAAAATCGAGTTGGATGAGTCTGGACTCATTCTATCATGGTTCTATTCCAATACTTTTTTCTGTATCAGGGATAGAACCATTGTTGGATATTCTTTGAAATAAATTCTCTTAAATAATTTACTTTCCTAATTAATTTACTCAAACTAAGAAAATCCCTAACAAAAAACTACAATTCCTTTTTCAGATTTAACACCTTCTTCTCAGCCCCACCACCAAATCCACCAAAATTATTCGGCAGGTTTTAGTAATTCTACCAACAACAATTTACATCAATCTACTTACAACAATAATGAAAATAATATAAATTTAAATACTAAAAAGAAAATTGGAAAATCAAAACCTTCAGCTATTTTTTATGATGAATATAATAAAAATAATAATAATTGGGTGATACGTTGTTAATAAATAGAAGAATTAGAAGAGAGAAATAAAGAAGTGCCTCTAAATATAACGAATATTTTTTTTATTTTCATCTCATTTTGCATTCCAATATTTTTCCTTCCACTTATCCTATTTTTCTTGAATTTACTGCTTTCAACCAGCAGATCAAAAAACATTTTCTTATAAGAACATTGCAAATTAGAGAAATAAATGTCGAAGGAAAACACTAAATAGGGAAAAGAGTACATGATTCTTGAGATTTTTGAAAACAATTTCTTCACTTCCGGAATTCCTTCAAGAAAAGTTTCAGAATTGTTCCGAAGACACCTTAATTTATATGAAAAGATTTAAGGATCTGATCTTCTGGGTTGACCCTTCTCATTCCATTCACTTAATATTTGCTATTAAATAGTTATTCTACTATATTAAATATTTTGGTTGTGAATAAAAATCTTTGTAAGTAGATAAATTTGTTTTTATCCCCTTTTTTAGTTTTAAATCCTTCAAATTCCCTCTTCCCCCTTTCCCCTTTTTTCAATATTTTCGTGCAATTCGTCGTGTATTTTCTTAAAAACAATTTTAAATGAATTTAATATTTATTATTTATCTATATTTTTCCTCCCTTCAATTAAATGTTGTTGGGCAATTGGCTGCTATTTATTCGGATGTTCGTCGTTCGTCCGATTGTGCTTCTTGGTCCTCTTGGGGAAGTTGCATGTAAATGTTTTAATTATCAGAACGAAATTTGATTCTTGAGATAAAGTACTGCTAGGGGTTATTCTGTTAGGGAAATTACGAGAGTTGGAATAAGCTAAGGATTACACCATACTTTATCTTCCCAATTCTACATTTATGATTTTTTTAACAGATGGCCGGATCCAGGCAACAATGTAAAAATAAACTTCAAATTATTCTATTCTATATGTATATGTACATAATTTTTATTTTTAGTATTCATATTTAGAGCAACTTAGTCCTCTTTGTCAGAGTCACTGGTTTTATCGTTTTATAGGTGGAAGATATGCTTCAGCATTAAATTCATTTTTTGAGGTTGTGGAAAAAATAATTAAAAAAAAATTTTTTTTAGTATTTTCGAAGTCTCCTTTTGGATAATAACCCTTGTGGAATGTGTAGCTATCAACAAAGTTGTGGTTTTGGTGGAGAGAAAAAATGTCATTCAAGTCCTTTTCAGTTAAAGAATTTTCCTTAAAGAATTATAAAAAAAATTTTTTTGAAGTGTTCAAGGAGGAAGGCCAGTAATTCCATTTTATGTGTCAGAACGTATTTGTGGTCGGAAAAGCCTGAAAGGGTATGATCAACATGAAAGTTGTCGTCTTGATTATAATAAATTAATTGGTTTTGGCGAAGAAGAATGCAGGTAAAGGGAAATAAAATTACTCCAAAAATTAAATTCTAGGCTTTGGCCAACCAATAAGGTTGACTTAACATCTGTAGAACCAGGTTTTCGTGAGCAAATACAAAACCTTCAATGGTACAACTGTTTGGCAACAACAGAGACAAACGGAACAGAAAATGAATTGATAAATGTTTGCCGTTGCTGTTGTTTTCCTTTCCGCCCAAATCCACAGACATTTTTATGTGAACACGTTCCTGGGGCACCGGTTGCTCCAGAACAAGAGAAAGAGGAAGAAAATTACTATTCTGCAACTGATTTTCATTAAGTTATTTCGAATGAAAAATAAATTATGAATTTGAAGAATAATTGGCACAATTATAACTTAGGTGGAAAATTGTTAAGTCTAACAATAAGATAGGAGTTAAAATTTTGATTCTCAGTAATAATGAGGATTCAATTAAGTCGACTACTTAGTACCTAATAAAGCAAACATGCTTAAAGTTTGAACTAAATTTAGAAAATAACCAGAAAACATTCAAACCCAATTTATTTACAAACAAACAATATTTACATACAAACATCACACAAGAAAATAGGGACAATAAGAATCACACAAGAAAACCGGGGGAAATTACATATAGTAGATATACAATTATGATGGGAGATTTTTTCCTATTATCATCACACTTGGGCTTCATCATCTTCCATCAACCGCTTACATGTTGTACTCGATTGGAAGGTTCTTGCGGCGAACCATACCGTCACCCTGGAACCACTCGCGGCGGAATTGCTTGGCTGCTCCTTCCGGGGTGTTGGTCCATTCGACGGTGACACGATCGTTGTTGGTCGCTTCCGCAGCCGGATCGAAGGCGTCACAAGAGATGGCGATGTTGATGGCCTCCTTCGGGTCGAGCACACCGTTGGGCGGGTCCATGTTCAGACGGCGAGGGTTGGTCGTCTTGAAGGCGAAGCCGATACGATGCCCACCAGAGTTGATGATCTGTAAAAGTGAAGAAAAATTATTAAATGATTAGATTAGTAAAAAGTGTGAAACTTCACCTTCATGTAGTAGGTGTGCTTGTCGTCGAACGGCGCGTTGAAGATGACCTTCACAGCAGGAAGCGTTGTGATGTCGCCGGGTGGAACAGAAGCCATTGTTGAGAACGGTTTGTTGTCGTTGTTTGTGTAGTTGAACAGAAAGCAGGTTGGGAGAACTGACGTATAACTAGGGTTTTTATAGTTTCTCTCTAGCTCAATGATCCTGTTCTGCGAGCATAAAAGTATAAAAGAGCCAATAGAAAGCCAGTCGGTATCAACCAATTCTCTTCAACTTCAATTCCTGCTACAACAACAAACCGTTCTCAACAATGGCTTCTGTTCCACCTGGCGACATCACGACTCTTCCTGCCGTGAAGGTCATCTTCAACGCGCCGTTCGATGACAAGCACACCTACTACATGAAGGTGAAGTTTTCAGCTTTTTTGTTAATCTAACCACTAATAAATATTTTCCTTTTCACTTTTACAGATCATCAACTCTGGTGGGCATCGTATCGGCTTCGCCTTCAAGACGACCAACCCTCGCCGTCTGAACATGGACCCGCCCAACGGTGTGCTCGACCCGAAGGAGGCCATCAACATCGCCATCTCTTGTGACGCCTTCGATCCGGCTGCGGAAGCGACCAACAACGACCGTGTCACCGTCGAATGGACCAACACCCCGGAAGGAGCAGCCAAGCAATTCCGCCGCGAGTGGTTCCAGGGTGACGGTATGGTTCGCCGCAAGAACCTTCCAATCGAGTACAACATGTAAGCGGTAGATGGAAGATGATGACGTCGAGATGTGTGATAAGATAGGAAAAAATCTCCCTTCATTATGTAATTTCTCCATATATTCTAGTGATTCTTATTGTCCCTATTTTCCTGTGTGATGTTTTGTAAATATTGTTTGTTTGTAAATAAATGATAATTGTTGGATTGATTGTTTTTATTCTTTGGGACTTTTAAAAGGTTTATTTATACCCTTTTGTATTTTAGAGTCATTGAAATTAAATCGAGCGAATTTATTTACATATACCCATAAAAACAATTATAGAAACAAAAATGAATTTTACCCTCATTCATTATTTTTGTTAATGTCCTCCTCTTCAGGCGGCAGTTGGACGTGTTTTCTTATCCTTTTTCTTGTTACTTTGAATTGATCTTGGCTATTAGTAGGTGAAGATATTTTACGTTCAACATTCTCATCATAAGTCCCCTGTTCTTTTTCCTCTTGTTTTTCTTCACTTTCCTCATTATCTTTCTTCTCCTCTTCGGTTTTATTGCTTGTATGCCATCTAAAAATAATTCAGAATTATTCCCAGATTTTAATTTTGTTTTGATTAAATATTCAAAATCAGAAAATACAAAATAAATACATTTTGTTTCTAAAAAATACATAACAATAACAACATAAACTTACCCAAACTTTTCCCTCATAAAATCACTAGCAGGCTCTAAAAATCGAAGAGATTTTCTCCGTCCAGTATTTACTCTCTTTGGTATTCCAGCACCCGTGCAATAAACCTTTATAAATTTTTTATTTAAAATTTAATAAATTTTTTTTGTAAATATTTTACATTAGCAAAAACATTAGTTTCTGATTTTCCAGTTCTAAGAGTGTCCAAACGGCGAGCAATTCTTAAATAACTGTCATCTGTCTAGAAACAATTATTTTTTTAAAGAAATATTCCTTTAATTTACTTGAATAACCAAATCATGTTTTTCTGCTTTTTTCTCTTGATTGCTAGTTATTTCCCCAAGCATTTCCCCCATCTCATTTTCATCATCCCCTACAAGTACTTGAATACTTTCACTTCTTTCTAATTGCATTGATGGACCAAAAAGTGTTTCAATTGCATCACAAATGGTCATTGGATCAGTTTGAGATTCAAAGTGGTGAAGAATGGGTGGGGAATTTTGGGAACTGTAAAATATTGAGAGGGGGGATAATTTAATGATATTATATTTTTTAAAACACATTCCGGAAGGTTGAGAGGGAGGGGGGATGATTCTGTGTTCTCCGTAATATAAAATACAAAAAAATAGCCACAAATTTCTGATTTAAAATAAATTTCAGAATTTACTAAAAAATACCTACATTTCTTCTGATTTTCTTTATTAAAACATTTAAATTACCTTCTATCTACTAACCACCAAAAATCATTATCATCATTTCCCTCTTCTTCTTCTTCTTCTTCTTCTTCTTCATTATTTCCTTCTTTTCTTGTTTTTCTTCCAGTCTGTACTAATTTTGATTTTGTATTTATTTCATTCCCAATTCCTTTTTCTTCAAAAATAATTAATCCTTTAGTATCCAATCTTTGATTCTACAAAAAAAATTAAAAAAAAATTTTTTTTATTAAAATAATTGTATTTACATTAGTTCCAATTCTGTTTTGTGTTCCTTTTGAAATTGTTTTAATTTGTAAAGTATTTACACCTATTTCTTTTTGTATTATTTTCTTTTCTTCGTCTTTTAACTTTTCAAATATTTCCTCTGTTTGTATAGATTTACAATATTGAGGTGGGGGAATAGGAGAAGAAATTGTAATACTTGAAGGGTCCATTGGAAGTGAGGTTGCATCAGAAACAGAATTGTCTGATTGGGAAGAGTCGGTTCTGTTAAAATTAAAGAGAAGATTAAAATAAATGTGTGTGTTTTGAAAGAAATAAAAAAACAGAATAAATAAATGTTAATTCTGATTTTAAATAATTAAATTATTCTGAAAAATATTTAATTCTGATATTTTAAATTTTGAAAGAAAATAACATAATTTTTTCTGGAATTATTAATTAAATTTAAATATGTAGAGTACTTTAGAATTCAAAAACACCTACCTTTTTAACTGTCCACCTCCACCACCACCCCCAATATTTTTATTTTGTGATTTTAATTTTTGTTCATTTATTCTCCTTTCCTCCACCTCTTCTTCTTCGGTTATTTCAATTTCTTCTTCTTTTATTGTTGTTGGCCTAAATTCTGTTTGTATTCCCCTTGTATTTGTGGGGAGAAGAACACGTTCGTATTGCTCTGCCTTTTAATTATTATTTAATCAAAATTTAATCAAAATTTCTACCAAATTTTCCAATTTAACAGTTTGTTTTTCACTAACACAAAGAGGGGCTAATTCACGCATATACCAAGGCTCTTTAGCTAAAAGGTCTCCAAGTATTCTTTCACGTTCTTCCGGGTCAGTTGCTGCTTGTAGTGCTTTTTGATATTCTTTCTATTTTAAAAAAAAAATTAATTTTAATTTATTTTGATGTTAAAAGAATCCGGAAAAGTTTTAGAAATTCTGATTTTTTACAGAAAACATACCTAACTAATTCTGATTTTTGTTCCTTTTCCGGAAAATTTTAAATAATTTCTGATATTTTAATTACCTGCATTCTGATAAGCATTCTGTATAGCCATTCTTCCATTTTTATTTGAATAACAGAAATAAGCATTGAAACAAATGAAAGACCAAAAATAACAAAAACAAACTTTAAAAAAATTAAATTAATTTTTTATTTAAAATTAATTTAAAACCATTAAAATAAGCATATGAGGGTGATCAGGCACAACATCCCCTTAATAATTTTTAATTAAATTTAAAAATATTTTCTTCTTTTACCAAGTCCAATAGTTAAACAAGAAATACAAATAAAATAAAAAGAAGTGAAGTAAGACCAACTTAAAATAATTATTTAATTTTAAATAATTTAAAAATTATTTTTAAACCGATTTTCCCAAGCTAGGAAAATAGCAGCAATAACACAAACATAACCGCCTACTAAACTTAAAGCCATCCAAACGGGAATTGTTCTGAAAAATAATTTTTTTAAAATTGAGAATTCTGATTTTCTGGAAGGTTTTAAATACACAATACCTGCTTTCAGTTGTATTAACTGGAAATTCATTTTCTTCTTTTTTAAAATCAACAACAGTCTTTTTACCTTCTTCAGCCTCTCTCCCTTCTTTTTGTTGTTTTTGTAAATTTATAGAATTTTCATTTAATATTTTTTGTTTTTTATGTTGATTTCTAACTTTTTGTCGATAACTTTAAAAAAATAAAAATAATTTGTTTTAAATAAAATTGGAAATATTTAAAAGTTTTAGATTAAATAAATGGGAGGCGGTTTGCCTGGGTTTAGAATTTGTTTTTAAAAATTTATTCAAATAAAAATTAAAAAATTCCGTTCATCAGAATAACAATTTTGGTGGATATATTTATCGCCATAGACAATTAGGAGTAGCAAATAAACAATCATCATTTGAACGGATTCGAACCAAAGAGAGAAATTAAATATTTTAGAGTGTAGTCAAAACAATTACCCACTACACCAAACAAAAACTTGGAAATAATCGAGAAAATATTTATTTAAAAGAGTCTTTCTTTTCCTTTTAAATTTCAACAAATAATTATTTCCCTTAAATATTTCCCTACTTTATCCATTTCTGACTTAACCATCTAGTCATTCTTCTACTTGTTTGATTTAACAAAGCCAAAACTAAAGGAATACCAACAATTGCATATAAAATTGAAAATGCTTGCCCGGCTGTAGTTCTAGGTGTTATATTCCCATAACCTATAGTTGTAAATACTGTTTGGACTTTAAAAACAAAAATACATATTTCTAAAAAAATTAAAAAATTTAACCATAAAATAAAGCACCCCAAAAGTCCCAAGCTTCAAAGAAAAAATATAAAATTATTATTTTAATTTCAAAACAGAATCCCTCACCCAAAGCTTCAGGTAATTTAATTTTAACTAATTCTCTTTCAAATTGTATCAAAACTTCTTTTTGATGATGCCTCTCTACTCTAGCTAATCTTCTAAGTGTTTGTTGCCTCAATCTCTCTAATTGATTCCATTCTTTTCGAATTAATAAACGTTCATTTTCTGCTTCTAAACAAAAGAAGAGAAGTGCACCGAGAAGAGCATAAAGTAATAATAACATCCAGGGACCGACATGCCGAAGTGGAGATTTTTGGTAAAATTTTTTAGCCTAAAAGAATTTTAAAAAATTTTAATATTGAAGGAATTTTAAAATGTCTGCAGTCTCTCATGTTTTATACACTCTATTATAATTTATTGGGTATAATCCGGAAATTTCCGGAAAGGTGTATAACATTTTTATTTATTGTAGAGTTTTCCGGATTATATGCAGACAAAAAGTGAGATAGTATTAATTTAGTATAATGAATAAATGTGAGAAACAAGTTTATTAACAGAAGACAGACTTTTCTGTTATTAATAATGACAAAAAAGTGAATTTTTTTTAATAGTTAAAAATTTATTATAAATAAAAAATCATTTACTCGATTAAAACAACTGTTTGGACTGGACAAAGACAAAGCCTTTCGTGCTGAGCGAACTGAGATTCCGCCTGGACTCAATGGAGGGCTGGGTAAGGAGTCTCGATGTCCAAGAGGCGGATGATGGTGATGATGGAGGTGGACAAAAATAGAACGTGATCGGTTTGGCTGCCAAAAAAGAGAAAAAACAAATTTTTATTTTATTTTAGATTTGAGGAAGTTTGGCGTAGTATACCAGAAATTGTCAATATAATTTTTTAAAGAATACATAAAAATACAATTCTATAGTGTTGACGGTAATAATTTTAGAATTTCTGGTTAATTAAAAAATTCTAATTTTTTAATTAAGACACATTTCATTTTCATATTTCTGACTGTTACTACGCCATAAAATCCCTTCTTATATTTGAGTCTAAAAATACCAACCCGAATTCCAACAATACTACTAGCTACATTTTCATAATGGCTTGTAGAACTACCTCTACCCTTTTTTGCTGCATTTCCCTCAGATAAAGCCCTAGCGGAGGAAGGTGATGAAGTAGGGGAAGGTATTGCTGAAGAACAACCTGAAGTGACAAAATCGGCATTAAACATTGCCATTTTGGAATTTGTTTAAATTTAATTTCGGCTGTTAATTCATTATCACTTTATTTTTATTTAGAAAAAAAACTAAAAATTTCAAAAATTTATATAAATTTTGATTAATTGAACAAAAAATAACTTGATATGTTTAAAAATAGAAATATTATATCTCTAAATTTATCTCATACCTCGAGATTCACCTATAGGAGAATAAAGACTGGGAATTACCAGAAAAAGAATTAGTAGTCCTACTTTATTTTCTCAAATAATTAACCCCCCTTTCGCTGAAAGGATAATTAATTGTGAAGAGTAATTAATCAAGTGGATAATCATAAAAGAATCTATTTAAAATTAATTTTCATATTCAAAATTAAAAAAAATATTTAAATAAACATAATATTTTTAATAAAAAATGAACGTTGCAACAAACACTAGATATATTAATTAATAATATTTTGGGGTAAAAAGGCAACGAAAAATCAAAGAAAATATAAAATCAACGTTTGTTATTACTTAAAACTCTGGCAGCAAAATATAATGGTTATGTAGCGTTTTAAAAGAGAAAAAAGTTCTTAAGGGGGTCATCAGACGCAATAAATTGGTTGGCTTTAATGAGTTGAAATACTTTTATGATGACAGTTGGCGGCAAATCATGCCGACCCGGCTTACTTAAAACAGATTGGAAAGAAGTAAAGGGAAAGAAAAAGACGTTAAATGTGATGACGATGATTGTTAAGAAAAGAATTAGTATTTAGTAGATATATTGGAGGATAAAATGGGGGACTTTAGTCTATAACATTTAGGCGTGGAATTGTTTGGAGTGCTGAATATAAAAATACGGGTTTTGAAACTAAAAAACGAACTTCTAATCAAATTTATTTGGCAAAATGGTTTCCAAATGATCGCTTACCTGATCCATTACATCACGCCGCCTACTGCATAACGTTAGGAATTAATTTGCTATATGATTTACAATATCAAAGCTAATGACGAAGCCGCGAAGCAAATTTTGTGTCAATCGACCTATTATAACTACCTATTTATTTTGAATGATAAAATAAAGCCCTTGTTTCTAATATTTTATGGCAAATTATTCAAAGGAATCTGATAAAAGAAAAGATCAAAGAAAATCATTTTTATTTAAGCGAACGCCAAAACGGCCAAAAACTAGAAAGAGTGAATATAAAATAAATAAAATTTGAGCTTCTTCGGGATTATTGGAAGAATATATAGTGAAAAATAATATGTATTTAGGTAGTTTTATTGGTATTAATAAATTTTTAATAGATTTTTCTTTGTATTATATGATGAAATTAAAGACGAGAAATGTATTTTAAAATAATATTATACTTCAAAGGAAATTAAAACTTCGTGGTATTCAAGGAAAGAATTTTATGCAGAGATTATTTAAATAAAAACAAAATTTAATATATTTTAAATTATTCCCCAAAAAATTTTAAATATCTAAAATTATTTAAAATTAAAATTATCCATTCTGTGAATTGTCCTTTTAAATAAAGTTTATTTAATTATTAAAATACAATAAAAAATAAATTTAAGGTAATGAATGTGAACGATTTTTAATTGATCTAGGTTTATTCAAAATTTGTTGTTTTCTATCATTAAAACAAAAATTATTTAAATTTTGGTGATTTGTTGCAATTATAATTCTAGTTGCCGAACATCCAGAACTTTTTCTTTTAATATTCAAAATTTTGTTTTCTCCAAGTTTTAAGGCTAAACGTTTTCGAAAAGAAGCAGAAGAAAGACAAAGTAAAATACAATTTAGAGATTTACCTAAAATATTTTGTTTTTTGTAATTTTCCGGAAAATTTTATTTTTAAATTATTTAAAGGAAAAGTTGCTGTGTTTTTCCGGAAAATGTGTTTTTCCTCCCCTTCCTTCCTTCTGTGTTTTTCCTCCCCTTCCATCTCTTCCACTTCCACCACCACCCCCAACAAAATTTCCTCCTCCTCCTCCACCACCACTTCCTCCTCCTCTTCCTTCTTTCAAATCACGTCCACAAACTGTATTCCTTCGTTGAGGTCTTTCACGTCTTTCAAATTCCCTTCTCATTTCACGCCTTTTAGTTAAAACTTCACGAGCTGTATTATAATCTACTTCTATATCCAATTTTTTCCAACTATTTTTAGACACTTTTTTGCTTCCTCCAGCCGGACTATTAATTGTTGCTGATGGTGAAAGTGCAGAAACTTCTTCAGCCTAAATTTAATTATTTAAAAATAATTATATAAAAATGACTATTGGACGTAAAAACATTTATGTAAAAATTAATTTGCTAGTCTAATCCCGTAATGGAATCAAACAAAATATGTCCGAAGCTAATGTTTGATTCCATTGAATTGGCAATATTTAAAAAGGCCAGACAAAAAACCTTACGATTTTTTAAAAGAAGTTTCTGCTTGTCAAGTGAATCGAAAAATATCCCCTCAGAAATAGAATGTTGCCATTATAGCGAACAAAAGACTATATCATCCACCCAAGTATCCCAAAATTAAAATAAACATAACAAAACCCAAACTGTTCTTCCCCCCCCCCCCCCCCCCCAAAAATTAATTTAGAAAAAAAATACTTTGTTCACCGTCTCCTCGCCGGTCGTCTCCTGTGTTTTGTCCTTAAAATTATTTACGGCTTTTTTGACAGTTGACTTATTGCTCGGTTTATTTTCTTCACATTTCTGTTGTGCAACAACATTTAGAGAAGGCCAATCATCTGGTGATTTGACTTCATTTTCCGTAGTTGATTCTGACGAATTATTTGCTTCCTTTCCCAATAAAGGTTGTTGGTCTTCATTAGGAATATTACCACCAGAAACAACCTTAGCAAAAGTGACCGACGAGTTGACTGGGTGTTTTTCGCTCATAAAATTGTTTTAAAGTTAAAAAATCCTTAAAAAGAGTATTTCCTGAAAAAAAATTTTGGATTAGAAATTAAAGTCAAGTCTCCCCAAAATCAATAACAAAATAGTGAGATGTTATGAACACCAAAAAATATAAAAATTTTATTTTAAAAGCTTAAAGATTAAACGCAAACAAAAAATAAATTTAAAATTTGCCCCAAATAAAGGAAAAAAGATTTTTAAAAAATCATGGACATGAAGTTTAATTTTCTAAAAACAATTAGATAAATAAAAAGAAGCTTAAAAATATTGTCTATGCAATGGAAAATCAAGGCCCACTTTGAATATCTAAACAGTAAATATGTAGAATATTTCGCATGCTAATTTTGAATAGTTTTTGAGTAAATGATTTTAAGAATGAAAGCACAATGGCAATTTTCAATTATTTAAATGAACAATAATATCCCCCCAATCATAAAAACACGAATCTTCTCCAAATAATTAATAATTTTACCCCTTCACTAAACTCCCAACAAATTCAATAATTAATTTGTTAGTTGGAGACAAGGGGGAAGATTGAGGAGTTAATCAAAATCTAATGCTAAATTTTTAATAAAATAATAAGGAATTAAAAATCAGGAAACAATGCTAATGTCTAATAGACAAATTCGAATTGAATTTTTGTCAAGTGACTGTCTAACTCTAAAATCAATTAAAGAATCGACGCTACAATAGATTAGTAATTCTTTTTTTTTGAAGAATGAAAAATTCTTAATGTTTATATAAAAGATCGTTTAAAAACCCATAAAACAAAATTTAGAAAAAATTGAAACAAAAAACAGCCCATAAGAGCTGGCTGAATAAACGCAAGTCAAAACAAAGTGGCACGTTTAATCGCGGCATTAGATAAAAACGTCAAGACAGAAATCCGGTTAGGGCAGCATAGAATTTAATGTTAAGGAGAATCACTAAAATAAAAATGTCGTTAAAAGATGCAAAAAGTCGAGAATTTCTTGGAGTCAGCTTTTATGCTAACTTAAATAATAATTTTAAACATAATGCCAAACAAACAATTATTTATTAGTCACTCCAATCAATTAAAACAAAAGAAGAGTAGAAGTAACTTCCAAATACTATTAACTAATAATATTTGTACTTTTTATCATCTGGATTTTAAGAAAATTTATGTAACAATCATTACATAATATACAAGAATTCAGGGAAATTTTTAATTTTTTTACAAAAATTAAAAGATTTGAATTTTTGTTAAAGTGTTGAGCCACTCAAAAATTTTTATTGACTCAACAATACTGACAAAAACATCCTCAAACTAATTTTTAAAAACAAAGATAAACATTTTAATAAAATCAGAAAAATACTTTTTTAAACAAATTAAAAATAATTTAAAACATTTTTTGTGAATCAAAAATCATATACATATTTATGCAGGCATTTTTTCTGTATGTATAACCACTACAAATTGGCTAAAACTAACGGGTCCACCCCAGAAGGTCAAAACCCAAGAGATCAAGTCTCTATTGTTCAAACTATCCAAAGTGTCAAATTCAGATATTAGGCGGATAAAGGTGACTCAGGATCAAGATTACTGTCTTATCTCCTTTAATCCTACTATATCCCAATAAATCCATCTTAATCCGCCCAAGTCCACCGATATCCTGCTTAATACCCACAAATCTTTAGATTTTCCTTAAAAAGTCAAATAAAATAGCCAGTGAAATTTTATCTCAAAGCTGAAAGTCGAATTTTTTAGGGGAAAGTAAATTTTTTAAAGATTCACAAAAATACAATTTTGTCAGCTTTGTAACCATTATGTGAATAAACAAATTTATCTATTTTTATTCTTCTTCATTACCTTTTTCAACTCCTTTATTCCTTTCCTCATAAATACTTTCTTCTTCTGAATCAGAACTTTCTGAAGACGCTGAACAATTCTTTCCTCCTCCATCTTTTTTCTTAAAAATTATTTTTAAAAAATTTTTTCAGAAACTTTTTTACAATTTTTTTAGCCTTTTTACGCTCCTTTTGTCTTTGCCTTTTTTCCCTTTTTCTAGCAGTTTTTAATTCTTCAGCTTCTTTTCTAGCCATTTTTCTTTCTTCAAATTCTTTGTCCAAATCTTCTTTTAAAGCTTGTTTTTGAATATGTTCTAACCTTTCTTGTTCTCTTCTTTTATTATTT